GGAGCGCCCCAATAGGTCCAAAAAGAAGGGGGAAAATTGAGAGACCCCTGTATGACCATTGAGCAGCTGTCAGTTTGCTGAAAGTTGAGACTCTTCTTCAAGCTTCAATGGGCTTCTTCCTGGTGCCAAGACAATCAGGTTGTCAAACTTACGTGCCTCTTGACCCTCCTTTAGGCTTTTTCCTGGTGCCAAGACAGGCAGGTTGTCGAACCCTCTTGACTCCCCTCTTTTTCGGCACCTGATTCCACCGAGGGTTGCTGCCAGTCTCCCAAAGACATCAAACCAAAAGATGTCATCGCAAACGAGCTTGGGGGTTGGAAAAGCAGAATCCCCGTCTCTTTGGTGCTGCATTTTTTGTATATAATTTCGTACCAGAGTTCATACAACCCACTTCCTGCAGAAAATTGGCAGGTGAGAACATGGGTTTACAAATTTAGCCTTTGCCTGCAAGGGCTCCTTGCAAATCCGATGTTCTGGGGGCTGAAACACAACACTCCACGTTGTCATTGTCAGGGAGGGAGGCAGGGAGGGGAGGGAGATACGGAGGGAGGGAGGGAGTTTGCAGCCACCGTAAAGAAGCAAAGTGCCTGGCGAGTTGGATCGCAACTTCTTTTGGCTCCGAACGTCCTCCCCTCACCCGGCCAGCACCAAGCCGCTGTTGCTGCGCCAGGCCCACCCCGGCCGCCGCGCTGCTGGGGCAATCCACGCTCAAAGCGGCGAGGCGCCGAGCAGCCGTGCAGTTGATGTCCTCGCCGCGGCGCCCCTTTGGTCTGGTTGCCAGGCTTTTGGGGGTCGCAGGGAGGAAGAGAAAAACAAAAAAAAATGTTGGGGCGCCTCGGTTTTAAGATACACCCAAACGCGCTTCTGATTCTAATACCTCCGTACCGTTTCAGCACATGAACCGCCATGAAAGGATTCCTCATGGGAGGGCTGCTTGGATGCAGGTCTGAGGGTCCTAACCCAGCACTTCATTTTGCGGCCTTCGGGGGGCTTTCAGGCTCTCGAGAAGAAAAAACACAAAAAGGCCTCTAGGGTTCCTAGAGGTCCGGATCTTTGAGTTTCCTTGTGGGAAGGAACCAGGGGCCGATCGAAGGTTCGATGATCAAACCTTTCTTGGGGATGGGAGGGGGTATCCGATTTTGTCTCTGCTGAGGTTGATAAGGATCTGTGATCTGAGGGCAATGGAAAAAATACATTGACAAGGCATGATTCCTCTGTGTTCGGTTGACGTATGAAAATCTTGGACAATTCACTCCATTTGGCGGCTACTTCTTTGGATGCTGCGAGTCAAACCCGCCGGACACGAAGGACTGGAAGGGATGGAGGCAATCATCACCGCACTTGACTTTCCCTTGCCAAAAAAGGCTACGCAGAGGGGGAACAAATGTCTTGTTCTGATTCATATGTGGGTGTGTCTGTTTTAGACAACCCCTCAAATGGTGGTGTTCCTTGTGGTTCGCCTTAAAAGCCACGAACAAGGGTACCTACTCAAAAACGACACGCTGGTTGAGTCTAAAGTCCTACAGTCTCACATTGCTTCGGAGGAGAACACAGTTCCTCCCCTCAACCCCCTCCTCCCCCCCTCCCCCTCCCCCACCTCCCCCTCCCCGCCCCTCCTCGGAGCTGACCAGGGCAAGGCCGGTGCCGTTCATCTCGCATGAATATCCTCAGATCCATCCGATTTTCCCGTGACCCCGTCGATTAGGTGCGCCGAAAATTGCCCCCGTGGTCCGTCTGGTGGCTTTTGTGTTTTTAAGAGGGCAACGGGAAAACAACAACAACAACAACAACAACAACAACAACAACAACAACAACAACAACAACAACAACAACAACAACAACAACAACAACAACAACAACCGTTTGAGTAAACCGCGAGACCCAAACACCAACAAACAAACAGACAGACAAACACACAAACAGACAGACAGAAAGACAGACAGCAAGACAGACAGAAAGACAGACAGAAAGACACAGACAGACGCACAGACAGACAGACAGACAGACAGACAGACAGACAGACAGACAGACAGACAGACAGACAGACAGACAGACAGACAGACAGACAGACAACAGACAACACAACAAACGAAAAACAAACAAACAAACAAACAACAAACACACAACAACACACACATACACACACACACACACACACACACACACACACACACACACACACACACACACACACACACACACACACACACACACACACACACACACACACACACACACACACACACATACACACACACACACACACACACACACACACACACACACGCACGCACACACACACACACACACACACACACACACACACACACACACACACACACACACACACACACACACACACACACACACACACACACACACACACACACACACACACACATACACACACATACACACACACACACACACACACACACACACACACACACACACACACACACACACACACACACACACACACACACACACACACGCACACGCACACGCACACGCACACGCACACGCACACGCACACGCACACGCACACGCACACGCACACGCACACGCACACGCACACGCACACGCACACGCACACGCACACGCACACGCACACGCACACGCACACGCACACGCACACGCACACGCACACGCACACGCACACGCACACGCACACGCACACGCACACGCACACGCACACGCACACGCACACGCACACATACGCACACATATGCACACACACACACACATACCCACATACTCACATACCCACATACCCACATACCCACATACCCACATACCCACATACCCACATACCCCACCCCCACCCCCACCACCCTCCCCCCCCCACCCACCCACCCACCCACCCACGCACGCACGCACGCACGCACGCGCCCACGCCCGCGCCCGCGCACGCGCACGCGCGCACACACACTGTTCTTGAGCCGCCCCGATTTTCTCGAGCCAAGCCTCGGCGGCTCCTGCCAGAGCCCTGTAGGCAGTAGGCCCAGCAGTCCCCACCAAAGGCGATCTGCTGGCAGGTGCTGCCTACCGAGGCCTCGAAGCTCGCGTTGGGACAAACCGCAGGCAGCAGCCCCGGCAAGCTGCCTGAGAAGCAGATAGGCTTTTTCTCTTTTGGGTTGGCGCTAGTTTTCTTCTTCTTCTCCTTCTTCTTCTTCTTCTTGTTTTTTGTGTTTGTTTGCTTTTTTTTGGGGGGGGGGTTGTGCAACACTGGGGGTTGGTTTTTATTTGTTTGGGGGGGAGGGCGGAGGGCGGGGGGAAAGGGCGTGCAAGACAGGGGGGGGTTGTGAAAAAAAGGGACCCGGTCTGGATGTTCCTATTTTTCTTGTTGGATGGATAAACAGTGTTTGCTTGACTTTGTATTTTTCGCCAGCCGACTGAAACTTAAGTAGTTGGACCATGACTGGTGGAGATCAGAGTTCGGTGGGTCCCGATTGCACCAACCACTCGTCACTCGTTCCCACTCTTAAGATTCATAGCCCATTTGGATGGCACGACAAACATGCCAAGGACAGTGAAGTCAACTTGAACCACCGCCTTGAAACCAACTCAAAGGAGTCGTAATCAAAAAGAAAAGCATTAATATGGTTTACTTAGAGCCATGTTAACAACTAAAAAAAGCGGCTGCGGTCCTCCAGTAGAGAGGTTAGAACAAGGGTGCCCTTTTTCTGTAGTCTATTTTAGTAGGGGAACCCTCCCCGAAAAATGGGTAAAAGGGCACTACTGGGGGTCCTAGGTGAAGTCAAGTTGAACCGGTCTTTCCTTCGAACCCCCCCGGCCCCCCGCCTTGCAGGTATCCGCTGGCATCGCAGGTGAGCTCCACCGAGTCAGCAGAAGAGTCCAGCTGATAGGGCAGCTCCGCCGTGACAACACACCGCCCACCTGGCGTGCAGCTGCGTCTCGTTTTGGGAAGGTGCCAACTTTTCTCGGTTGCTTTCTGCTCCCCTGCTGAAAGTTTCACTTCTAGTGGTTTAATTGAAAAACCCATTAGCTGGCAAATAACATCCAAGCAACATGCACCAAAGTGTTGGTCGCTTTGTTTTTGGGAAACCAAAAGGAAACAGGCTCCCCCATTTTGGGAGACAACCCCGAGTCGTTTTTCCAAGGTCCCCCTTTTTGCTTGGCTTTGAAGCGAAGCCACGCGGAAACCGCTGCCATTTTCCGGGTCAGCTTGGCAGAGACACAGCCAAAGCTTTGATCCTTTTGGGTCCACAGCCCCCGCCCCCCTCATCCATGAGCTGGGGATCCAACAACAAAACACCACCGGCTTCGAGCAGCGCAGGCCAGGAGCCCGGGCTTCGTTGTCCAACTCCGAAATGCCATGGGGGATCCAAGAAGATCATGCATCCTCCGTTCCCAGATGCTAGGTAAAAAGTAGTACTGCGGAATGTTGGCTTCCACGCTAAGAAGGCTTTGCGCGAGCCATGTTCGCCGGCTCGCCAAATTATATTCCTCTTTGCGGCGAATGGGGCTCCAGTGTCTTTTTTGGTGAACATACTTGGTCAAACTGACACTCGTGTGGCAAATGGAAGGTGACTTTGAGCTGCTGGTTTCGTCCCAGCAAGAAGGTACACACTTTTTGTTCATGCCGATTTTCTGGCAAACCGCTTTACAATGGGCAGATGCCTCTTCTGCCAAAAGTCCCCTTCGGCAAAAAGCAACTTGGGTACCAAACAAACACGGCGAGCGGGTGGCGCCTGTTGGCACTGCCGTGCAGTTGTGGCTCAGGCCTGGGTTGTTGGGAATGCCTTGGCTGCGCGGTGCGACCCGGAGATTTCAGCCAACAATCCACAAACAAACGACAACCAACGGCCAGGCAGCCAACAACCAGCAGCCAACACCCAGCAGCCAAAAGCCGCCACGCAGGGCTGAGAGATTGGACTGAGGGATCGGTTTCCCGTTCTGTTCGATCCGTTCTGCTCAGAAAACAACATTTCTCAGCCCGCAATCTTCCTAACGAGAAGGATCCCTGAACGAACTGTGGCCAAACCTCTGAAATGCTGGACCCCCAAATGGATGGTTTCTACTCTCTACCCCAAGAAAAACGCGTGCAGCCTTTGCAGAAAGCATGGGCGAATCGCTTCGCTTGATCCTAGTCCATTCAAAACCCAAGGAGGCATAACCGCACTTTGAAAAGGTTGGGTTGCAGTTGGAAAAGCCCAATCCGCCCCAAGGTAGATATAAGACTTAACCCTTTTCCCCAACGAGTTTGAGTTGATGGAGGCACCCCCCCCCACTCTCCCAGGCCCCCCTGCCCTCCCCACCTAGCCCCCACCCCGCCCTACCCCGTCCGCACCGCGCTTTCGCAACTTCGAGCGGCCCTTGGCGCAAAAGTTCACGTTGCAGGTGGGGCCGGAGGAATCCTCTGCCGGCCAGGAGCCCTGGCGAAAGGAAAGCATGGAAGTGGAAACCGAAAAGGAAGGGCGAAAGCAAAAAAGAAAGAGAAAAGGACAACTAAAAGAAGGAAATTCAACGACCATGTCCTTGCAAAAACCCTTGGTAGCTTCTTAGCTCCCTCTTTAACCAATGTCAAATTTGGATACTTCCGGCTCCGCGGCCTTGGCTTCCAACCAGCAGCTGGACAAACTTTGCAATTGACATCCCAGAACTTCGGAAACCAACCCGTCCCTTCGATGTCCGAAGGCTTGAACCCAACTTGGACCTTCTGGTGCTGCTGCCCAGCGCCTACCTTGGCTCCAGTCGGCAAAACAAACACCTGACGTATGCCCCCCCCCCCCCCGTTTCTGTGGATGATGCCCCTGACGCATACCACTTTATTATCTCTTTGGGCATTGGTGGGAGCCCTTGTTCAAACCATGCTTCAACAACTTGACGATTTTTTCCCCAACCTTTGGTTCCCCCAAAGGAGGGTAAAACCACCCGAAAGATGTCCCTTGGCTCAGATATAGATCTGCGCTAAGCCAACCTGCAGAGAGTTCTACTGGCGCCTTGTTTGGGCTGGTGCATATTCGCTGCAGTGATGCCCGCCCATCCCAAGAGAAACAAAACATGTGGGTGTGGCTCAAAATTCAACAGGGGGGGGTTACGCAGGCTTTGGTCCATGCTTCCACTCACCGGGGTTCCATGTTGGTACCGGTTTTTTGAGCCACAGCCATGTAGCAAACTGGAGGTGTGGAAAGCTGTTCGTGGTTGAGGAAGATGACCCTCTCGGTGATAACAAAACGGATCACTCCTGCAGCAAGGGACTCCCTTGGTATCACAAGAAAAGGTCCTCCCTGGTGTACCCAACTTTTCATCATATGCCCTCCTGTCCGATTTTGAGGGTACCACATCTTTCTCTTTTTTTTCAGGGAAAGCCAAATGAGAAAAAGGCACGAAAAAACTGAAATATAACAAAAGACTAGCCAAACACAAACTGAACATCAACCCACTAAACCTTTAAAAGAACAACCCAAACTAAAAAACAAAACACAACCCACATCTTAAAGGATGAACCTATTCAAAAACAAAAAACATGAAAAGAACGACACCACAAACCTCGTGGAAGCCCGGGCCTTTTGCGCGCGCCCCGCGCCTGGCTGCCGGGGAGAAACTCCACGTAGCCCTCGGAGGTCGTTGGCCCGTCTCCGCAGATCAGCACCGAGGCGTTGCCCTCCTCGAAAACTCAACTTCCATTTGGCAGTGGGTCAAACATGTGTACCCTGGTAAATGGAAACATGGATTAAACCTGTGGTTTAATTCGAAATACAGATTCAAAGGAGACAGTAGAAACTTCCATTTGCTTAAGCCCCCTGGGAAAAATGAAAATATGTCCAGTAGTGATAAATTCCTTTTAAAACCAACAAGGGGAAATAAAAACAATCCTTAAGCAAATGGAAGTCAACGAAGCACGCGGGAAAACTCGTGGGTCTGGTCAGAGGTTTTTTGGAGAGCACCCCTTTCTTGGTCTTAAATTGAAGCAGCGCTACGACTCTTGGTATGGGCTTGCCAAAAGAAAAAAACGATTGTTGTTCGCAGCCCACAAGTAGAGATGAACAGAACCCCGAAAAAATATATGTTAAAGAACATGCCAAGAGTAGTGAAGACCAACTTCACCGCTTTTCTTGGGTGATTTGAAAGGCAAACTTGGTAAGTCTATCTTTCTTTTGAAGGGTAGGGGCTTTAAATAAAGAAGTACCCCCTGTCTGATGAATGTTTGAAGGCAACATAGGGTACACACGGAAAACTCGTTCGAAGGTTCCAACAACAGCTCTTGGTATGGGCAACCCAACTCTCCGCCAACTCACGGCAAAATCAAAGGCTCCAAAAAAGTACCCCCCCCCCCCTTTCTTGTGTTTTTTTTAGGGCAAAAGCTGTCATTTTTTGTGGAGGGTACACACGGAAGCTCGTTCGGGGTTCCACCAACTCAGCTTCCCTCAAAAAGGGTGGTTTGGAGCCCGGTGGTGTGGTGGTGAAACAGAGGGGTAATGCCCGTTACCCTCTGCAAAATCCAGGGGTTCGAATTCCCAAACCGCCTATACCCCTGCGATTCCATGGAAGCGAAAACTCGCCCTTCGGAAAGGGAGCGTTTCTCTTTAAAAGGGGCAGAGCATCCCTGGGACCCCGTTGGCCGTTTTTTGTTGGTCATACCGTCCTTGACCGTAAAAACCTTGGTGTGCGGCTGTTTCGCTTTTTGTTCAACAACATGTGAAACAAAATGAGTTCACACGGGTAGTATGGCAAATCGCTACGGGCGAACATGGGCCAAATACAGGGGGGTTGACCGAAAAGGAAGGATCATGCAGGTGCAGACCAAGGATTCGTTACGCCTGAAAAATCAATCACACGAGCCGTTTTACGCAGCGTCCTCTAGAAAATAACGGTGTTCGTGGCAAGAACAAAGGGTTCAAAACCGACATACTAATCCAAACCGGCAACTCAGGGCAACCCACAGATTTCATGCTGCGAAAGAACGGGGCCTAAGCCCTCGAAAAAGGCTCCTTTCACAACAAGTCCTGGATGAGAATTAGCCAAAAGTGTTTTGCTTTCTTTTCTTCTGGTGCACGTTCCCTAGGATTTGTTGGCTTCCTACAGTGGGTGAGCAGTTCCGTTTCATAAACAGGGAAGCACTACGACGATTTGCAGGTCAGCAAACTTCTCATCTTACCCCACTTGCCAGTAACAGATTTCCCTAAATCAGTGCTGAAGGCACCTTAGCGGCTCCTTTCGTACGATTGCTGCCAGAAAAAGGGGGGTTAGGAACAAGACTTCAACCAAATGTGTTCAAATGCTGGTTCTCAGCAGGGAATGAAGAAATGACCCTATACACCATAGGGTGTCCTTTATTCGGGAATCCCTAAATGCATTCCCAACACCCGACTGGTTGTCATTCCTACCGCCCCGATCGCAAGGACAAAACTGGCTGAACGTGAGGTCTGAGGTGTGCGAGAGGCTGGCATTTCCAGGGCTGTGGGTTGAGGTGGGAATCCACGAATCTGTGATGCAACAGAAAAGGCCCCCAAAAAAAACTCACCCCCCATATATAAAGACGGGATTGTTGAGAGATCACCGAAATGGTTGGATAGAACCCTTGATAAAAATGGTGGGATAAACCCCTTGATACCTTCTCAGGTCAGAGATTTTAGAGAATTGTTCGGCCGGCAACGGTGAACCCGGGTGTATCTTCTTTCGGGATGGACAGATTGACACTGTTGTCGGGGCAGAAAAATAGACACGCCATGGGCGTCGGCAAAAGTGTCCTTTCGGAGTCCGAAAGGAAAGCTGCCAAGGGGAGTACCGCAAACAGGGTAAACTGAAATATGTCAAGCAAGGGAGCAAGTTGGAAACGTCGCGATGGTCGCAAAGTAAACCAGGGCTTTGTGGTTGCGTGTGGTTAGAGCTTAAAGGGTAGCCACGTGTTGCCTTTTCGGGTTGAGGGAAACCAAAGCATTACCATTCTGGTGGTTTTTTTCGAGACAAACCCAGCTGGTGTCTTAAAATAGGGAACCCAAACAAAGGCGGTTCCCTTTGGTGTTCCTTTAAAGCCACTCCAAAAGGGGTATCCTCAAAAACAATCGCACACCTTCTTCACACACGGGCGCCGACCATCAGGCTTCATTGCCTGTCCCCTGGGTCTCTGCATCGTGCAGCGCCAACCATTTTTGGGGGACCAGGGGTCCGGTAGAAGAACACATCAACCAAAAAGGGATTCGCCCTAGCTGGCATTCTTCCTAACATGACGCATTTGTCGGAGGGTGCCTGGAAGATCAATTTCCTCAAGGGACTCTCTGTCAGGTGCCATGGCAACTTGGGAGGGAGGCTATCCCTTTTTTGGGGGGGCCAAAAAGGAGACCAAATCCCCTCCTGGGTGTACCCGGGCTCGCAGAAGGCTGTACACACCTGGCGAGTTGATTACTTGGAGCCAACAAAAAGCTCTGAAGGAACTGCTCCGAAACACGGAAAACAAAAAACTGGAAGAAAGGACGCCCTGGCTAGGACAACTTCCAGGAGTTGGTTCTACCCTCGCCTTCTCACTGACACTCCATTGACACCGCGCCCAAACCCCCCAGGATTTGGGCTACGAACCCCAAAAAACCTGAAAATTCGGAGTTGAGACAAAGGCCAACCTCTGAAAATTCCGCGAGGGGCCGCACAGTCCTCAAAACCGATTTGGGTAGATGAGGGTTAACGGATGATCCCAAACAGAAATGGGTGCCTTCGTCGTTGTAATTCTTTACCTGGTTCTGGCTAGATCAGCTTTATTCTGATGGATTCTGATTGCGACTGTCGGGTCCCCGTGCTTTGCAAGACTCGGCGCGCCCGCGCGCTCCGCCCCCTCATCGATGTTCCTTGTACCCACCATCTGAAATGCGTGCAGGCACGCATCTCCCCCTCCAAACAGGGATGCCATCTATGCACAACCAAACTGACCGTTCAGCAAACACCCAATTTTAATTTCAGATCAATAGAGCTACTACATTGAGGAATCATCAAAAAATGAACAGGGGGGACCACCCCTGAGTGGGAATGAGCTAGAATAACCCCGACCTGAACTATCACTGTCTGACGCTGTAGTTTCCTGGATCCAACAGATCATTCCCATCTTGGACCGCAACCCTCCCCCCCCAATGCGTTTTGCACAAGGACAGGGCTGGAAGATTTGGGATGTAATGCTGACCCCATATCCATCAACCAACCAGTTTGTAGCTAGGTCCATTTCTGGGTGAAATGTGTTTGGATTCAATTTTGGAGGGGACAACACCCGCCCCCATATTAACTAGGTCCTCCAGTAGAGAGCTTAGAATAAGGGTACCAACTCTTTTCCTGTCTATTGTAGGGGAACCCTCCACCAAAAAGGGGAGAGAAGGGCACTACTAAAAGACCTAGTTTATAAAAACTGGGCAGCATGGAACCCCACCGGAACAGTCTCGGATCCGAATCGAAGCTCGATCCGCCTGGCCGGTGGTGAGCTCCGCGCAGGAGTCTCCGATGTAGCTGGGGCCTCGGTCTCCATTGGGTGTGGGGGAAAAAGACGCGGGGGAAACCAAGAAGCTTTGGCTTGGAAAAACGGGAAAAAGGCCCCCAGAAATAAAATGGAACAACACGCCACTGAAACCCGAAAAAAGCGGAGGAAAAGGATCTTCAAGGGAAACCCACCCAAAAAGAAGTTGAGAGCAGGAGGACGCTACTGACAGAGCCGCCCATTCAAGGGTTTCCCAAATGTTGATCCATCGGTATTGGCAGACGAACCAGTGGCTCGAAGTAGAACTGCCCCAAAATCCCAAAGCCAAACTGAACATGGTTCTTCACGGCGAATCGCTCGCTTTCTATCCCTTTTTGTAAGAGCAACACGAAAAAATGGGCTGTTCGCATGAAGAAGAGATCACTGTGAAGCTCCGAATCTTGAGAAAAGCATGGCCGTGTCTGACAGTCTTTTTGGGATCGCTTTAATTAAAGGGAAACCAAAGGGGGGGGTCCCTATTTCAAGACACACCCGTACGCTCAACATGGTGGTTGGTAGTTGGCATTGGTGGTTTGGAGGTGTTTCGGGCAGGTGTCCCTTTTTCCCTCCAGGAGAATCAGGGCTTCAAATCCAAATCCCATTTCACCGACGGAGGGTCACCTGACATTCTCATGATCTTACCTTGAAGGTTGCCTACCCATTGGGGTTAGGGAAACATCCCCAGCTGTCGACGGAAGCTCCCAAAGGCTCCTTTCCCCTAAGGCAAATTCGGACACGGCGCTCCAGAACAGCTCCCTTCCAACCGCTAGTAGACACCCTGCAAGAAGTGATTCGCAGTTCGGTGAAGGAAACCCAAGGCAAAAGGGAACAAAAGGTAAGCCGAGTCAACTCATTTCCCTCAGCAAATTACCTTATTGGATTGGCGGTTTGGATTTGGATTTGAAGCCCTGCTTCTTGTGGAGGGCAAATGGGAAGCCTCCCCGATTCGGCTAGCCACGAATCAGCTCAGTGTTTCCCAGCCCCTGTTTTTAGTCGGCTTCCAAGTTGGGATTCCAAACCAAAACCAAAAACAAACCAAGTGAATTTGTGGTTTGGAGCTTACAAGTTGGAATTTAACCCGCTCCAAACCACAAATTCACGTCATTCTGCACACTTTTTGCCGAGCCGCTAAAGGGCTGAACCGACGATAGGTTCCCGCAGCTCCCCGGGAGGCAGGCCGCCTGGAAAGGAGGCTGTGTCTTTTTTGAGGACAACCCTTTTTGTGCTTCGTTTGGTTGGAAACCTAAAGGAAACCTGATTTGGTTCGTTTGTGTGTTTGTTTGTTTTTTTCGTGCTTCTTCTTCTTTCTTTTTTTTTTTTTTTTGGGGGGGGCGGGGGGTTAAAACATGAAACCCCATCTGGGTGTGTGTGTGTGTGCTTTTAGAGAGCCCCCTGCTCACCTTGGTGTAAAGGGAAACCAAAAGAGCCATCTTTCTGAGTTGGGTTTTAAGGGACGCCAAAAGGAACATGGCCTTTTTGGGGGACTCCCGATTTCGACACAAACTCATGTGCTGAGTAGAAGGGAGCCCCGTGCTTCTCGTTTGGGGAAGAGTGGAGGGTCACTCCCCGATGTATTTGAGGGAAGCAAGCCTAGAGGATGCCCACTGTATCTGTGAGGGGTTCCCCTCTCTTTTTGGGGGATGTGTTTTCCTTTGCTAGGGGGAGGCCTAGCTGCACGTCTTGCTTTGGGTAGTTCCCTGATCCTTTTTTTTTGGTGGCGGCCGGCCTGCCGACCAGGACAAGGAAAGACAAGGAAAGGCAACTAGGGTGGGCAAAGCTGGTTGAAACAAACATCGCCGGCGTATATGTCAACAGGTGCTTCTTCCAGAATCGCCAAACTCTCTTTCGCCCTTTGCGGAATGAAGTGAGCCATCCCTATAACCCAAGCCCCAAGGGGGCCTTCTTAAGACTCTCGTACACAAAGTGGGCACCTCAGACCAAGCAACTTCTCCCACACGTAGGTCGTAGAGCCATTCCCTTGGCACCAACTCGATCCAGCCATCCATGCCTCACATGAGTGGATTGGCCCAAAGGGCCCAAACTCGCCGCTAAACCTGTCTTCCCAGGTGCCGGGCCAAATAAAAAGAGAAACTAAAGCCCAGGTTGATAGATAGGGAGCCACCCCTTTTCGTGGGGAATAGGACTGGTTTATTCTCATCCGGGGTCAACATTAGGTTGGTGGCTGTTAGACAGGGCAACAGAAAGGGCTTCCTAGATTAATCTCCTCCCTATACAAAGAATGAAATTCCCGAAGATATCACAGTGGGGATAAGCCCCCTGATCCCACAACCCTGCTGTTGGATCTCCTTGGGACTGAAATGGAATGGGAACGGGAATGGGAACGGGAACCGGCATGGGAGTGGGAGTGGGAGCGGGAACGAGAAATGGGGGCCATGACGTGAAAAAGAATAGTTCCGTCACCCTCATCTTACCACTTGAGATCAAAAATACCTCCAGTGGGGCTGGCCTCACTACTTTCCCATGATCAGAGTCACCCCCAAGAGGTGGGTTCAAGGGAAGTGTTCGCCCTATTTTCTGACTATGACAACCCGAACCGTGAAGTCATGACCTCCAGTGGGGGCCGCCTGGGAAAAAACCGACGACTCCGCCTGGATCTTCGAGAAGAAGCCGTCGCTCTGGCACTCAAGAAGGTCCGAGCCCACCAAGGTGGTGCCCCCCACGCAGGTCACCTGCCGACGCGGAAAAGAAAACACCTCGGGATCGGAAGGTGGAGCAACACCCCGGAAAGAAACCAAAAAACACGACCTTCAAGGGAAACTCAGAGGAGCTTGCAGAGAAAAGTAAACTCGAGAATCAGATGTTTCTGGTGGATAAACCTTTGGAAACCCGACCTTTCTCATTCCAAAGGCTAGCGAGCACCGTGTCAATGTCGACTCAGCTCTGTGCAAAAGCATGGGCGAGACACCCAAATTCGAATCCAAAGGAGCTATCCAAACAAAAATGCCTCTCGGATGTCTGGCAAACCCAAACGATACGATCTCAAAGGAACCACAAGCTGCTCTGATTCCATCCCTGTAGGAAAGCCTCCACCGTTCAGCCATGTCTATGGCCCGGACCGGGACATGGGGAACTCACTGAATGTTCCATAACAAAACACGTGTCCCCAAAAAACACATGTCTATGGCGGACATGGGAAACTCACTGAGTGTCTGTCCCATTCAAGAATCAGAAGGGGCCGGAAACCTGATTGACACCAGGTAGGAGCTGCCTTCGGGACTTTTGGACATCATCTACATCGGGGAGTCCCTAGGAAATTCACAGCCATAAAATAGATGTAGAATGGGTGTGCCCTATTGAGCGTGGTCCCTCTGTTGGAGAGTTTTTGTTTCGGGAGATGGCTAGATGCCGGCATCTTTGGGGATTTTGAGCATCCCTGGCTCCGCAGAGCTCCCCATGGTCCATGGCTAGATGTTACCCGGTGTCTTTGGTGTCAGGCGTTCCACGAGAACCCGAGTCGCCTGGCAGGTCTCACCCTTCTGTACGCCCCCGCAGTTGCTGACGTCCATGCCCGCTGGGATGCTCAGCCCACTAAAGGAGCACAGCAGCGGTTGGCAGGCCTCGGTGGATCGATGTGCTTGGCTTGATGTAAGATTTCATGCATCATTAGCTTAATCATTATCATGTTCCCATGCATTGTTCTTCTTCTTCCTTGTCGTCGTGGTGGTGGTGGTGGTCATGGTCATGGTCATGGTCATGGTCATGGTCATGGTCATGGTCATGGTCATGGTCATGGTCATGGTCATGGTCATGGTCATGGTCATGGTCGTCGTTGCGGTCGTAGCCGTAGCTGTCGAAGTCGTAGCCGCAGTCGTCGTTGTCATAGTCGTACTTATGGTGGTAGTAGTAGCAGCAGCAGCAGCAGCAGCAGTAGTAGTAGTAGTAGTAGTAGTAGTAGTAGTAGTAGTAGTAGTAGTAATGGTAGTTGTAGTAGTAGTAGTAGTAGTAGCAGCAGCTGTAGCTGTTGTACACAGTCCTTTCAGAAAAGTGGACGGCACTGAGACCCGCTGAAACCAGCGGAATCCATCTATTGCCGAACTGGCCAAAGGACAACCACGACATTCGGCACCGGATTATTTGTTCCTTGATAGTCAGGCACACTGAGATCCAGGGAAGCTCCTGGGCGTGACATTGGCCAAGCTTCTCTTCCTTCAAGGCTCGCCCTGACCAAATCCGCTGGCTTGGGACGGATGAAACCCCCTAGAAGGGGTTAAGCCAAGCGGGACCCACCAACGTTAGGCCAAAGGCTGACGATTTCCCACTGGATTTGAGAACCCTATGTCACACCACTCTCCGCCCCATGTTTCTTGCCGTCGCGGCTGGTAGGTCGCCCTGCAGCGAGCCATCCACGCAGCTTTGCTCAGTGGCCTCGCTTGCGACTGGGCTCGAAGATGTCTGCTCAAAACTCCGATTTCGTGTCATGGCTCCCCAGGAACCTTCTGGCGGTCTAAAACCCGTAAGAGGTGGATGACCATCCCTACCGACCTCAAGTAAAGGGTCATTTGACCATGGCACGTAAATACCCCGTATGTGGCTACAAATTGGTACTCAACATTCAAAGAGAATGGTTTCAGCGGAGTGGAAGCCATCATACAGTGCCTCATCTAGAGGTGCTACCTCTTTTTTATACGTGGAAACGACCCTTGCCGCTGTTCGCAACAAATCCTGTGCCCACAAAACCAAAACCCAACAAGTCGCCCTTTGCTGTTTTTTTGTCTATTTATTTTTTTACAAGGGTTGCCATCTTGTCGAGGCTCGCTCAGTCGGTGGCCATGCGCAAAACTTCAGCTTCTCTCTACAGATGCCAGAGGTTCAAATCCCAATCCACCAATCCAAACCACAAACTAAGTGTTAAACCTGTTAATTTGTGGTTTGGCTTGGTAGCTCAGTAGTCATGCATTGCGGCGAGGTTGGATGTGGATGTCCAAAGGCTTATGCCATGGTCCTTTGCCAGGCCAACTTCGCAAATTTGCTTTCAGCATCACAAACTGCTTTGCAGCCAAAGCACGACGAAAACAGAACTCGTCTGTACCATTTCGTGACATGGTCGATTGCTGAGAAGGATATTGATCCATCGCTCTAATTGTTGGGGGGCATCGCTTCCAAAAACGGAGGGGGAAGGCCTGTGGATCAACACCGAAGGTCGGAGTTTTGAGGTCGAAAGTGGTGAAGGTCGAAGGCCGATAAAAGCTACTGGATCCAGAATCAAAGAAGCCGAGGCGTGTGTGTGCTTGTGTAAAGTGTAAGCTTGGAATCTTTGAAGCTTTTCACACTTCAGGCACTTCATATAAAAGATCAGTTTTCTCCCAATGGGAAAGTCGGCTGTTGTGGATGGAAGGAAATCACACGTCACCCCCGAACCTTTGGTTGCCGTTCATAACCCCAGAAACGGAATCAAAACAATGACCCAGTTAAGTTTGCCGGTTCTCAGCAGAGAATGAGTAATGACCCCGAGCAAAACCATTCCCTATGGTTTCCTTTGAGGGAATCCCTAGGTTCATTCCCAGCACAAGTAAGTTAAAGACACAACTCCTGCCGAGTGGCCGTGCCGAGGAAACCAGCTGCGCAGGACACAGTACAGCGGTCCCCGTGTCGCACACCCGCACAAGTGCTCGTGAAGTTGTCCAACCTGGGGCGCACAAAATATTGGGTGTGTCTGTTTTTGAGGGACCCTTTTTTTGGTTTGTAAAGCGCGTGAGGGTACCCCGTTTTGCGTGGTTTTAAGGACACCCATATCAGCTGCCCCTTTGGTGGTTTGGAGCCGAATCGGTGGTGTGGAGCTTGGGTGGGAAACCCATTGACCCTCAAGAACCAACATGTCAAATCCAAATCCAAACCACAAACCCCTAATTAGGGGGCTATCTGATACACGAGCGCATTTCTGGGTGGCTCGTCTTTTTTGATGCGAAAGGCACCCTTTTGGGCACGGTTTTCCCAGGGAAACCAAAAGGAGACCGAATCCCATTTTGTGGGCCCCCCAAAAATGAGATTAATGAGCTTCGGTTCCCACTATTTGGAGACAAACCCAAATGGGGGGTATGTGTCAAAACGGCCTCCAAACGTTGGTGGTTCTCTTGTGGTTTCCCTGTAGTCTGGTGCGGACATCAGAATTCGGTGGGGATTCGTGGCTAATCATTCGCGGGATTCGAACCCTTGGTGTTGGAACACCACCAAACCACCAATCCAAACCACCAACTACGAGTAGAGGGAAGTTGATCATGGAATGAGTGTCCTTATCTTTCCCAAAAACAAGCCGCAAAATGAATAAACTAACAACAAAACACACCTGACATCCTTTGGTTAGTTGGAGTACGCCCCTTTTTTGAGTGACTGGGTGCCATCAAGGGGTCTCAAAAACATATACTTTTGCTTTGGGAAAATTAACAAGTCCAACTACAAGCTACTTTCTACTTAGCGCCCAGCAAATGCTCCTCGTTTTCAAGCTGAAGCCCTGAACTCTGGACAGAAGTCATGCGTGCTTCGTCAGCATACGCCTTTCAGGGCGTCGGGGTTCTGGAGGAATCAAGAGTTTTGGATGAACAATATACAGTCAAATCCCCTAAGGTTCAACCGACTAAAAGAATGGCCAGGACCCAAAATGGATGATGACAATCCCTAGGTAAACAATGGTGGTTTTGTTTACCCCCATTGTTTTAATGGTGGCCTGCCTGAACCCCAGGAAGTAATTAGTTGTTCCACGATTGGTCGCTCGTAAAACTGTGTCCCAACTCTGCCCCAGCGTACGTTCACTTTCCAGAAACCGGGTGTAGCGAGGCTGTGGATGGGAATCCAGGTGAGTGGCCAATCTGCACGGATTCACGTGGAACGCGAAAAACTAATTGGTGAGTTGGTGAGTTGGTGAGTTGGTGAGTTTGGTGAGTTTGGTGAGTTTGGGGAGTTGCTTAGTTTGGTGATTTCCCATTCACCCCTCTACAAGAGGGTAAGGGGTTCATATCCAAAATTAAACCGCCAATCCAAACCAATCAGGAGTGGTCTGATTGTGGGTCCGAGCTTTTCTGAGAGCACCTTTCAGGATGGCGTGCGGGGAAGCACAGCTCCCCGCCCTTGTGTAAAGGAACGCTCTTTTGGAGGTACCGACCGCCAAAAAAGCAAGTCGTAATCAAAACCTGGTCATGTTGACCCCGGATTGATAAACCCCTTCTTCTGAATAGGGGCTGTTCCGACACCCTCTTACTGATCAACCAGGGGTTTGTTCATCTGGGGTCACCATTATTAAAATGGTTTACCCAGAAACGTGTAACTCCTAAAAAGGTGGCACCCATTTATGGTAGGGATTCTTCCTTCAACCTTCATCTACCCGGGTTTTGAGCAAGTGGCTCACCTTCACCTTCATCCAAGCTGGGGTCAACGAATTCGCCGGGATCGGAGGGGATCGAAGTCCCATGCCAAGCATGGTAGTGCCTATGACCCATTTTACCATCGCTGCTTCCCCCGCTTCCATTGGTTTCTGTTGCCCCTGGAAGAAATGAGAAAATGTGTCAGTGAAATCGATTCCCTTTAACCAACCAGGGAAAACAATTCAAGTCTAACTAAATGAAGTTTGGAAATCCAACCACCAACAAACAGCAACTCAAAAGCCTTCTGGAACCGGATGGCGATTTTTGAACCACCTCGCGACTTGGTTTTTTCTAAGCCGCGGCGAAAGGTCGCAGGCTTTCCTCTCGCAAAAAGGCGGCGACCCCTGGCCAAAGGCTTGGATCAGAGAAGCTACTCCCGGGCGTGCAGCTACCATTACAATCATGGGGTTCAGTCGTGTGCCTTGTCCTCGTGTTTTGGTTGTTCAGGCTTCCCAAAAAGATCGATGCCCCCTTCCCCTAGATTCAAATCACCCTTTAATTGGGGCCTTGCCATTCTTTTAATTGGGGTTGAACCTTAGGGTACACGTCAGTCTTGGAACCATGCAGGTGTGTCTGTTTTGTTTGAGGGTACCGCCCAAAAAGTTGCTGTCATTCTGGTTTCCCCTTAAGGGTCCCCAAGAAAGGCAAGCCACCCATGTTCTTGTGCAAAGTGACAGTGACTCATGTTACCACCAATAAAATAATTGGGGGTTCATATTTCACTACCATTGTTTGCCTAATGACATCATCCAATTTGGGTCAACCATTCTTTCAATGGGGGTTGAACCTTTACGCGTCAGCCTTGGAACCATGTGGGCGTCAGGGTGTGAGTGTGTGTGTGTGTGGGCGTGTGCTTTTGAGCTTCCCCCCCCCCCCACCGCTAAAAAACAAGAAAGAACAAGTGCTGGTCATACTGGTTTTCCCTTAGAACCCTACCAAAAAGGGGCTCCCTGACAGACATTGCCTAAAGTGGCCGTGACTGCCCGTAGGATGGGCAGGCTTCGACCCCACATCGCTTGCCTTTGGGAGTTCAGCTGGGGGTGAATATACGGACTCAGCCCAAGCGCCGCAAATGGGTCTGACTGTTTTTAGCGGTTGGACCCTAAAAAGCAGGTGTTGTAATTCTGGTTTTTTTCTGGTTTTTTCTGGTTTCGCTTAGTCAACCCGAGCAACTCAGACCTGTGAGGTCTGAGTCTTTGCCAAAGTGCGATTCCATGTTGTTTCCAGTGTTAAGAAACATGGGACCCTGCGAATGATTTGGGTTGTGGGACCATCAAAACTCGGAAAAAGGGAACCAGAGAGTGTGTCTCTTCACCGTTTTCAACATGAAAACAAGAAAAACGGATCTGTTGACTTGGGGCAAAGAGCAACTCAAAATGAGCGAGCCCAAAACACATACCAAACCGAACCCAAAGACACGCACAACAAAGGCTAGGATGTTTCCTTCGAGGTTGATCACGGTCAGGTTGTATTGAAAGGGTTGACAAAGCGCTTGGTTCTCTGCAAGTGCTCCATGCAAGAAACAACCCACCAAAAGGAAACTCTTCAAATGGCCACCGAAAAGGCGAGGTACCAACACCCGAGCCTCCTGCAACACGTCCTTCCTTGCAACAACCTTTTTGCTTCAGATTTCTTCTATCTACACAGAAACAAGTGCCCAACCTTTCCGATGTCTCTCCCACGCCCAAAGCGCAAAGCGCACATTGGCCCTTGCGCTTTCAAGTCGATGGTCGCGGAAAACGATCTTTTAAGTGGGATTCCCATCCCCATGACTCGAATTAACGTTGCAAGGCGTCAAATCCTTGGTATCGCAAAAAGCTATAACCTAACGTCAACCTAACATAAACCGCATGTTCGCCCAACATGCAAGTAAGTCGTAGCAGCTAGTCAGTGAATGAGCAATGCTCTTCTGACAGAGTGGAAATTAAAGCCTAGTTTCCCGCAACCATCTGGGCAAATGAAGATATAACTCTTTATCATTAAAAAAAAGTTAGATCCAAGATATGTCTGGAGTCACCAAATTTGAACATGGATCCTTCTCTGGACGAAACGATTCACGGGCTTCTCCTGCTCCGCCTCTTCCTCCTCTCTTCTTCTTCTTCTTCTTCCTTCTTTTTTCCGCCGAAAAGTGGCGCGCCCCCGCTCGACCTCCACGTCGACGCCCCTTTTCCGCGCGTTTTGCCGCGGCCGGCCTGGAAGGCGCCCTCCAGGTCGCAGACGTAGCGCGCGGAATCGCCCTGGAAGCCAAAGGCGCAGCTCACGTCGCAGGCCTCGGCTCCCCACCTCCCCCACCCCGCATTTTTCCCCAATTCCCCGCAAGCGTCTTCCTGTTTCTCGCAACTCTTATTTAAAAAAAAAGGGATCCGGATCCTGCCCAAAATAAGTGGCTAGGGGAAGAATCATAGGATCCATGCCCAGATCGGACTATGGGAAAAGCAAAGTACAATTACAATCAACGGGATCCGCAGCTTGCCAAAGTAAGTGAACAAGACTATGGAAAACAGGGGAAGCTAAAATGTTGCCTTCCCCGAAATAAGACGACGGGAAAAATCAGAGGATCCACGCCCAAACTCAGACTTTGGGAAAAATCATAGGATTCACACTCAAAATCAGATGGAAAAAGGAGAAGCGAATCCGTTGCCATCCAAAACAAAAGTTCTGAGGGTTGATGCTGTTGCCCTCTGAGTAGCAAACCCCACATTGTTCATCAAATGGGTCAGGAACCCAGATCGCCAACATGTTGAAACATACATGGGCGGGCGGTATCCAGAAAGGGTACTTCCACACAGATTATGGTATGTCGTTGTCGTTCATCCACTTTCGCGAAGGATGCCTTCCCTTTATTTCCACCCCTGGCATAGTTCCAATCATAGAAGTAGACGTGGGCAGCTTTCCCTCACTTGTCCCCGTCTTCTTTCAAAAAGTTGTTGGAAGGAGGGTCAATGGAGCTGTTTCAAAGGGTTAACTTACAGGAACATCCACCGAAGATGGCCCCAAAACACCCTGATTTACAGTAGCTGAATTTCGTGTAGCCCAACCCTTTCACTGTTCAAAACGGTCCCCCAAAAAGATATGAGAAGAGTTCAACCACGGGGGTGCAGGCAGAGCTTGACCCCTTTCTAAAATACCCTGGCAACACGAGGGGTGCAGTTGGGAGATACTTGGCACAATCGAAACCAAGAACTAAAGAGGTGATTGTACTTATATATATATATATTGATTTATTTATTCCAAGCCCTTGTAAAGAATTGATTGAGAGGGCTTCGCTGCACTTCCGCGCGCCTCTCCGGCCACCTTCCCCAAGCACTGCGTCACGTCCAGCCCCGGCAGCGCCGGCAGCAGGTCACTCCTTGATCCGAGGGAAAGAAGAAGGAAACCCAAGGCCAAGTAGACCCAAGCAGGGATCCTTACATTATACACCTGAACATTGCCTTGTAAATGGTGGTGTCCCCTTATTTTGGTGGGGAAAAGCCATGGTTCAAATGGGCAAAATGTATCTTTTAAGGAGCCCTGCCAAGCCACCCTGAAATTGGCTGCCAACCAAAACTACCCCAGCTACCCTGAAAACAAAAATGCCAGGGGAAAAACGTGTTGTGCGGTAAAGTAGAAGGCCGATTCCTGCTTGTGCGATCCGTCCCGGACGGAAAGAACCTGGACAACGCCCCCAAAACGTTGGGAATCCGCCTTTTAAGGCAATCCACGTAGTATACCACTTCTGGTGAAACGGGAGAGTGAAGGAACCCAGCCAGCAAAGGGAAAAGACCCTTCAAGCTACCTTTTGAACAAGGATTCCTCCGCCACAATCACAGGGGTTTCCGGTGCAAAAGGGAAAATGAAGGAATTTCCCGCGAGGAAAACAACCAACGGCGATGTTTTCTTCCCACACAAGCTACCTTTTGAAAAATTGATCCCCCCCCCCCAAAAAAAAAAAACTCAGGTGATATCCCCAACAGCATGCGGAGCTCTTTTTAGTGCTCGCACCACCCCGCAGCCCTCGCAGAACCTCGTGGAACCCTGGTGGAACCCTGGTGGAACCCTGGTGGAACCCTCGTGCAACCTTACCTCAGGGCCGCCCCGGACCACCCCGGAGCCTATCTGGGCTGAGACCCCAAAGCTTTCAGCTGTTGGGGAAAAACACAATCACAGGGTTTCTGGTGCAACTGGAACATGAAGGAATTTCCCGCAAGGAAAACCACCAACGGCTTTTTTCTTCCACACACAAACTACCTTTTGAAAAATTGATTCCCCCCCCCAAAAAAAAAAAACATCCCACAATCACAGGGGTGTCCGGTGCAAAAGGGAAAATGAAGGAATCCCACGAACCACACGGCGTTTTTTGTGGTGTTTTTTCACGCGGCCGTGGCTCAAGCAGTTCAGCGCTTGGCAGCTGGGCACAGCGCCCGAGAAGTTCCCGTCGGCGCCGCAGAGAAACTCCGCGGCGGCGGGCTGAAAGCCGGGGCGGCAGCTCACCAAACACCGCTCCCCCGCGGAGGCGCCTGGGCGATGATGCGATTTGTTCGCTCCCGCGACGCGAGTTAGGAGACTTGTGTCTTTTTTTGGTGATGAGCCAGAATTCGCTCGCGATGGCGAATGAGGCGACTGTTTTGTCTTTTTTCCCCGGAGAAAAAAAAATGCGGAAGCGTCCTAACTCGAGTTTGTGGATTTGGAGCTGTCTTTTGGAGGTGGTTTTTAGAGGTGGTTTGGAGGTGCGGAGCTTGGGTTTCCCATTTGCCCTCAAGACCAAGGGGTTGCCTAAGACGCCAAGGAGACTGACGTGGACGCTCCCAAAAGCCCATGCAGCCACGTCCGAATCCTGGGAGCTTCCATGGAATCGCCGGGGGGAGGGTAGCTGCAGGCGAAAAACGAAATGGACTTTCCGTGACGCCAAGCAAACACCTTCATTAAAGCGGGAAACCTGAAAGGGTGTCCTTTAGAAAGCGGCCCTAAACACGTATCAGCCTAAATTCCTTCTGTGATGCCAAGCAAAACCTTCTGTAATGCCAAAGTGAGAAACCTGAAAGGGATACGAAAACAACAGCCTGAAGCAAGGCAAAGCAATATCTGGGGCCTTTTTAGGAAGACATCCTCAAGCCGATCCATTTCAAATGGAAGAGGGGGTTCAAGGGAAACAAGCCAAGCTCAACGGTGCCGAGAGAACTAGATCCCAAAACTGCCCCACTACAAGTTTAACTTTTAGTGGGTTGAATGGAAAACCCGCCACTAAACATCTCTACTCTTGGTATGGTAGCAAAACACTTTGTTTTTTGCAGACCCCCAGTAAAAATGAACACCTCCAGAACGGGTCCCTCAAAGTGGTACGAGGGCCCCTTGACCGAATCGATCGGCGCAAGGGTAGAGATTTGGGGGTCCTCGTGGGAAGCGAAATAGAGCATTTTGTTTCACAACTGGAATTAAAGGATTCGAATCAACCCCATGTCAAGAATCAAACGGATGTCCGCACCTTTTTATGACTGAGCCTGTCCCCTCTAATCATTAATCTTCACTTGCCCTTGCTCCAGTCTTGATCCTGGCGCTGAAAGGCCAAACCTCAAACCCCCAAAAGACGTCCCTCCTTTCAGCCAGGCGCCCCTTTCTTTGCAGAGACCACCGAATCCTTTTCCGACCCCAAACCTGTTGGGCAGCTCCTTTGGAGGGACGTCGCCAAAGAAAAGCCATGAAAAAGACGCACCGTGACGCTGCTGAACCTGGTCCCCTCTTTGGCTCAAGTTGAAACCATGGGGCCTACACAGCCGGAGGTATCGAAGTCGCTGGGAAGCTGCTGGGCCGAGCAAGCGATCTGCTCGCAGACCAAACCGCTGGCCACCGGCTCGAAGAGGGCGGTAGAAGGGTTGCAGTAGTACTCCTCCGACACTCCTGCCGGAAGGGTTGCCTTCCAGGACGCGGAGAGAAAACGCGGTGCGGAGTGCAGCACTGCAAAGACACGAAATGCAAGCTGGAAGGCTCCAGCCCACAAAAGTGGTGGGCTGGTCCAGCCATGAGCTTCAGCCGAACAGGTCCCCCTCCCACCACCCAACCTGGCACGCAACCCCGCGATTCCGGCTTACCTGACTCTCTTGGTTTTCACCCAACCTTAACCTCTCCGTCCGTGGGGGGGGGGGGGGGGCAAAATGCACGCCCAAATGCCCAAATGCTTAGGCCGAACCTCCCGTTGGGATCAAAGACTGCAGGTCCCGTAAACCGCAGGCTGGCTCCTATTCGATCAAGAAGGGAAGGGTAGAAGTTGTTCCTGGTGAAGGGAGACCAAAAGGCACTGTTTAACAAACTGCTTCCCTTGTAATGTGGTCATTGTTTCTAAGTTGGGAGCAACCCTGTTGATCTGCAGAATCCACTCAATAATGCCTTAAGTGTCCAAAGTCCAAACCGTTCTACTTGGTCTGATTAATCCCGATCGCGAGGATAACGTAGAGGTTATGAGACCACCGCAACTTGAACGGACTTCACGTGCTGTGAAAAGAAGCTAGTACTGAAGTTCAAAAGAGGTGGCAACACAGCGAAAAGTGAATGCCGCAGAAAGCAAACAAGACGAGATTGACCATACCTGTTCCTTCATTGCTTGCTAGCTACATGTTGTTTGGTTTTTGGTGGGATACCTCATAGATCCCTCTAAGCTCTACGAGTCGAAGGCTACGGTTTTTATTTTACCGCCGAACGGTTGCTTTTCTCGCCGTCGGGGTACAACCTTCCCCTTTGTTGTGCTCCAAAGCCAAAACAGAATCCCCCACCACCACCACCAACAATTATGTCCACTACCAAGTGGTGTCTGTCGCGTCCTGTGTAGGTTGGAATACAGGAGGCCAGGCAGGTCTCGCCGTTCACCTTCCCATAGCAGTCGCTGACATCCGCCCCCGAAGTCGACGGCAGGCCACCGGAGCAAACTACTAGCTGCGTCTGGGTAGTGGTAACGCTGGTCATGGTGGTGGTCTGCATGCAGGTGGGTGGTGTGCCCACATAAATCTCCTGGAACTCACAGGAATCAAGAAAACAAATCCATCCTTCTCTCTCTCTCTCTCTCTCTCTCGCTCTCTCTCTTTCGCTCTCTCTCTCTCTCTCTCCCTCTCTCTCTCAGCAAGTCACCCTCTTTTTTCAAGACAACTCATGCAAAAGTCGCCAACCTGCACCTGACAGCCTGCCGCATGGCTGTCATAACCACCTCCTTCTGCTCCTGTGCCGGGCTCCCCTCCTCCCCTCCCCTCCTGCGCCGTGCACGTATAGAGGCTTGGATCCTGAGGCCGCGATCCGTCAAAAGACCACAAGGTTCCAAGGTCAGGCCAGGTCTTTGAAGGAGCCACATACCGGAAATTCACAGAAAAACCGCCGCAGAAAAAAGCCGCCGCTTACAGCATCGTCTTTTTGGGAACTCCTCCCCTTTTTGGGGCCCGACGCTCATGTCCCCATGTCCATACTTCAGTGTGGTCAGGACCATTTGGTGTGGCTACACTGCAGATTCACAGAGAACCTCCCAAGAAAACGTAAAGTGTGAGCCGGATCTTCATTTGACTCCCTTTCTACTGTCCATGTCAACTTGCTGCTGCCGACAAAAAGACTTGAAGCCCTCTGTTTCAAAGTTACATCGACCATTCATCTTTAAGTGACCAGGTCTGTGGGCACACATCTTGCGCCAGGTTGTCCCTAGTATTCCCAAAGTCTGACTTGCTCCACCATGTTTGTTATCTGTTCACTCCTTGTCGGAGGGGGGGAGTGGTAGGAACAGTCTTATGATTTCGGGGCGCAAAATGATACCGGAAGAAAAAAGCGTCTGGAATCGTCCTGGCAAATTACTCTAGCTCCCATACCTGAAACAAGGAATCTAAGAGGGCACCATTCATCGCAAAGGACCTGTGTGAGTGCTGCCATCTTCAGTCCTTCCAACCCTGTCCACTCACAAGAATCTTTGATTCTTGTCGCCTCTTTCGAAGGTTTGTCCCAAAATTGAAGACCCCCTTCAAATTGGTACTGTTCCTGGACCCTTCAACTGCCCTTATGGATGTTGCCGGATGTTGCCAACATCCAGACACAATGGGCTGTGTTCCAGGAACCAACAGGATACCAACGGATTGGTCTCTGTATGGAATCTCCCTTCAATGGCTGGCTCCTTGCGGGGGTGGGGGGGAAGCGGGTAGATTCGGACCCAAGCAGGACAGTATCAAATAATATGCAACAAACCCCACCCATATGGGTTGATCAATATTCCCTTCGGCCCCAAAATGACCATCGGCCACCTTTCCAATGTGGAAGTCCTCTTTTTGGTTTGTGGGTTCCCTGCTGGTCCCATGTTCTACTTAAGAAAGCATAAACCCCCTCCCTTACCCCCCCCCCCTCTTGAGACATGCTATAGCACTGCTATTGGAGTGTTTTAACACTGTTAAAGTATTTGGCTACCAAAGGGTTCCCCACTGACTGGCGGCGCGACAAACCCTGGAAAATGACACCCACCACTACGCTCATGCTCGTCCCCCTCGCACCCCTTCCTTCCCCGTCCCCTGCCCTTCCCGTTCGCTCCCCCGAAGCTTCACAAGTCCGTAAGTCTTCCGCAAGGCTTCCGGGAGCTTCCGGAAGCTGCCGGAAGCCTTGCGGAAGCTTCCGGAAGCCTTGGGGAAGCTTCCGGAAGCCTTGGGGAAGCTTCCGGAAGCCTTGGGGAAGCTTCGGGAAAAAGGGGGGGGGGAGGGGGGGACCACCCTTGTTTCATCCCCAATCCCCCCCCCTTGTTCCCGAAGCTTCCCTAAGGCTTCCGGAAGCTTCTGCAAGGCTTTCGGGAAGCTTCCCACCTATTTGGCCCAAAGCAGGGGGGGGTAAAGGGGGGGGGTTGAGGCTTCTTAATCTACGGACCTTTTGGTCTGCGTCCGCCCTGTCCCTTGGTTCTCATGGCACGCTTGCGTGCTTCGGAGGCGCTCCCAGAAAGCCGAAGGGGCAACGCACCTGCCGGCGGCCATTTTTTGTGAGGAATCCCAGTGGCCCGGCTCCACCACGGTGCTCAAACCCAGGTGAGTTGCCAAGAACCCCCTGATTGTTTCTACCCGAGCCGGAAAGTGCGAGGAAACACAACGAGGAAGCCTGGGGCCCATTGGCCGACAGGTTGGCAACACTCAAACGAGCCGGAGGGGCCCCGGGAAAAACAAAGGACCAAGACCAAAACGTCTATGAACTTTGATCCGTGGTTGAGAGAGCAACTGTCGAAACCCCACGAAAAAAGAGGTGGAGAAAGTGCAACGAAAACATGAAAAACAAAGGCTGTGGCTTAGTTGCGGCCCTACTGATTTGGTCGCGACCATTCTTCAAGAAACTCCTGGGGGAGTTGCATGGACTACCACTGTGAGGGTGTGCTTGCAGGGGTCTTTCGTCCCTCCTCTAAAGAAACCCAAGAAATGTGGGCCGGGTCTGGTGCCCTTTCCAAAACGTTGAATGTGATGCTTCGGGGGCCAGTCCGCAAAGCAAGCATCACTCAGCACAGCCGTGAGCAAACCAGCTGAGCAGGGATCCTTCGAATGCTCGAAAAACCCCTGGCGAAGAAGAAGCATGTGAGCCCGGGCCCAACTTCCGTTCAAGCTTGAGGCCATGACGAAGGAGTCTGAGTTGCACCCATGGAAATTCACATGGTGTTACACAGTCTTAGTCCTACTTCAGTGCTAAAAGGAGCTCAGGGATCAATAACTCCGTGGTTGATCTTGGGAAGGTATCCCAGCTAATTTTGCCCCGCCGGGGGGTTCAAATCCGTCCCGGTTTCTGGAAAGGGATCCCCAAAAGTCAACATTAGGCTGTGGCTCAAAAAACCGGAATTCCAAAATGGCTTGCCCTGGTAAGTGGAAACATGGACCAAAACCTGCGGTTTGCCCCTCCGATCGTTGAATTTTGAGCCACACCCATTAAGAGGGCAAGCACCGGATTTGATTGGCCGTGACCATCTCTCAGGCTGATTGATCCGCGGTCATTCGACGTCTCTCGGCTCTTCCCCGGCCCTGTCGAAACACCCAAAGTTGGTGTTCTTTTGGTTTCCCTTGAAACAAACCCGCAAAGGGGGCCAAAGGGGTCCCCATATTCTTTGGAACCCAGAAAAGTCCAACTTTCCTTCGGTGCCCCTTGCTTTCCTCTGGTGTCCTTAGGTTTCTTCAGGTGCCCCTTTCAAAAACCCAAAGAAACTCAACAAAAACCCCACACGAAGCTTCTTCAAACTTCTGAAACCAACCCGCCACCGCGCCCCCTCGCTCCTCCCGTCGCGCCCGCGCTCGCGCGCCTCGCAGCTCTCCCCGGGGAACTTGTCGCGGCAGCCGGCGGCGTCGAATTGGCCCCCCAGCGTGGGCGCGGGGCAGCTGCCGGGCAGCGACGTGGCCGTGCCTGGCGCCACCGTGTTTTGTTTGTTTTTGGTTTAACTAAAGACCAAGAGGCTTCATAGGGGGCCTTTTGGAAGAAAGCGATGGGTTTCCCTAGAAAATGGAAGAAAACCCATCTAAACCAGTGGTAAAAAGGACACCTATGAGAGGGTTCCCTTTTGGGGAAATTAAAACAACCACTGGGTTTGAGTCTACAAGCGAAAAAGTGGGGAACCCCGAGTGAGATGATCTTGCGATCGCTGCGAGAGATTCAGGGAATGAAATGGAATGATCCCGAGAAAAACCATCCAACTGGTGGCTTCCTTTAAGGGAATCCCTGGGCTCATTCCCTCATTCCCTGCTGAGCACCAGCAAGTAAAGCGGGGCTGTCCGTTTTCAGATCCGCCACAAGCGACCAACTCGTGGGTGAAATACGGAAAGCAAAAAAAACTCTAAGCACGAAAAAGCTAAGAACCCAAGGGGACGGCGGCCGGCGTTCTTCTCCCCGAGCGGCTGAAAGCTACGGGCTCGAAGGCGGTGTGGGGCCGAAAATTCAGGAGGGTTCCGGTTGTGGGTTCCGGGGGTTGTCACCTGGAATTGGTATGGGAAAACCACCGGGGGGTTGCCACAAGGGGTAGCAAAGCAGCCCGGTGTTTGTTTCGCCCCCAACAGCTGAAAAGTATGGGGCCGAGAGGGCCAAATAGGCTCGTAAGGTTCCGGTTGTCGGGGGTTCCAGGGTTGCTGTTGGGGTTGCCACAAGGGGGTTCATCAGCTTGGTTTACTCCCCAACAGCTGAAAAGCTATGGGGTTGATTGGCCCAGATGAGCTATGGGGTAGTTTAAGGGTTCCCGGAGGGGTGCTGTTGGGGATCACCCGCACACACCCCATAAATAAAATGGTGGATTAAATTTTGGCGCTTCTGCCCAGTTGGATTCCCTCCAAATGCATTGTGCCCCAATCAAAAGTCGAAAAGGCGATTCAACTCGTGCTCCTAGCTGCCAGAAAGCCCCAAAAATCCTCCGTTCCCTCCGAACGGGGCGCTTGTGGGCACTCTTTGAGGAACACTCCGGCCTGTGGATGTGCGGGTGGAGGTGCTTGTAAGCGTGGCTGTGCTCGTTGCCGAGGTGAATGTCCGAGTGGAGGACGTGGTGCTCAACGATGTGGTGATCGTTGTGGTCCTATCTACTGATTGGCCTTGGGGGGAATGAAATGAGTCAGAGTTGTTATCAAAACCTGGCATTAAAATGGTCTACGCAGAACTATATGTAAAGAATTAAGACTTCAGAAGGTGGCCGCCGCACCCATTTATGGCTCGGATTGTCTCGTAGTACCCTCCAATTGCCCGGATTTTTGATTGTGACTCAAATGATGCCTTGTCTGATTCACGTCAAAGCGGGATGCCCCAACATTTTCATGTGTCTGTGTTTCCTTTTGGGTAGTTTGAGCATCCCCTCACCCGGAACAGGGGGTGTTCGCTCATTCCATTTTCCCGGAGGCCAGCAAATTGGGCTGGCCTCAGATCGCTGCTAAAAGTTTGACTTTTAGTGGGTTGAATAGAAATCCCCACTAAACCCCAAAAAGCTAAAAGAGTTCAAAAAACACACGCAGCGGGTGTAGAAAAGCCGCGAAACAGGGCACTGCTCTGCCAGGGCAAAGACAGCAAAGGAGACTGGGCAAGACCTTTATAAGTTGCTGGTAAGTCTTCCCCACTTCTCAATGAAGGTGAACATTTTGAGGGGTTCCAAAAAAGTATTCTAGCTTTTAGCCCAAAAGCTTGATGAGTTGGGTTACAACTTACAATCTCCTGTCGCCAAAAAGAAAGCCCCTCGGGACCAAACTGGGGGTCTCCAAAAGTTGATTTACATTCTAAAGTGTACACATGGACCATCACCTAACACACATTTGATAAGATGAGGTGATGATCAGTGTGGACCTAACTCTGAAAACCTTTGGTTAGAGAAAATTGGCGTGGTTGGCTTTTTAGGCACCAACTACTTGTTGCAACACAGAGGACAACCCTCGGGTTCAGTTACCCACCATTAAATTAAAAGTGTTGTTTGACATGACCACCATGGGGAGGAATGGACCCAGAAAGATCACCCGATTGCCCACCTGTGGCGTCAAGGCCTTGCAGAGATCGAAAGGGGTGGGGGTGCCTGGGTGCATGAGGGAAGGTTTGGGGAGCAGGGTATATGCAGAATAAGGATACCCCGCAGATTGTGGTGTTCCTTTCGATTTCCCTTCATCCCTGGAAATGGTACTCTCAACAACAAGCAGACAAGCACACAAACAAACAGACAGACAGACAAACAAACGAACAAACAAACACACACCTGGCATGTGATTGGACACCTTCATTTTGCTCCTTTGCTCGTTGGTCAGTGGGTAAATGATCACTTTCTGCTGGCTTGCCATGCGGTTTTTGTGGTCTCCGTGGTGCTCCTCGTTGTGGAACTGGTCAGCGACGTTCCCGTGCTGCTCGCCGTCGTCGTGGACGTGGTGCCCAGCAGCAGGTCGCAGCTCTGCGGCGACAAGGGCTCGCTCTGCCAGGGGAAGTTCAGTTTCGGGGTGATGACGCACTTCCCGGAGCCGAAGATGGGCCGCCACCTGAGAAGGGGTTGAACAACTGGGGGCCCCTGTCGATGGGTGAAGAAAAAAGGAAGAAGTTTGGGTGGCCCTCAAGCAAGTCCTGGGTTCCCAGTTGCCCTTGACCTTCTGCCCCGAGCAAAGAATCCGATAGGGGAATCCCTGAAAAGGGGTGAGTGGATGCAACGTTTTTGGAGGCAACCCCCCAAATGGGTTTTAAGGGAAAACCACAAGGATAACCAACCAATTTTGGGTAAGCCCAATTTTACGAGACACCCACAAGTGCCTTTTGAAGTGACTAGGGCTCCCTTGCATCGCTCCAAAAAACCCACCAAAAGCCATGAGGGACGGCTGGTGTCTGAGGGGAGCGATTATTGAAAAGAAGAGGAAAAGATATCGGCCCCTCGACAAATAGGTGAGTTTATGGTTGAATCTAAACCCTGTCACCTGATTAGGGAAATCACGTTGTGGCCCGGGGCACATAACCGACCGAATGCGAAATCAACCCATGGACCAATAGGCTTGTCTCGACAGCTCCCCTCCTCCCTCCCCCCTCCCTCCCCCCCCCCAAGAAAGGAGTGGTTTCCTATATATATATATATATATATGTGGCGTCCCTTTACGACAACACTATGTAAGAATGACCTGACTTATCCTGGGTTTACTGATGAGTCGGTCAATCTGAAGGAGTGGCCCCCCCCTTTGAGTTTCCTACACGGTGATCAAAAGCTCCGAGAAGCCACTGGGATGACCACTGGCTGGAAAGCCACTAAGAAGATGATACTGTGGATGTAACGAAATCCTGCACCACTTTGAAACTATGGGAAACCATTTGGTTAAGACCCCTGGAAAAAAATACAAAGTAAAATCCAGTAGTGATAGATTCCCTTTGAAACCAACAGGGGAAAGTAAAACATATTCTTAAGCAAATGGAAGTTTATTGGTGAGAACAGGGGAATCATCATTTCTGGGTTTCTTAGGTGGTGCAGGATTTCGTCCATCCACAGTACGTCCCACCACAAGGGAAAAGTTGGCCATGGCCATGGTCATGTGGGGCCCTAAATGAAATACCGATCAACCCGCACATGGTTTTTCCGGGCTCCAGGTTTTTAGGAAGAGCAATCAACCAGGAGTGTGCATTCCGGCACCAATTCTGGGCATGTGTCGAAATTGGGTGTTCGTTCTGTTTTCCCTTTCACCAAATTGACAAAGGATCCAACTACAAAAGAACAAACACCGGTATGTGTTTCAGTTGAGGGTCCCACAAACTGGTGGTCTTTCTTTTGGTGTCCTTTGAACTGAAAAAGGACCCGTCAAAAGAAGCGCACACACAGATGGCCATGGGTCAAAACCCCGTACCCCCAGTGAACATCAACCAATCCAACCACTAAAATAGGTTCTAAAATGGGTGTTGAACTCACCAACACAAAAATCAAAAATGGAACCAAAACGGTTTTGACCCACAGCCAGATGCAGGCGAGGCGCGTACATCCCTCGGTGGCGCGGCAGGCGGTCGGGTCTTCCACGACCATCCCGCAGACGGACCTGGACGCTGCTTTCTGTTTTGTTCCTTTTTGTTTCTAAAAGACAAACATATTTTGATGTTCTTGTTTTGCTTGCTTGTTTTTGCTTGTTTCTTTTTTAGTTGTTTGTTGGGGGCGGAGGCTTTCAATCGAGATTGGCCAGAAGAAGTCGAGCAACGTGTTTTTGCTTTACCAGAATGGTCCAAACCTTCAAGTGAGTCACAATCAAAACCGATCGGTATGAAGATGGTCCAGTCTGAGGGTTTGAGGGTATGAAGGTCTGAGGGTGTGGTCTGAGGGTAACCCAACTCCACGTTTCTGGAACTTAAAAAGGCGGCACCTATGTCCGGCTAGGACTTCCCCTGAACCGTCATCTACCTGGGTTTTGAGCAAGTGGCTCAAGCGATTCAGGTCCGACTTCCGAACCTGCAATCCCACAGCCCAGGTTTGTCGGGGGACACGGGAATGGAGGATACCCTCTCTCCCACGTTGCCATGGCACCTCACAGAGAGTCCCTTCAAGAGGAAAAGGATCCTTCCAGGTGCCCCATGTCAGTGGGAGACAATTCCCTGCGCACTTGAAGGGGACACAACCTTCGACGCTTGCGCTCTGGGGCCCGGCCCATCAGGGTCCCCATGTCTAAGATGGTTTCCACTGGCCCCAAATACCAAACCACCCCCAACGGAAATGGGGGAAAACAAAACCACGTTATTGCTTTCATCCCCCCAAACCATTACCCCAAGAGTTCAATGGGGGTAGGGAGATTATTTTTTTCACATTCCAGAGCGAACACCAAACCCAGAGCCAAGCGCAGCTCGATTGGCTCCACTATGGGGGTTCGTTCGAGCAAAGATACCTCCAGCTGCATCTCTCCCATCTGCGGGTTCAAGACTAGAAGAAGAAAAAAAGGAGAAAACAAAAACGAGCTGCTGGCGGACCCCCCCCCAAGCATTCCCTATTAAGACTCTTTCGGTGATCCTGAAAATGCCCAATAGGAACAAGGGAAGTCACACCATAATTATGGGGAGTATCCCGTGTTGGGCAGTTTGAGGGTCTGCATCATGGTTGGGGAAACCCCTAAAGGAAACCAATCCTCTTTTCAGAAACCACGCAAGCGGACCATGCCGGGCTTCAACAGACTATCATCCTGTTCAAACTTGCAAACATGATTTCCGAGTTCTCCCGCAAAAGAAACCACAAAGGGACAGACTTTTTCTTGATTTCCCAAAGGAAGCCAAAAGGGCAAAAGAGCATATTTGTTGCATCTTTCCGAAGTCCCCTTTCTCCCACCAAATCAGCTTCCCTCTAACGGTGGTTTGGATTCGTGGTTTGGTGCTAGGCGTTTCCCATTGGCCCTCTACAAGAAGCAAGGCTTCAAATCCAAATCCAAACCACTAATCCAAACCACCAACTAAGGGTTGCCTGATTTTGGCTTCCCCCTTCTCCCACCAACCAAAAACGTGTCCAAACAAAACATATGGCTGTGGCTCAACGTGAAAGACTTCGGGTTACACAGGTTTTAGTTTGTGGTTCCATGTACCAGGGTGCCATTTTGGTAGAATGTTCGACCCATACCCATCTCCCTGTTTGTGTTCACCCCCCCAAAAGAGACAGTTTCCAAAAAACATCTCAAAAATGGTGGTGTTCATGTTGGCGTCCCCTTTATCCCAAAAAACAACGGCGTCAAAAAATATGTCCCCAAAATGAAACCCTGGCAAGTGGAAAAAGATGGACCAAAACCTGCGGTCCAATTCCCGGTGGCTTCATTTTGACCGACAGCGCCATATGTTCGACCCACACCCATCTCCCGATCTTGTTTCTTTTTCACCCGGGGGACAAGCTGGACTGCTGCAGCGCATGCTCCGCGGCGGTGTACACGGAGCAGTTCCTGGCGTCCGGCAGGTGGGGCGTCCAGGGGGTCGTCCAGGGCCGCCAGCCCACGCGCTCCTTCTCCTGAGCTCCAAATTGATTTGCCTTTGGGTCAAAAAAATCCGCACGGTCCGCACCGAAAATGGAACCCCATCGAAAAAAAGGAACCAAAAGGAAACCATCCATTGAACTGAGCCCATGGATTGATTTCCTTCTCCTAGCTCCAAATTGATTTGGCTGTGGGTCAAGAATAGGTACCCAAAATGGAACCCTGGTAAGTGGCAACATGGACCAAAACCTGCGGTCCGATTCCTGGTGGTTTAATTTTGACCCACACGCTGTGGGTCAAAAATCCGCACCGAAAATGGAACCCCATCGGAAAAAAAAGGAACCAAAAGGAAACCATCCAAAACAACTGACCCCATGGATTTCCTGCTCCTGAGTCGCTGATTTGCTTGCGGCTGGGTCAAAAAGGCCCGTGATTCGTTGGGGGAAACCACAAAACCTGAGCTCAAAGTTCATTTCTGGGTGAGTGGGTTGTTTAGGGGGTTGGGTTTTTAAGAGTCCAAAAGGAAACAAACTATCCATTTAACTGAGTCGCTGATTTGCAGCAGCTGGGTCAAAATTTATTTGGGGGCTGATCAAAGGGTCCGTGATATCGGGGATGACCGTTGGGGGAAACCACTAAACAAATGATGTGTCCCACTAAACAAGCAAAGTTACCCATGGTCATTTGGGGACCCCCATCGCTGGGTGGGTGTTTTCTTGCTGGTGCGATAGGCACGGAATGAGACATGGAATGACCCTCAAAAACCATCCCTTGTGGTTTCCATTAAGGATATTCCCAGGTTCATGTCCTGATTCTCTAGTGAGCACCAGCAAGTTTGTTTAGGGGATGAATTTAAAGAAAATCCAAAAGGAAACCAAAGCAATTGTGGGGGTATGAGACAAACCCATTTCGCTATATCCTAGATGGCTCCATGATTGCAACGTGGGTACATGAGCCATTTTGAAAGGTGCTCGTATACAAAACAACTTGTTTTCTATACTGTCACTCCAGACACCAATTGGAATTCGTGGTATTAACCAGTTCTCATTGGGCTTCATCAATCCGAACTGAAATGGAAAATGCCCCCTGGGATTAAAACCACCACTAAAACAATGGGGGTTCATACAACAACCGTTGTTTATGCCAGGATTGTCATCAGCCAACTTGGGTCCGCCATTCTTTTCATGGAGGTCGAACCCTGGGGTACCGATTTGGGCTTTTCGTAAGGGAGCTTGAGTACAAAAAGAGAGACACGTCCTTTGCACGAACCATGTTTGGGTTCCAAACGCAACGCCAATTCTGCTTCGGCTTCCTTTTTGATCCACCTCCCCTGAACCAAAGAAATCCCAAACACGTTTCAAGATGCTCAAAAAGAATCGCTCGAAATTTCGGAGCAAAAAAATGGTTCAATAAAGTGTTGTGATACATATTCATGGCATGGAGCAGGATTCCTCCTGATGGTTTTGGTTTCACGGGAAACCAGCAAACCCACTCACTTTGTTCAGCTTCCCAATATTTCGTGGTTGGATTGGTGGCTTGGAGGTGCTCCGGGATGATTTCCCAGCCAAAATGGATGTGTCTTAAAATAGGGTAACCCCTAAGAAGCGTTGTTTCCTTTAGGTAACACCATTTCGAAAAAGGGTAATTGCCGAGCCTCAAAAACAGACACACAAGCACCCTTCTCCAGTTGCATCATGCCTTTTCTTGCTTTCCCAAAACCTCCACCTCCAGCACACAAACAAAACAAAAAAAGCCAGGGCTGTGTCAATATTTTTAGAGGAGCCCCTTTTTGCGGCAACGGCTCAATGAAGAAGAGGACCATTGCAACTGCCCCCCTCAACCCCGAAACCAAGAAAAAGAACAGGTGGTTCAGAACAAAAATATAACGCGAAAAGAAAAAACCACCGAGAAAAAAAAAGGCCAACCCCCCCCCCCCCCTGTTTTGTCCCCCCAAACCCCCCCTTCAACCCCCGAAAAGTCTCCCCTCCTCCCCGCAGCCCCGCCTTGGGCACGTAGAGCAGCGTCTGCTCCATGGAGATCTGCCACGCGACGTAGTCGTCCGCCGTGGGGCCGTGCACCACGCCGCAGTCCCCGTAGCCGGGCAAAGCGGCCGTGGCCAGCTCCCAGTTCAGGCAGAACTCCTGAAAGTTCCCATGGCCCTCCGGAACTCACCAAATGCCCGTTTCTCTTCTTGTCCTTTTCACGGAGTTCTGGCCAATTTTCCCCCCTCCAAATACCCCTGGCGAGAAAAATGAAAAAACCAAACGAGTTCGGGGAGTTCTGGCCGGGCAGGTGTTCTGGAACCCTCCAAAACCCCCGCTTCTTCTTTTGTTTCGGTGGTATCATGTGAACCCTTTACGAGAAAAGGGAGGTGCTTACCATGAAGACTTCTGCGTTTTTGAGCTCAAGAAATGCCCCTACAAAAAAAAAGAGGGGAACATGGTGTGTCGCTTTGCCCTCCCCCAGGAGCTTCCATGGTGGTAAGATGTACATGGGAATATAGCGACTCTTGAGGTAGCAAAGAACTCCTTGGGAAGGATTGACATAGAGAAATTGACATACCTGGAAATTCCAACGTGTACTTATTTCTTGTAGTTTGTGAACTTGACCTAAAATTCCCTATTTTTCCAGAAAACGCCTAAATTGATGAGTTTCTGCACTTTCGGGGCATCAGAGCACCTGGGGTTTGAAGACAGTGACCTTGCGGCATTTTTCCGCCTTTTGGGCCCCGCGTGGGACGCATCCCCTTTTCAGGCGGGATTTGCGTGATGCATCAGGGCATCAAGGGATCAAGGCATCAAGCCATCATATTGCGGCGGATGCCCACATAGTAGATCTGAAGCATGACATTTCCCAGCACCAAAATGCGCAAAATCTACGCAAATTCGTGAGGACCCTTGCTACAACTGCTTGAGACCGGTATCGATGCATTTTGCCGCGCCGACTTTTGCCCGCACAACGCCCGCAAAAACCCGCACAACGCCCGCAAATCCCCGCAAACGCCCGCAAATCCCAAAATCTCCTGTTTGGGGTATATCCATTTTTTTGCAAATCAGCCTATGGCGCGGCCAATTCAACAAATTAGTGGGTGGCTACTTCAACAGATCAGCCTTGGGCGACGCCGAGGCCTCGCCCAAACTTGGAACACAATGCACAAATGCATGGGCCAGTCCCGAGTTCAGTGAGAACCGGGTGGGCTGCAGATTGATAAGGATGTTCAACAGGATGCGCGCATCAGCAGGTGTCAGTGCACAGGCGCTTGCGGGGAAGGGCGCGAGGGGCAAAAGGAACATGGCACGACTAGATTTCCTGAAGCTCGCCTAGATTTTCCAAAAATGACGAGGAATCCGTCAGAACGCCTAAACTTCGAGAACGACAAGGAATAAGTACGCAAAGGAATGTCCAGGTAGGTTTATTGGGGGGTTGCTAGACATTAACGCATGGTTGATATGTCTGAGTATGTTCTGGGTAATGTTGTGCAAATCCAAATAGCTTTAAGCTAGGGCCGCAGCTGGGGAAAGAGACTTCCTGATTGGGCCAAGTTGAAAGTGCCCTGTCCGACCTCCCCCAAAACTGGACAACCTCATACTGAAAGGTTCAAAAAACACGAATACCGGCATGGTTAGATACAGCTGGCGATTCAACGAGTCATATGTTATGTGAGGTTTACAGGCTGGAAGGCCACAATGCCTCGCGCAAATTTACAACTTAACATGGAAATGGAAATAGACTGGTAACACTGATAATGTTCAAACGATTCATCTGTGAGTTTGCGAAGTGCATCAGTGGCTTCAGCGAGAATCTTCTCGAGGTCACGGCGGCCATTTCGGGCCACCGCACCCTCCTGGGCCATTGGCGCAAAAATCTCAACTCCAGACATCAGGCAAACAACAAAGTTGACGCATTTTGGCCCGAAAGGGCGCGATGGCTCGAAGGGGCGCGATGGCCCGAAGGGGCGCGATGGCCCGAAGCGGCGCGATGGCCCGAAGGGGCGCGATGGCCCGAAGGGGCGCGATGGCCCGAAGCGGCGCGATGGCCCGAAGGGGCGCGATGGCCCGAAGGGGCGCGATGGCCCGAAAGGGCGCGATGGCCCGAAGGGGCGCGATGGCCCGAAGGGGCGCGATGGCGCGATGGCCCGAAGGGGCGGGGCGCGATGGCCCGAAGGGGCGGGGCGCGCTGGCCCGAAGGGGCGGGGCGCGGTGGCCCGAAGGGGCGGGGCGCGGTGGCCCGAAGGGGCGGGGCGCGGTGGCCCGAAGGGGCGGGGCGCGGTGGCCCGAAGGGGCGGGGCGCGGTGGCCTGAAGGGGCGGGGCGCGGTGGCCTGAAGGGGCGGGGCGCGATGGCCCGAAGGGGCGCGGCGCGATGGCCCGAAGGGGCGCGGCGCGATGGCCCGAAGGGGCGCGGCGCGATGGCCCGAAGGGGCGCGGCGCGATGGCCCGAAGGGGCGCGGCGCGATGGCCCGAAGGGGCGCGCGCGATGGCCCGAATGGGCGGGGCGCGATGGCCCGAAGGGAGCGCCATGGCCCGAAGGGGAGGGGCGCCATGGCCCGAAGGGGAGGGGCGCCATGGCCCGAAGGGGAGGGGCGCGATGGCCCGAAGGGGAGGGGCGCGATGGCCCGAAGGGGAGGGGCGCGATGGCCCGAAGGGGGCGCGATGGCCCGAAGGGGGCGCGATGGCCCGAAGGGGGCGCGATGGCCCGAAGGGGGCGCGATGGCCCGAAAGGGGCGCGATGGCCCGAAAGGGGCGCGATGGCCCGAAAGGGGCGCGATGGCCCGAAGGGGCGCGATTGCCCGAAGGGGGCGCGATGGCCCGAAGGGGGCGCGATGGCCCGAAGGGGGCGCGATGGCCCGAAGGGGGCGCGATGGCCCGAAGGGGGAGGGGGCTCGATGGCCCGAAGGGGGCGCGATGGCCCGAAGGGGCGCGATGGCCCTAAGGGGCGCGATGGCCCTAAGGGGCGCGATAGGGGCGCGATGGCCCCGAAGGAGCGCGATGGCCCGAAGGGGCGCGATGGCCCTAAAGGGCGCGATGGCCCGGACGGAGCGCGATGGCCCCGAAGGGGCGCGATGGCCCGGAAGGGGCGCGACGGCCCGGAAGGGGCGCGACGGCCCGGAAGGGGCGCGACGGCCCCGAAGGGGCGCGACGGCCCGAAGGGGCGCGACGGCCCGAAACGGCGCGATGGCCCGAAACGGCGCCATGGCTCGAAAGGGCGCGATGGCCCGAAGGGGCGCGATGGCCCGAAAGGGCGCGATGGCCCGAAGGGGCGCGATGGCCCGAAAGGGCGCGATGGCCCGAAAGGGCGCGATGGCCCGAAGGGGCGCGATGGCTCGAATGGCTCGAAGGGGCGCGATGGCCCGAAACGCCGCGATGGCCCGAAGGCGCGATGGCCCGAAAGGGCGCGATGGCCCGAAGGGGCGCGATGGCCCGAAGGGGCGCGATGGCCCGAAGGGGCGCGATGGCTCGAATGGCCTCAAACGGCGATGGCTCGAAAGGGCGCAATGGCCCGAAACGGCGCGATGGCCCGAAAGGGCGCGATGGCCCGAAAGGGCGCGATGGTCCGAAGGGGCGCGATGGCTCGAATGGCTCGAAGGGGCGCGATGGCCCGAAACGGCGCGATGGCCCGAAGGCGCGATGGCCCGAAAGGGCGCGATGGCCCGAAGGGGCGCGATGGACCGAAGGGGCGCGATGGCCCGAAAGCGCCATGGCCCGAACGAGCGCGATGCCCCGAAAGGGCGCGAAAGGGCGCGATGGCTCGAAAGGGTGCGATGGCTCGAAAGGGCGCGATGGCCCGAAAGCGCGCGATGGCCCGAAAGAGCGCGATGGCCCGAAGAGGCGCGATGGCCCGAAAGGGCGCCATGGCCCGAACGGGCGCGATGGCTCGAAAGGGCGCGATGCCCCGAAAGGGCGCGATGGCTCGAAAGGGCGCGAGTGCTCGAAAGGGCGCGATGGCCCGAAGGGGCGCGATGGCCCGCAAGGGCGCGATGGCCCGAAAGGGCGCGATGGCTCGAATATGGCTCGAAAGGGCGCGATGGCCCGAAAGGGCGCGATGGCCCGAAGCTCAATGGCCCGAAGGGGCGCGATGGCCCGAAGAGGCGCGATGGCCCGAAAGGGCGCGATGGCCCGAAAGGGCGCGATGGCCCGAAAGGCGCCATGGCCCGAACGGGCGCGATGGCTCGAAAGGGCGCGATGCCCCGAAAGGGCGCGATGGCTCGAAAGGGCGCGATGGCCCGAAGGCGCGATGGCCCGAAAGGGCGCGATGGCCCGAAGGGGCGCGATGGACCGAAGGGGCGCGATGGCCCGAAAGGGCGCCATGGCCCGAACGGGCGCGATGCCCCGAAAGGGCGCGAAAGGGCGCGATGGCTCGAAAGGGCGCGATGGCTCCAAAGGGCGCGATGGCTCGAATGGGCGCAATGGCTCGAAAGGCCGCGATGGCTCGAAAGGGCGCGATGGCTCGAAACGCCCGAAAAGGGCGCGATGGCTGAAAGGGCGCGATGGCTGAAAGGGCGCGATGGCCCGAAACGCTGCGATGGCCCGAAACGCTGCGATGGCTCGAAAGGGCACGATGGCTCGAGAGGGCGCAATGGCTCGAGAGGGCGCGATGGCTCGAAAAGGCGCAATGCCTCAAGTGGGCGCGATGGCCCAGAAGGGCGCGATGGCTCGAAAAAGCGTAATGGCCCAAGCTGGCGCGATGGCTCGAAAGGGTGCGACGCCCCGAAAGGGCGCGATGGCTCGAAAGGGCGCGATGGCTCGAAACGCCGCGATGGCTCGAAAGGGCGCGATGGCCCGAAAGGCCGCGATGGCTAAAGGGCGCGAAGGCTCGAAAGGGCGCGATGGCTCGAAAAGGCGCAATGCCTCAAATGGGCGCGATGGCCCGAAAGGGCGCAATCGATGGCTTGACAGGGCGCAATGGCCCGAATGGGCGCGATGGCCCGAAAGGGCGCGATGGCCCAAAGCGGCGCGATGGCACGAAGAGGCGCGATGGCCCGAAGGGGCGCGATGGCCCAAAGGGGCGCAATGGCTCGAAAGGGTGCGATGGCCCGAAAGGGCGCGATGGTCCGAAAGGGCGCGATGGCCCGAAAGGGCGCGATGGCCCGAAAGGGCGCGATGGCCCAGAAGGGCGCGATGGCCCGAAAGGGCGCAATGGCCCAGAAGGGCGCGATGGCCCGAAAGGGCGCGATGGCCCGAAAGGGTGCGATGGCCCGAAAAGGGCGCGATGGCCTGAAAGGGCGCGATGGCCCAGAAGGGCCCGAAAGGACACGATGGCCCAAAAGGGCGCAATGGCACAGAAGGGCGCGATGGCCAAAAGGGCGCGATGGCTCAAAAGGACGCGATGGCCCGAAAAACTACGCTGGCCCGAAACCGCGATGGCCTGAAAAACCGCGATGGCCAATGGGCAGATATGCTTCAAGCATGCTCAATTGAAAATTGAATGTCTGCCAAGACCAGACTCTGGCCTGAGGTTGTAGAAATACACTTACTTGACTCCGTATCTTCAAGATCAGATGACAAGTCACGAAAACCACGATGTCAGGCAGCCTGACACTAAGTACCAAAGAACTGCTTGAACGAAATCGAACAGACACACGGGAGATCATGGGGCTGCTGACCATATATGTATATATATACTAGAGAGAGAGAGAGAGTACATATGTTTATGTGCCGAACAGATGTGATATTGTATATAAGACTAGAATAATGGTGATTTACCAGACAAGGGAATCTGTAAAAAAGGCGAGTCAAAGGGCGTGAAGATGGATTTCTCAAAGTCGTATTCACCGAACCAAAGCCCAGCTGGCGCAATTTCCACAGGCAAAAATAAAACAAGTTATCCCTTAAAACCCCAACTTGCAACCTCAGTAAGGTCTCGTTTAGAGGAAACCAGGGGGAGGGTCAGTGGTGGGGCCGCTATCTTACAAAAAGCCCTCCTTCGTGAGGTCCGTGATGAAGACCGTCTCAAAGGTGTCGTGGTGGTAGTTCAGCTTCACCCCAAAGAGGTCCTCGGGTCTTGGAATAAACCACGGGGTCGCGTGCGGGCCATGGATGTTTTGCCCAATTCTTCGCCCTCGCAAGTTTTTTTAGACGACCGTGCTCTTTCCGGGCCCTGGACGTGGTTTTGACCCCTCCAGTCTTCCCCCACACCCGATAAAACACAAAAATGAGAGCGGCCACCCGAAAAACGCCACGAGAACATCCGCCGAAAGAAGCCGCATCGGGCCTCCGCTTGGGCGATGGAGGAGATGCAATCCGGGCGGTTGCCGCAGAAGACCGAGCTGGCACTGATGTACGGAAGCACAGGATTTCCTCAGATCGCCGCTTGGTTCGCACGCAGGTTGGCCCATTGGCCGTGTACTCCTAACAACTAGAGTGAGCCCCCCTTCCTATTATCCTTCCTTGCATGGACCGTAGTGGATGTGGGTGTTTCTCAACCCCCACCCCCCCAACCAGCCCAATTTTATCCATATTCTCCATCTGACCGCAAATTCTACCATACTTCCAAACACTATCCTCAACTCAAGGTCCTCATATGAGCCATGAATCATCGTAGTGTTTTTTTTCTTTTTTTCGGATCCTCATCTCCAGACCTCTGCCAACCCATGGCCCCCCCGCAGCCCGCCTGAGGCCGTGATCAGCACGTGCGCGGGGGAAGCGATGAAGTGCCGGGCGCTGGTGAAGACAAAGTGAGGCGTGGGCACGTGCGAGGCGAGTTCGCACAAAGCCTCGGGCTTTGCAGGAGTTGCTTTTTCTTCTGCGGCGCTGGGGGAGCCGAGGTTAGCTGTCTGTTCTCGTTGATTCGGGAGGGGGATTGCTGCACGTTTGGGCAGCTACTTACAAAAGGGCGGGAGGGTATTCGCACCGTAAGCCGATCCCTTCCGAAACCAAGCATCTGGTCCATCCAACTGATGGAAGGTAGAGGTGTTCTTTTTTTGCTGGGACTGGGCGTTCCCCTTCTCTCTGGAAGTGAGATCAGAAGCTCGATTCGCTTTGGGCGAGCCCAACCTAAGGAAGCTGCTGTTGGAACCTTCGGAGCCGCAAGCCGGGTTGCCCCAAAAACGAACACTTGGGGAGAACTTGGAAAAGTCTTCGGCCACTGAAGGTGTCCGAAATCTTGCGCTTGAACATGGGTTCGGTCCTACGCCTAGAAACTCCCGGTAGTGCATGGACGATATGGAAGCTTACACCCCTTCACGCCCAACAAACAGCCTGGAAAAATCATGGCAAAAGAGACCGACTCTTCTCCACGTTCCTCCCCCCCCGAACGACGGAACAGAAAGGAGCTTTTCCACATCGAATGTTCATCCCCAGTATACAAGGGATATATGGCATATATGGTCATAATTGCGGGAGTAAATCATGAGTATTTCTTTGGCTTTGGTATTAAATCACACTGGAGTCACTTCGTTACGACTCCGAAACCTTGCTCCATTTCCTGGTGGGTTCCATTGAAACTGCCACTTTTGAGTGCTCCCAAAAACGATGAAAAGATGAGTTAGGGGTCCTGTCACATTTTTGGGCGAGTTCTGGGCGATGCAAACGCTTGGGATGTTCAAAGGCTGAGTGTAGAAGTCCATAGTGAACCCCTGGGAACTTTATGAACTCTTTTTGAAGCCTTCAGTGGTGGCTTTCTGGGACATCAGCCGAAGAAAAAAAAAAAAGGAACAAGAAAAAAAACCTTTGGGCTTCAAATGGATCCCCATGGGTTCATGTGTGACCAGCTTCCCTCTATCTGGTGGCTTGGATTGGTTTGGAGGTGGGGTTTCCATGTCCGCTCAAAAGCCACCCGTTCAAATCCCACCAATCCAAACCGCTAACCCTGATGGGGTACCTGCAGATTTGAGGTAACTGCCCAAGCCAGGGGGTCATATATGAAAAACGATCCAGCCTTTCAGATGGCCATGGGCTTTTCTAAACCCAAATCGTCCCAGTGAACATCAACCAATCCAACCACTAAAGTCCCAAAATGGTACCATTGGGTTTGAACCATGGCCAGATATGCAGAAAGAAAAAACAGGGAAAAAAAGAAAGGAAAAAAAAGAACCCCACGCCGAGCTTCCAGGTGCTCCGACTTGGCCGCCTGTGGCATTTCGCGGAAGGGACGTGGGGACGGCGGATGTCTACCCTGTTTGATGCCGAAGACCTACCCAATGCCTGCCACAAAATGCCCAACACACTATTGTTAAATATAGAATATATATATATATGTGATATGTATAATATGTATATTGTGCAGCCAAAAAAAACACATGCTGAATGCGCAAGTACCTAATGACTTTGCCTCTATCTATTCTTGTGCCGCCTTTCTATCTCTGTCTTTGCTTCTGTCTCAGTCTGCAAATTCCAACGATCTGCTTCGTACCGCCCTCACTCACGCAGCACCTGCCTGCAAGTGAATCACATTTGTAGGGCCACGAGGTGTTTGAACAGTCTCGTCGCTGGCGTTGACCGTGTCAGAATGTAAGATCATGATGGTCCTCCGGTAAGGCGAGCCAAGGTCTCAAAACTTGCGGCGACAGACGGCGCGCGCTTTTTTTTTACGCAACACCAAAATGTGCTAAGAAAGAGAACACCTGTCAACTGACTATCTAACATGGCACCTCTGGGAGGGCATCTGGAAGATCAGTTTCTTGGAGGGATCCCCTGTCAGGTGCCATGGCAACGTGGGAGAGAGGGTATATGCTAAAGCATCCCTGGACGTCGCGTGAGGGCCCGGTCATCTGGAACTTGACTACTGGAGCTTTGGAACGGAGCTACAGGAAGAGATTCCAAGCATCTGGGCTGGTTTTTTGTTGGCCTACTGTAGTTGACCTACCGAAAAACAAAAACCCCAACGAAAAGGAGTCGACTCATAAGAAACTTCTTGCCAAGATTTGAGGTTGGAACTGCCCAAACTTCAAGTATGGTCTTGTGGCTTGCGCGTCACCGAAATCTCGCTAAGGCCCACATCTTCGAGCCCAGAAACCGGCGGAGCAAAACCCATCGGCGCCCTTGGTATGCGGGCTGAAACCAAAAACACAAAGAGCGGACGGGGAGGGAAGCTGCACCCTTGTCGATTTTAAGCAACCAGCTTTTGGGCTTTGGGGTCAACCGCAAAAAATGGGCCAATCGCAACGTTCGCGATGTAAGACCAAAACCAGCCGTGACGAAGGCAGAAACAAGCTCGGGGCATCCATTTTCGGACAGGGAGGGCCTTAGGGGGCCACCAACCACAGGCTCCAGTCCCTTGCCCTCTGGTAAAACAACGCCAGGAAGAAGATGACTGGACGAGCTTCCCTTTCCGAACTCAAAGCCCTTCTCCGCCATTGCCATTTGTGCAACCCTCCCATCAAACCACATCTCTTCACGCCTTACGCGCGTCCCTGATGCTTGGACCCCCGCACCGGCGCAACGGTGAGCTCCTTCTGGCTTCCCCAGAAAAGAAAGAAGAAGAAAAAACGGGGGGGACGCCTCACACAAAACAGCGGCCCGAGGGGGTTCAACCTTTTCGGCGAACCGGATTTCCTTCTGGTGTCCCTGCATACACCAAGAAAAAATAGGCTTACTTCCTGAGTGGGTGATCCACATTAAAGTCTCACTAAAATAGTCTTCCCAAGAAGTATGAACTGCAGGACTCGGGAAGTGAGTAAAGGGGTGCTTCCAAACACACCGACAAGCCCGTTGTTTTGGCGGGGGGGAGCGGGGGTTGGCTGCCCGGATCCTGAAGGGATGATTCAGGCCCGCCGAGGCCAGCAAAGGCTGCAGGTCTTCCCCGAAGCTGGCCACGGCCAGGGTGAGATTCTCCAAGTTCTCGAAGACGTTGCTCAGGGGCCCGTGCTTGATGTAGACCCCGGTGTCAAAACCTGAGATCACACAACTCTGACCCCCCAAACCCCCCCGCCCAAATCCAAACCTGTGAGAAAAGTCACTCCCTGAAGATATGTCCCCAAGACGACCCCGCCGCCAAACAAAACAACTTGGGAAAGACGAAACAATAGACATGTTTTGGAGGTTTTGGGGCGGGGGGGGGTGGTGTGTTTGTGGGGGGGGGGGGAGAGGGTCTAGGAAAAGTTCTATGAAATAACATCTGGCAAGGAAAATAGGAATACCTGGCCTCTGATGTTTAACGTGGTGTGTTTGTACATTCCGGTGTCAAAACCTGTATTTTGGGGCTGGCAACCAAGTACATACCTGGACCCTCAAATACCCCGAGTGTCAAATGGGACATGGACCAACAATGGTACGGCGTCCTTCTGGTGTCCCTTGAACCAATCTGATAACGGCACCCGGAAAAACACTCGCCCAAAATGATACCCCTCCCACCACGAGTTGGTGCACATGCCAACTAAGAGACGATGTTCCTCAGGGAGCCCGTGCTCCAGCAATCAGCGACGACTGCAGGCAAGCAGCTTGAATTCAGCAAGGTATTCCCGAAGTTTCCTTGGAAGACGACAAATGAGCCACGATCAGATCAGCCCAAGAAATTATCTTTGGCGCGTCCCCTGTCGCTTTTCGGGTTTTAGTATGTTGCAAAGGTATCGTGTACGGATATCAGTTGTTATTTGTGGGTTTCGTATTGGTGTTCCATTCAAATTGCATTCGGAAGTCTTCCCAAACTTGCCACGTGCATGAAACATTCGCATGATGTTGGTGGACCGGTTCTCCACTGAGCAATCAAAACCGGGGGCGAGCGGCAAAACGAAGGTCCCTTGCTCAAAGGTCTTTGCATGTGGGTCTGCCTTTTGTAAGCCTGGCCTTCCCAGGTGGTGTCCATGCAAATAACAAGAAAAGGGTCGCCTCAAAACAAGGCACGGCCTGTTTCGTGGACTCCGTTCGGCCAGGTGCTTTGGGGCAAACAGCAAGCTGCTTCTTTTGTGCAGAAGGGCTGTACCGAAAACCATACAATGAAAGGGAGGGAGTGTACAAGGTACCTAAAACCATAAAATGAGACAGAGAGAGAGAGAGAGAATAAATATGCGCTTCTGTTTTCTGGTTGGGTTGCTGCCATACTTCACCTACGCCCCGATTCTGATGGCTCAGATGTCCAGGAGAATTTAGCGCGTCTCGAAACTTAGTGCCGCCGCCCTCCCAAAAAAACTGGGCGGTTTCCTTTCGGCCTTCTTTTTATAAACAACCCTTCCCCCAAAAAAAAAAAACATATAAACAAATTAGAAGGAAAATAAAAACAAAGCAAGCCTCTACCTCCCCCCACCCAAAAAAAGTAGTAAAAAGACGAGCACAGCCAGCGTCCCACGAGCACGGAGTCGTCCCTGTAGGGCTCCTCCCCGGTCGCCACGTTCTCCGCCCAGGCTGCGGCCAGCTCGGAGGTCTCTCCTGCGCAGCAACGAGACACGGCTCGCTGGCTCGGGGCCTCACGAGGAACGTTCCTCGCTTACTTTCTGCTCCCCTGCCAAAAGTCACCAACTTTTAGTTTAATGGAAAGCCCATGAGTTGGCAAAATGTTAAAGTCCTAACGTCCAAGCAAAATGCAACAAAGGTTCCATGGTCTCCCACCAGTTAATGCTGACCCCGGATTAATTAGAGATTGGGGGTGCTCCTAGTTGTGGAAATTTAGACCACTTTTGGAGGGCCCCCTCCCTCATATTGAGAAACAGGGGTTAATTAGTTCCCTTTACAAGGAAAATGGTCCAAATCAGCATCCCCCGAACGCCAGGTTCCATGTTAATTGGTGGGTCCCTGGGTTGATGGCCGTGCGAAAGCTTTGGGTCAGGACACACGAAAGAAACCTCTACAGGTGGTGTGTTTCGTTTGAGAGAACAGCTTTCGGGGTGGTGTTTGAAGGGAAATCAAGGGAACGCACTGATTTTAGGCTTTCCCTATTTTGACGAATCCCGTCCGCTGCGTGGCTGTACGAGTAACCCTTTCTGCAATTCCAAAGTGGTTGAATCCCATCCCTTTGACTTTGTCATGCAGGGATTTCCTTGGCACACGGAAAGTGGGCTTCTAAAATGAACCAAATGCGCCACAATGTGTGTGGTCAGCCCTGCCCCATGCAAGAAAAAAAACTCTCACACAACTCTCCACAACCCTGGGTTCGCTAACAAGGAAACGGTTTGTCCATTTCAAAGTCTGCATGTTTTCCACACCATTCCTGGATCGCCAGCCGATTTTTCCCACTGATTTCAGCATACAGTGTCTGGAAAAGGACAAATCGCGCCAATTGGCTATCCAGGTCTGCCGTATTTTTTCCCGGACAGTCACTGGTTGGAAAACTTGATCTTGGTCAGCGCTCAACCGCAAACCCAGGATCTAAGTCTTGCCTTTCATCATTTTCAATTGCAAAGATGTCTCAGATGATCAAAAAATCAACTTGGACGCCGACTTGGCGACAACTCCGCTTCAGGAAACCACCAGACAAGGAAATGGTCGCGGAAGTTCTCCTTCAATGAACAAGTTGCGTTGGTATTTGGCCGAAAAAAGCTCCTGGATATTCTCCTGATACAAATCTCTCAACGTGGGTGCCGCTATTTAAGGTATACCACCTTTTTTGTGTGTTGGTGGTTTCTTCGAACGTGCCTGGTACTTGGCCAAAAAGTCATAGAACATCTCCCCCTTTGGAGTCTCAACCAAAAACTCCCACCACTTCCGAACCGACAAAAATAGAACACCACGTCCAGAGGAAACTCCTTTGAACCCAGCTTTTGGTTTCCATCCATTTCTATGGGAGCAGATCCATCGTTCATGGTAACCGCGGATGAATAAACCCCAGTTTATGGATATAGGGGGTGTCCCTGGTTGTGGGGAATCATCACATTTGGAGAGGAACAACCCCATTACCAAAAAAAGCTCAGGTGATATCCCCAACAGCACACGGTGCTCTTTTTAGTGCTCGCACCACCCCGCAGCCCGCAGAACCTCGTGGAACCCTGGCGGAACCCTGGTGGAGCCTATCTGGTCTGAGACCCCAAAGCTTGCTGTTGCGGAGGAAAAAAAGAAGAGGGTTTATTAATCCGGGCTTACCATTACCGAAGAGAAAAAAAACAAAAAACAAAAACGTGGGCCGCAGGCTCCGTCGGGTGGACCGAACGGCCCCTGCGCCCCATGCGCGGTCCATGCGGGGCGCTCTCCTCTGCGTGCGTCCAAGGTGAGGCGCGCCATGCGCACGTCGAAGGCCACTTCGTTATGTTCCTAAGACGTGACCGGTTGCTGTGTTGCCATCGGAAAGGTGGGTCAAAACCAATGGGATCCCGTTGTGGTTGGGGTAGGTGCACCACCCATTTGTGTTGCCATCTGAGAGGTGGTGGTCAAAACCGTTTTGGGATCCAATTTTGGTTGGATTGTGTGAATTCACCACCCATTTTAGAACCTATCTTAGTGGTTGGACTGGGATGTTCACTTCGAGTACGATTTGGATTTTGATCCATGGCCTGAGAGGCGGTTACAGCTCATTGGGGTTGTGTTTGATGACCGGGGTATGGAGGTTTATGTGGGCCTCGCAGGGTTTTGTCTTAGGGTTGTATAAGTTGCTTACGGTGCTGTGTTTGGGCTGTATAGATTTATATAGGGTTGTATGGGACGAACACAGGGTTGCAGAGGAGTGTTGTGTTGTTGGGCTCAGATGGTGCCATTGGGCCTAGCGGGGATTTACCAAATCTTCATATAGCAATATAACCCACAATGCTCAAATGGCCCTATAACAATCGCCGGGTGATAGTTTTGGTTGCCCCAAACATAGAATCAAATTTAAGGGTTTTTTGGGGATTGTTTGGGAAGCGCAACCCACCTACGTACGTGTGAGAGTGCTAAAAGAGTGCTCAAAGTGCGCAACACTTCGCGCATTCCGCACTTGATTTTGGGGCATCCAACATATTGGCTAAATGAGCACAACGGACATTTTGAGGCTAGGGATATTCATCAACCCCCATGTCTTGCGGAAACAACTTGGTAACTTTGACCGTGGGATTTCCGACATCGGGAGGTGTAGGAAGTTGGTTTGTGATGGTTCGTGCCTAGGAGCGGCAACTCCCCCGCTTCAAGCTGTTTTGTTTATTCTGCCCGAGCCTTCCAAAGACCCAGTTAAACTAGGTTCTTAGTGGGACCACCTTCCTAGGGCATTCTACACTAAGTACCACATGTGCGAGCTCGCAGATGCGGGCCGAATGATGCAAATAAAAGACAACCCATTTGGTTCTCCTCTTGGCTTCCCTTTAAACCCAACCCCCCTTCCAGGACGCTTCCCCTTGGTGGTTTGGTTTGGCGGTTGCGTTCGGGGCAAGGAGCCTTCCCCATTTGGATTCAAAGGAGCTGTTCACATCCCAAGGCACTGGGCTCCAAGCAGCCAACTAGGAAGCCGGCTCGAAAGACGTTCCCCCGCCCAAAATCCAGCTTCATTATTTTACCCGGAGTGGTGGACCCGTTGAAGGGAAAGAACCGATTCCATGCTCTGACTTGGATTCCATAACCCCCAGAAACCGTCAAAATCATGACCGAAGAAGAAAAAGAAGAAGAAGGAAGAAAAACAACGAAAAAGGAGAAAGCCAAAAATGGAAAGAAGAAGAAGCAAGAAAAAAGGAAGAAGAAACAAAACCAACGAAGCCCAGACACCGTGGTGGCCTCCTCCATGAGCTTGCGGTAGAGGAACCGGAGCCATGGGTGCTGCACCTTGCCCGAGCGAGGCCAAGCCAAAACGTAGGCAGACCGGTTTGGCTTCCCACTCGCATGGTCCACACCCAAAACGTGAAACTCAGGTCCCAGGCGGTGTTTTGGTGTCCCACCGGAATGGTGTTGAAAATCAAGCGGCTGAAGCTCGGAGCGGAACTCGGGAAGCGAGTTCATGAAAGACAAGCTGATTGGGGGGTGCCCCTGGTTTTCGTGGGGTCATCACATTTGGAAAGGAACCCCTACTAATAGGACGGGTGTATTCAGCCGGGGTCAACATTAACTCAGCTTCCCTCGTTTTTGGTGGTGATTGGTGATTGAATTGGTGCTTTGGATTGGCGGCTTGAATTGGTGCTTTGGATTGGTGGTTTGAATTGGCGGTTTGGTTGGGATGGTTTCCCAGTTACCCTCGACAAGCAGGCGTTCAATCCAAATCCAAACCACCAATCCAAACCACCAATCCAAACCACCAATCCAAACCACCAATCCAAGCCACCAATCCAAACCACCAACTAACGGTTGCCTGAAAATCAAGACAACTTGTTGATAGCTACAAAAAGGGGGAAGCATCCGCACGCTCAACTACGTCCCACTCTCAACTGGGGGGGGGGCCAATTCCATTTTCTGGGGCGTGGTTGGCGTGGTTGGCTGAGGCAAACGAAGGAAACGCAAGTTAGAGCCCCCGATGGCCAGATAAGGAGCGCGAAGCCCAACCAAAACATGGGGGCCCAACAAGTTCCCAGATTGGCCAAGAACATCCAAGGAGCCAGGCCCCCTCATCGCAGCGAGAAAAACCGGTAAGAAAAAGGCTACCGCGTGTTTGCGCATCAGAGTGGCAACCAAAAGACGACTGAGAGGATTGCAAGTTCGACAACTTGGGACACAGAAATTGGCGCCGCCAAAAGGCTATTCCACAAATCTTGGAACAGCAATTAGAACATGGTGCTGGTTGCAAGGGAAACTAAAACGGAGCAAGACAAAAAAGCAGAAAGTTCGAAAGTCAAGTCAAAAAAACAAAACACATGCTGCTGCTTAAAGAGGGGTTCATTCAGAAAACCCCAAAGGGCACTGTGGGCAAGTTGGGTGAGCGAGCTCAGTCATGGCGCATAGTAAATAGCGTTGCCATTGATGTGCAGCAGTAGGTCCTCCGGCATCTGGGAGTTGAACATGTCCCAGCTATCGCCTGAAAGCGACCGGGGAAAAGAAATGGGCATGTGGTTTGAGGGTACCTGCACTCTCAGACAGCCTCTAAAAAGGCAAATGTCGCCCCAGTTTGGGCAATATAGCAGTGTAGGTCGTTTGATTGTCCAGGTACCTTGTTTGGGTTGCTTTGTTCCTGGAAAACCAAGGGAAGTCAAAGGGAACACCAAAAACCTCCCGTTCGGACACTTCGTGGTTCGGTGGTCAAGAGTGAATAAAGTGACCTTTTAGTGGGACACGTGACAAGATGTTCTGAAGTCAAGTCAAGTCGAAGGAAGCAGATGGCTGGGATTCCCCACAGCCCCGAAAAGAAACCTCCCGCACCTTGCCAGAACCCAAGTCGCACCGCCCCACAGCAGGATGGTAACTATTTAGCCCTATGTCATATGACACCTCAGGGTGGCTTGGACCACTTCCTAAACTCCAAACCACCAATCCTCCAGAGAAAAAAACACATCATGGCAAAGCCGCAAGATTGCGATAAAATGGACAAGGCAGTGGCAGGTTCAAAAGATTCGGCTTCCTGTTGGTTGGCCCCCCCCCAACAAAAAACTAATACTAAGCTCAGGCGATACCCCAACAGCAGGAGGAAGATTTGCGCGCGCTTCCCGGAACTGGCCCCATGCATCCCCGTTCCCATGCGTCTGAAAGACCTCCGGCAGGGAAGGCTCTCCCATCCACCGGGCAATTCTATTTTGGCTCACCTTGCCAGGGCTTCCATTTGGGCCCAAGGTCATTCAACCTGCAAAAACTACAATAAGCCCAAACCATGAAATAAGACGAAGGAAAAAAACGATCACCAAGTAAAGGACCTTTATCGTGAAGAGCTCGTTTTACCTGCAAGTGAGCTCGACTTTCAAAAGGCAAATTCAATGTGCACCATGGGGCCAAAGTGACTCAGTTACTCGCAACATTGAAACCTGGGTCAAAAACAACAACACCCAGTCTACCGAAGATCGCCAAGGCAAAGAATCAGCAGTCTATAAACACCCCTCACAGGGAGCTCACTTTGTACAGGCCCGAAATGGTGCTGTCTAAAGCAAGGGGAAATATATGGAGAAGCCTGACTGCTTATGGAAAGGGGACTGCCCCCTGAGTGTTGGTTTCATCATCCGTCACCTGGCCATGCCCTCATCTCACAGCTTCGATTTCCTTTGCTGCTTCCCTTTCAAACCTGGCGGGAAGGCTACTTAGTAAGTTGTTAGTAAGCCTGGTGTTGACCCACTTAGGAGACTTAGAAGCATGGTCAGTGGGTTGTAATCAGGCTTACTAACTTACTAAGTGCCCTGCCCCTTGAGCCTTGAGGTGCCCTTCAAAGCCAAGGTCTTGGAAACCGTGAGAACAAGGACCAGATTCTTAGCGGGACATCACCCCATCGCAACAATGGGGACATGCCAGCCTTTTGAGGGTCGTATCCTCAAAGAAAAATCATCCGCCCCCAGAAAACACTGAGTCGACCATGTAGTTTCAGGGTATCCTCCAAAAAGTCAAATTCACCCCAAGAAACCCTCCTTCTGATCAGCTCCCATTTACCCTCTACAAGAACCCCCAAACCACCAATCCAAACCATTAACTAGGGGATTCTCTGCGAAGTGTACCATACTTCCAAAAGCTAAATTCAGGGATTTGCATGTAAAGGATCTTTCTCCTGGCTTTCGCTCGTTCTTACCCCCGAATCTGTGAGCTCACCATAAGCTAGGCAAATACCCCGCAACTCCCTGCTCCACCTCCACCTCCAGTCCCGTCAACGTCCGTCCGCGCCTAGGTAGCGGCTCCCGCGGATGGCCGCGGCCTCGTAGCACAAGGCTTCCCGCGCGTACTGGTCCAGCCACAGGGCTCGGACCGGCACCGCATCGATCTCCTGCCGCAAAAAAAAAAAAAGGTGATCGAAGCCCTGAGAACAATCAACCCCCAGAAAACAGCCCCCAAGAAACAAAAACGGCAACGGTGTCCTGGTTTCCCTTTAAAACCAACCCAAAAGGTTGGGTACCCCGAAAAAAGACAGTCCCAAATGGTTGTTTAAAGGGAAGCAACCAAGAATAGGCCTCCTCATTTGCACCCAGCCAGACAACAATGGGCTTATCTCGAAACAAGGGGACCTGCAAAACTTGTCCACAAAAAGAATGTGGGTCGCAAGTTTCCGTGTTTCCACATTCACTTTTGAAAATTGCAGGAACTTGCAGGTGGTCCTGGCGCAAACACAGGTGCGACGGAAATCCGTCGTTGAATCTGCCGAGGCGCCATAAAATAAAAGGCCGTGTAGTTCACAGCATAATCGCCATCAATGAAGCTACCTCGACACGCACAATGACGTCAGCAGATGCACCTACCGATTGAGGGGGACGGGGGGTGAAGTCCAGGACCCAGTTCCATTTACCTAGCCTTCCCCAACAAAAAGTGGCTCACCATACACGGAGATCTCCGGGGGTCAAAAAATTGACCCTGCCCACATTCTTATTTTTGAGAGGCGCGGGAGGCGCCAAGGCCAGATCTTGCTGCCCAGCCACCGAGAACGAATCGAAAGACTTTGTTCGGGCCGTTCACCCAATCCTTTCTGACTGCATAACCTGGCACCGTGCGCTGCAATCGATGTCTCAAAATGGCATGCGACATGGGAACATGCAGCCACCCCGAGAGGCGGCCGCAAAAGCCGCACCAAACTCGGAACCTCGAAAAGAAAAGACACGCCTAGACGGCGCGGAATGAAAAGGGGGGCAGTGATTCAAAAAGGTGTTCCAACCGCCGAAAGAAAAACAAAAATATTTCTCTCTCTGTCTCTCTCTCTCTCTCTCTGTCTGAAAGCTGCCCCAAACCACCCTCGAGCCGATTGTGGGCAAAGACCAAGTCCACAGCCTTCAGGTGTTGCGGAAAAAAACAAACACAGGCTGCCAAGAATGAGTAGGGACGTTGTTCCAACCCCAAACTGAGTGGTTTGGATTGATGGTTTGGTGGCTGCGGAGTGGTTTTCCATTTACCTACAAGAACCAGGGGTTCAATTCCCCACCAATCCAAACGACCAACTGAGGGGTGCCTGATCAAATTGGGGTGCCTGGGGAGTCTTTCAAAAGGGGTCATCGTGGTTTCCCTTTTGGTGTCCTGAAAAATTAACCCCCAAAAAGTGCACCTCCCAAAACACACAGCATTTTGAGACACACGTTTTTAACAGTACCCCTTAGACGGCCTGCAAAAAAAAAGAGGACTTGCCGTTTTGGAGGAACTTAGGAAAAACGAAATGCCCCGGTCCCAAACCGATGGACCCTTCATTGCGATTCGAGACCAAACCACCGCCCGGAGTTGTTGCTTGAGCAGGGGGACATGGTTGGTCTCAGAACAGAACCCTGAAGATAGGCTTCGGTTTTCCCCCCTTGCCGCCCCTTGCCTGCAAAATGGGCTTCGGAGTCCCTTTAATTCCTCTGTCAAAACCAGCCCCATTTTTGTGGGTAACATTAAAAAAGGACACACCCTCGAGGTACACCGTGACAGATGAAAATTCCAATTCCCGGGTGTGGGTCGGTGCAGTGCCCGGCAAATGGAACCAAGGACTACAACCTGTGGACCCCTGGTGGCTTAATTTTGACCCGTACCCATATCATATCGACATTGGCGCAGTTTTGCTCTTTCGAGGCCTTGGAAAAGGCAATTTGGTCTTTCTGAGCAGACTCCAGGGCGGAAGAATGACCAGGTCCGGTTTACACCCCGCTGAACCCCTTATGCCCCCTTTCATTCTGAAATATTCTGAATTGCTGACTAGAGGAGTCCTACCGCGGCACCTCGAGAGTCATAAACATCCTCGGCAGCAGTCCTCAAATGGCACATGCGGAGATGCGGAGATGCCCAGTGGCCCACGCCTTCAACATACGCCAGGTCAGCTTTCGACTCTTGGAGCCCGCTGTGGGATTTTTCTTCGGGTTGGCTCTTGTACAGGTGAGAACCCCTCCGTTTCAAAACCACCGGGCTCCAAACCACCAGGGAAGCTGACCCGGGGTTCAGTTACCGCCATCAAAACAATGGGAGTTGACATAGCCAGTTGTGTATACCTAAACATTGTCATCATCCAAATTGGGTCCATTGTTCTCTTGATGGGAGTTGAACCCTGAAGGAATCCCTTTGAGCACCACTAAATTGACCGCAGGTTTGAGTGTTTGAGTGGGTCAACCCGCCATACATTGGATCCAACTTATCTGCAAACTGTAAGTACCGTAATTCCAAAAGCTGGCCTATGGGATCCCCAAGCACCTTTCTCCTGGCTTTCGCCGCTTACCCCCGGATCGGTGAGCTCGCTATATAGGCAGAACTCATGACGCAACCCTCAGTTGAGGCTTGGAGCATGCTCGAAAGATACGCAGCGTTCTTGGAAGATGGCTCTGGGGAGTGTAACGGAACCAAACCGAGCCACCCGCATGATTCGTGTGAACCCTAAAATGTATTTTTGGAACAACACAATGGGTCCCATTGGCTCCCACTGGCAAATGAGAAGGAACCAAACAGAAACGGAAACCGGTGGCATCGCAAGAATCCACACTCGAAACCTTTTCCGGGTTAATATGATCCGAAGTGTTTTCCTGAATTGACTCCTGCACTCGTTCAGTCCCAAACTGAGAACTCAACAGAACCTACAGCAGCACAAGATAGAAATCTGTGGCCCAAACTCCTATACTGCCCCAAATGCCTTTGGCTCCAAACCTGAAACATGTCGGATCAAAGTCAGAAGTCACCCAATGCTGGGTGAGCGGCATTCCCAACAATGGTGGCGTCCTTTTATTGGGAACCCGCAAGAACATCCAATGGATGCGTTGACTTTCAACACGATCTTAAGGATGCCTCTAAGATGGTCCCCAAAGCGTACATCGGCCGAGTGTCACGAGGGTTTTGGTCATAGCTGCCGACAACCTGAAGCCTTTTTGGGGTTACCGGCGTCTCTGGGGAGCGATTGGGGCCCTAGGGGCTTATTTGGAGAATCAGGGGAAAGGGTGTTCGGGCCGGGGTTGGAATCCTCTGAAAACAAACTCAGCATCTCTCTCTGTATACCCACGTGTTGAATCCAAGAAGAGCTCGGCAACTCCCTGCAGCTTCCCGAGTCTGTGCTGACAAGGCTAGGCGTTGGGCAGGCATGTTGACCGGAAAAAAAATCCAAGCGCTCGCCTTTTGCGGACAAGGACGCTCCGCTTACATGCACCTTCATAAGGCATGCATCGAAAAACTGGTCTTGGCAAGCCTTTGAAGCTGAAGCATTTCGGGGAGGCCCATTTTGCCAAAGTTCCCTTTTGTTGGTTGGTTTAAAGGGAACCCACAAGAAAACCCAGCCATCCTGTGGGTGCCCTATCTTAAGATTTTAAGACACTCCCGGTTGACTCGAGCCTATCCCCGGAGGCGGAGGCTTGCCTCCTCCCTTCGAAAGCCCAGCCGAGTGAGTCAGGCGTCAGATTGGCTGCGCGAATGGAAACCGATCGGAAGCACTGATGCCAGGGATGCTCGCTGAGCTCGAAGGAGCGCTGTACATTCGTCCTCGAAGGATTGCATAAGCTGGGGTACTTGGGCGTGGGTCAAGATTACATAAGCTGGGGGATTTGTTGGTTTGACCCCAAGAATCCATGGGACAGGGAGTTGGGTCTGGGTCAAAATTAAGCCACCAGGAATTGGACCGCGGGTTGAACAGTCTTTGGTTTCATTTACCAGAATTCCAGTTTGGGTACCTATTTTTGACCCACAGCCATTTGTTGGTTTGACCCCAAGAATCAATGCGGCACGAGCCGGGTACACCTGGGATTGCCTAGAGCACTGTATCTGATCCGGCCAACGGAGTGAGTGGATCACTTAAAGATGTGCACTCTTCAGCCAAGAATTCTAAAGCATTTGCATGGGAAGAGTACGGTGGACCCTGTGCCCCCCCCGGACGGCAACCAGTGCTGTTTCCGTGGCCCCCTCCCATGGGTAGTGTCTCCAGGCCATAGTCATCCTCTTCACGAGGGTTTCGCATATTCTCTGCTCGCAGCCCAGAGTTCAACGGCAACGACGCCCAACTTGCCGTGGTTCCAGAGCTGAGGCCCGCACATGCGTATTTTTCTGGTGACTGCAAATCTGGGTTCGCCTTCGACCCCCTGCAAAATGCGTCAAAATGGTGGGGAGGTCACCACATCCAGTTGGACCGCAAGAAACGAGTCGCAAGCTACTGCATTGCCCCCCCCCAGCCGCCCCAAACTCCACGCCAAGAGGCGCCGCACTCCTGGGCCGTTGCAGTTGAAAGTAGGTTGGGGGGTGGCCCTCTGCCTAGAAATTTGTGGCATCTACTTTCACCCTGGTGCAGCCCCCACTCCCTGGATCTTTACAAACACCCCCGGTCTTGCTGGCAAGCTTTGGGTTGGGCAAGCATCGCTGGGAGGCCTCGGTTCGCGGAACCATAGCGCAGCTGCCATGTCCGATCCCTCTTTGAAATGTCTGCATAATGTGGGGTGCGGGCATTTGCGTGAGGGCGGATTGGCGTGCATGCGGGCGGGCGGGTGGGCGTGTCCAAAAAAAGACCAACCCATTGCATGGCACGCATCACAAGGCACCCCACTGCAAGATTGCGTAAACTTTGCCAAGCCTCGCGCAACTTCACGCAAGTTGCCTCGGACTTGTGGCCAGACCCTGAGTTCTGTTGCTTTTTCAGGGTCCCCGGAGTTGTCCTTTGCAGATTTCGACTGAAACTCACTTCAGGCCCGGCCATGGAATGCATATAGAAAGGGGGGACATAGGCCTTACCCCATCCTCAAGGCACCCCCCCCGTCTCGTCGCTGCCGGGTGTCAGAGCGTCGGCGTTATCGTCGAAGGCCTGGCTGTAAACCAGAATTAGGTCGATGGGCACGTTCGGCGTTGCATTGCAAGGCAGGAAGGTGTCCCACGACCTCAGAGTCTGGCAGTCGATCAGGGATCCGGCAGGCGAGGTGGAGGGGGGGGAGTCTCAGGACGTGTTTCAGAGCCCAGAGACCCAAATGAGAGATACCCTCCTGTCCACTATCATGGAACCCACCAGAGGCCTGGAGATCGAACCGGCGGTCGCGCCGGAAAGACCACATCAGAGAGGCCGGAAAGTCTGCCTTTTTGCTTTGCTTTTCACGGGCGCAGTCAAACACCCGGAGCATGAAATAGGTGCTACCATCCTCTTGGGGCTCCCTTAAGGCATGGCTCATGACTCATTGCGAGCCAGAGCGGAACCACACGCCCCACTTCACCCGCCCCCACCCCCCCCCCCCCCGCCCCAGAATTGCGCGGGAACACAAAAAGCAAGCGGGCTGCTCCGATAAATTCTGCAAAATATGCCGCGCGAAAGGGAAAAACGGCCGCCAGGCAAGCTGCTCGACTTCTTGGGAATCCCCAAAGGAGCCTTCAAACGGGAAAACCCATCCATCTATCTGTCCATCTATCTGTCCATCTGTCTATCTCGCTCGGAGAGCTTAGCTTTGCGTCAGGATGGCCCGAATGGCTGCCTTTCTTGGGACCAGTTTGGAAATGCCAAACCAAAGATCCACACTAGGTGGAAACCAAAGTTGACCCCGAGAGTTTTCAACCCCTGCTTGTTGGGTAGTCTTCTCAACAAGTGTGGTTCTCCTGTTGCGTTCCCTTAAAAACCTACCTGACTAGGGTCGCCTCCAAAAAAACGAGACATGCGCCTCGCTCCGGTCCCCCGATCCAAACAACACGCCCATTCGCATCCATTCGCATCCATTCCGAGTCCCGCGCAAGAAGGAGCCTTCCAAAGACTGAACTTCGGTGCGGCTCGCATAGGGTCGAACTACGGCAAGGGCATGTCCCAGAGCTGAAGTGAAACAGCTGCTCCATAGCAGCCAGAAGCCCTGCATGCCCAGTCCTGAAAACGCCAAAGAAAAATGTGTGTTGTTTTTGCGCTCTGTGCTAAACCGTGGACGCCTTGCTAGAAGTGGACACCTTAGGGGAATATGTCAACATAGGTTGAACCAACCTGAAAAGGGCACCCTGGAGGAAAACACTGGCCATGTGTCACTAAACTCTAAGAGTCTAAAAGTCCAAGGGTAGTCCTGGGAACCAAGGTGAATCAAGCGAGTTGGGGACTGGAGGGGAAGCAACCATGAAACCAGCCAGGTTTAGAGGTCCATGTACTGCAACTCAGGAATCTGCCGAAGATCTCCGGTCACCCAAAACTTAGCCCTAGGCTTCAACCCGAATGGTTGGCCCAATTTACATAATGACAAAGCCTTAGGTACATAATAGTTATGTCCACCCCCATTGCTTTATTATCAACCCCCCATTGTTAAAAAAAAAAAAAAAGGATTGCCCAAACCTCCACAGCCGTGGCGATGATCGGCGATCGGCGATCCATCGGACCCCTTGCTTTGCAAAGACTCGGGGCTACAGGCCACGCGGTCGACGTCTCATCTGCATCGGCCCGCGGTCTACAAGCTCCGAGGGAAAACCCGCTTGCGCCGAGTTTGGATCTCTCTCCTGTGACTTTGTTTCGTTGATAACACCAAACAGCCGAGCTGTTTGGATGTCTTTCCTGTGATTGGTTCGGGAAAGAATCCCAAAGGAAACCAAGCATTGCTGATTGCATGGGACTCAGAGTTTGGGCGTTCAGAAGTCCGGCGTCCAATTGTCCAGCCCTTTAGTAAACCTCCCTTGTTGCACCATCAAAAACCCCATGGCAAACCATCTCCGCTTCCTTGAAGCACTGAGCCAGAATCACAAGTAGCCGAGGCATGTAGAAACTGCATTCAAAAGCACATCCGCTTGAGATATTCTCACATCCGTCGGTCACAGTCACATACCTGTTGCCCCCTGAAAATGAAATCTTTTTTTATCCTGGCCTGAACCGTTGAATGTGAAACTACGTCTACATTTACATGTGGGTCTCTCTTTTTTGAAGGCACCCTTCTGAGGGGATCGGGTTTGTTGCTAAAAGGAAACCAAACGGAAACCTGATCCCATTTTGGGGGGTCCAACCTTAAAAACGTTCAGAGCACTTCAAACAGCCTGAGATCGGAAGGGCCTCGGGTCACCGGACCCAGAAAAGCTGCCGAACCTGTCTCCACCCTTCAAACCTCGACCCATGGGCACATGACCCATCTGTCATGAAAACTCCATGACCCAATGAGCCTTGTTTCATCCCAGCAACGCTTATGTATGCGTGTGTATGTATATATATATATATATATATGTATGTGGAGAAGCGTCCCCAACCCACACACACACACACACACACAACGAGTACTCTATATATATATATATACATACACAGAACGGCGCTGACATGCTAACCCGGAACAAACCTCCGAGCTCGGCCGGAATGGGTTCTTCCCAGCCGCAAAACCCGGCGCCGGTGCTGACAAAGTACCGAACAAGTCACAGCCCCCAAACATCCTCGGGATAGGTGTCCTTTTAGGGCAAATAGATGGCCCTGGTAGATGATTAAACCACCAGATAAACCAAGGCCATCTATTTTGCTACCAAAACAAGCACAAAGGACACCTATGATCCTCGGCTTGTGGCTAGGGGAACCCCATAACCCTTGCTTTTGCAGGTTCACCCAAACCCCTTGTTTTGTGGAAGATCCCCACATGTCCAAGACGGATCACGTGCAACCAAGACGGAGTGTAAATTCCCATGGGCATGGGGGGAAGAAGCAATTCGCTGCACCCGATGCCAAATGAAGAGCGCTTCCCATCCCCGTACCTCCAAAGGAGCTCCTGACAAGGGCTCACAGGAGCATCGATTATCAGGTTACATAAAGTTCAAATGGGAGTGACTTTTTGTTAGTGGACCTTCCAAAATGTTGGTTGCCCTTTTAATTCAACCACCCACCATGGTCAAATAGGGATCGGTTTCGGGGTGGGTTTCGGGCGCTTCTCAAACGGACTTGTCTCAAAGGCAGACCCTCTCTCAAAGATACTTGAGCTACTTTGGCTTCCCAACAAGGGGTCCCCCCAACAAAAAAAGAGAGAAAAGGCACGCCCCTTTAGTGTTCCCAACCAACATGGGAGGGTGAACCATCTCCTACTTTGTGAGTCTGCCCAATGTCGTTCCCTTTCCTGCAGACATGATGGTGGGTATTGACTGCTAAAATGGTTTATAGGCTGTGCCCGTGCACATTTCAGGTCGCTATTTCCAGAATCATCCGGTGCACATCATGGCAGTTGCCCAACACTGGCAACTCCATTTTCTTTTACTGTCTTCAGCCCCTCCCTAAAGAGCTCAGGCAAAGGCTTCTAAGCAAAACAACACCTCTTAATTTCCGCTTCCACCTTTGGTTCCGCAGCCTTCCTCTGGACATCTAAGACAGAGTTGAACAATGCCCCTAGTTGCCGCCCATGCCTCTCACGAAAACCCTACCTCCCCGGCCGCTTCAAATTTCAGGGGCCCCAAGACCCCCCCCCCCCCGCCCCCCCCAATCCCCCAATCCTGCAGCGCGCGCTGCAGCTCAAGCTGGGAAGCTATGCTGACAAAGGGAAGCTATGGCTTGCCAACAACCCCCTGTCGCTCCCTTGTGTTTGTGCCAATTGACTGCTTCTGGGGCTGCCGGATTTTTGTTTGGCGCGCAGAAAGGTGTGCGTGTGCGGCCTCGGCCTTTCCTCCATCTTGGGCCGGACTCCGGACTTGGCTTCGGCAGTGCAAACACGAGATGCACGTGCGCTGACAGCATCGACACCTCGCGCGCGCTCTTGCGCATTCTGCATGCCCACGCCCTGGTTTTCTCCACGCAACAAGTCGGCATCGCAATGAGAGGATGCCATGAGCCTCAGCTGACGACAGCATCCAGGCCGAATCTGCGAGCTGAACTTCCGCGGAATCGTTGCGCCGTTGGGCTGAGCCTGGCCGTTGACGACAGTGATCGGACATGCACACAAGGGGTGTCTTTCAAAATGTTGTGCACCATGTATACATGTATAGACAAATAGCCTGGAGTCACTAGCGTTATATACACCTGCTGACCGGGGTACATGACAAAGCTGCTTGAGTCTTTTCAGCATTGGCGTCAGGCTGTGTGGGTCCCCTTGAAACATTACTCCAAGGGAACCCAATCAACATCTTCGCCCAGAGGTGATGTTTAAACACCCCACACATGGTTGGTGTCCGTTTGGTTTCCCTTAAAAACCATAACGAAAGCCCTCGAAAACGTCAGGATAAAAAAACATCGAGAAGAAAGGCCGAGTTGCTTGCGGAAGTCTCATACTACAGCAAAGTAGAATCGTCTTCACTTTGTTTCCGAAAGAAAAACAATGGTACCTGGATCGCCAGGAATGTCTGGATCGCTAGTTGCTGCGTTTTTCACGCCAGCAACTGTGACTGTTGCTAGGGCAAAGTGTCTGGACAAAAGCAGCGACTTGGCTAGCGAGGTAGCTCCTCGTTGTGTAAGGGAATCCTCTTGACAGGGGACTTTCTAGGAGGATCATCAATCCGAAGCTTCACATTACTTTGCACATGTAAATGAATGCTTCTCCAAAGCATGGACCCCCCTTTGGGTAGGGAGTTGAACAGTAACTAAGCGGAAACCAACCAACTGGAGGGGTCCGTAATTTTGAGGAAACGAGAGAAGCAAGCTTGCAGGGCATCGTCGAGCACAACCCTTGGAACCTGGAACGTCCTTTGAAACTTCATCTTGGAATCCGAAGAAAAACACCTTCGAATCACCACATTCACCATGTCCTAAAACATTGGGAATTTAGTTGGCTGCGTGCAATATTTATTCAGGGGAAAATGATAAAAATGACAATGACCATGGCAAAGTGCTGATTCTTTGGCCCCTATCGCAGGCGCTTTCAGCGCCCAGGTTGGATTCCACAAAAGGGACCCCAACTCGAGGATTCTCGGCGAGTCGCTAGATCAAATAATTCCATCTCGCAAAAGCTGAATCAAAGTACCCGGAGCCTCAAATTGCACTTGAAGGAAAATTACCGCCATTTTGGGGGCAATACCCCAGTTTGAGGGTTCAGGTAGATCTCTTTTCCATTGTCCCTTTGCCGCAGGTCAAGTGTCCCACGCCTCTCGTGTCTCCACCGCACGTCGCCCAGGCTCGCTCGAAAAGCAATGGTTCCTCGCCGAAAGCGTGCTGCTGTCGAGCGAGTTGCCACCCCTTGGTCATTCGCTTCCCTGTCAGCTGTGCTTGTTTCTTGGGTACAATTGAATTTGAACCGGTCAGTCAAACCCTGGCTGTTCTTTAGCCCCCAATCGAGGCCTGCTTTTACCTCCCCTGATCAACCAAATGCCAATGCCTGTAAACTTTATCAATTATCAATCAAACAGAGTCCCCTCCAAACATCACGCCACCACAAGGCAACTCCTCCTGGACATCCAAGGTCCCCGGATTGGGGGACTATGGTCTTACTTTCGCACCTGCTCGTTTTGGCCACAAGTTAAGGGCATTTGGCTGGGAGAGATCCAACAGGCAGGGATTCAAAAAAGGGGTCCTGTTCCCCTTTAAACCAAACCAAAGCAAGTGTGCTCCCCCCCTTTTGGTTGACATCTTGGGATTTGAGCCCAAGAGGAAATCGTTTTTTTGCTTGGAGAGGAGTAGAGCTAACCCTTCCAACTTGCAATTCCTGGAGTCTCCATGACCCTCCTCCTATAGGGTCAAGTACCCATAGTTTTTGGGGAACTGGCCCCATGTTTTGAGTTTACTGGCGACTCCAGCTAGTGTTTTAAGTCTGTGACAAAATGGGTTTGTCTTGCTAAGGTTGGACTCCGTTTGGACCCCGCAAAGTGGATCGGTGGTCCTTTTGGCTTCCCTTCAAAATCACCATATGGGGACATCCTTTTTGGGCGTCGCGAGTCGCGGCCGTTCCTTTGGGCGTCCCTTCAAACCAACCCATGTCAGCGTAAAATTGTAAAAGCTAAGACACCCAAATGGCTATGGGTCGAAATCCCGTATCCCCGGTGAACATCCCAATCCCCACTAAAATAGGTTCTAAGATGGGTGGTGAATTCACCAATCCCCCAAAATGGGATCCCAAAACGGTTTTGACAACCACACCCAAATGGAAAAGCAGGGAGGCCGTTCACCCCGTCCTCGAGACCAAGTCGTCGAACCGGAGTTCCTGTGGCTCAAAGAACTAAATACACAGAGGGAAGCCTCACAAACAGACGCCCCATGGGAAGACTGGGGGAAAACCCGAGCGCGTGTTGTTTTTTTTCCTTAATGGCTGGCTTGTGCAGTGTTTTTTGCAAAGACGCAGGAAGAAGGGAAATGAGGAGACAAAATGAATGGTTGCCATGTAATACTGTAATACTGACCCCGAGGTAAACCTGGGGTGTTCCCGTGATCTGCCATCCAGAAGCCATATTTATGCTCGCCGGCGACAACGTTCGGCTCCACACGCAGTCATGTCTGAGGAAAATACGCCTTCGTTGTGGAAACTTCCCCTTTTCTGTGATACCAAAAGTGGTTGACTCCCACGACTACTTTATCACTTGGGTGGGATGGCCGCTGGACGGATGGACAAGCTGGAAGACTTTGCGGACTAGCAATGAGGGGCTTGAAAATGATGTTGGCAAATGCATTCGGGTTTTTATGTGTATATATGTATATATATATATGTATACCCCCCGTCCAACTAACATAGCACCAGACATGGGGTCCCTTGAAGAGGAAACCAATCTTCCAGGTACCCTCCCAGAGGTGCCACGTTAGTGGAAGGGAGGGTATGTATGTTGTATATATATATATATGTATGTTAAAAACATACAAAATATATAATCACGCGGAGCATCATTCAGCTTTCTGAAGAAGCTCCCCCCTAGGTCAAATTCATCAGCTGGGTCCCAAGTCCCAGACCTCCCGGCCGGTGGCCGGTGGCTCGACCTCCTTTTTCAACCGGGAGATGCAGAGGCACACCATAAGAGCGACCTCCTAAAGAGGAGCCGAGAGTGAGGTGTCTGGTGATACTCTGGATGAGGAGACAGGGCAATCACACGGCCTCCTGAGGAAGTACACCAAGCCCAAGCGGCGCTGTGACCCTTCATGCTCGGCCAACCCTTGATCTCCGGGTCGGCACAGTCCGAAAAGAAGGCCAAAGGCACCATGCCTTGGAAACTGTCTGGTTGGAAAAGGAGGGTGCCGAATAGGGTGCCCAGAAAAAGAAGAAAAAAAAGTGGCGGTGTCCGTTTCGGTTTCCAAAAATAACCAACCCCAGAATGGTACCCTCAAAAAACAAACACACACACACACACACGGTCAAAATTGACGATTCCCCCAAAGGATATGGACAAATTAGTGAGTCCCTGAAGATCACATCTACGAGAAAAAACAAGCACCAACCTCAAAAAGCACTTTTGCAACCACCAACATCGAAACCCACCTACAAAGGCAGCTAGGCGTCCCATGGCGGCGCTCAAGTTTGGCTCATCACTGGGCTCTTCTTCTCTCCCCAGTCTGCCGGGCTGATAGTTTTCGTAGCTCTCCATGTGAAGCGCTACTAACCTGGGCGGTTCGTTGATCATTATACACGTTTAGTGGGATGTGGGGCGAACCCGGTTTTGATGGAAGGGAAACAAAAAGGAAAACCACCAAAATGAGTGTCCCCCTCACAAGATCCATCTAAACCTGTGGAACCCATATTTTTTGCACCAAAGCAACCGATCAAAAGGACACTTATGGTCCCCCGGTTTTGACCCACCTTATGGCTGGGAAGCTCCAAGCAGCAATGGCCCATTCGCGTAGCGCAGGCGCATGCTTCGCTCTTCGAGGCCCAGCATGCGCCGGCCTTCTCGGGTGAAGGAAACGCTCACCTCGCCCACGCCGCGGCGCCAATCCTTGCCGTCCAGAAAGCAGAAGAACACCCCCCCCAAAAAAAAAAATACAAACGAAAAAACATGGAAGGGTGAATTGGCCTTGGTGATCATTGGGCAAGGGTTCAGAGCAGCTGGCTGGCTAAGATGGAAACCCCGGCCCGAAACCGTGGGCTCCAGGGTATGGGACAGCCTGTATGGCGGTAACGAATCAGATTGAGTGACCGACAACAGCCTGCTGGATTTGGCTGGTGCCTTCGTCTGTACAACAGTGGGGCATCCGCCCTTGGTGAATAATAGATTTGCTGCACTCGGAAATGGACCAGGGCATTGCAGCAGATTGTCCGCGTGTCACAGCCCAGCTGCACGGGGCTGGAATGATCGGCGCTCACTGCCGAATGCGCCGCAAAAGGGCATGCGGCACAAGGTCTGCGGGGATCAAACCAAGTGTGCCGAAAACCTGCCGCAGCTCAGCTCCGTACTTGGCTACCAAATTCTGCACGTAGCCGCTCAACCCGTGAGCTGCGTAACCTCCAAAATTCTCAAACCCCTTAGTTCTTTCCAAGAAGTCGTCAAGGAGATCCTGCAAAGCGCGGTCAAGAACGACTGGGTCGGCTTCTGGCGCTGGGAAGTGCCAAAAGGCATCCAATGCACTTCTTGTGCTGCACCACCAGTTCTTGAGGAATTCTGCATAGGCCTGACAGTTGTCCAGGTTGAACCTTTGGTCAGGTACCCTCCTCACATGCACCTCGAACTCCACAGAAGTAGCAAAGTTGCCGCGCCTTTCAAGGAACACCTGCCATCCCTCCGGCACTTCGCGACGAGGCAAAGGCAGCAATCTAGCATTGGGCGAAGGAACAACACGGCGCAAACCCGCCGACCAGCTGCGAAGGCTTCGTTTGTGTGACCGCCGGCTACGTGACCTCCGGCTACGTGACCTCCGGCTACGTGACCTTCGGGATCTGCGTCGGGGGCTTCTGGTTCTAGATCGCCTCTCCCTGCCACGACCCACCTTGCCCTGCTGCAGGCTCCGGAGCACACACTGCGCTCGCAGCGCAGGATGCTCTGCAAAGAGGCCTCCAGCACCCAAGGGCCAGTGGAACCAGCCCTCCACCAGTCCTGAGCTCCTGGCTGACAAGCTCCACAAAACTCTGGCCGGCACCGCAAAGACAGCGCTCTGCATCCTCCAAGGTTCTGGAGACAGACTTTGTGTGAAGAGTGCCCAATGCCATGCACATAGGGCCCAGTCGGCTCTTCAAGAAAGCCAACTGCCGATTGCGGTCATTCACTAGGCGCAGAATCGGCGCACTGGAGTCCAAAGGCGTGAGGCAGCGCTGGACAGCTCCATCCTTCACCTCCCACGTGCCCCAAGCGTTCAGGCGGAGCTCGCGCCACTCCACGGGGCCGGGGGGGCCCTTTGGCTCCAAATGGTCCTGAACTGTCTCCTGGATGTTTCGCAGCCACAGGCTGCCACTCTTCTCCAAGTTCGGGCTCAGCCCCAGCCCCTTCAAGGCGCGACAGCAAACTGCCCACTTCTCCGACAGGTCAGTCCGGCTGTAGAAGGCGAAGTCGTCATGGTAGCGCGCCAAGGGTGCCCCTGCCTTCGCCATGGCAAGGTCCAGGCAAAAGAGGACGAGCTCCGACAAAACGTTGCTGATGGAATGGGCAAACAGCAGCCCACGCTTGGCTCTCATACTCAATTCCTCTTTCCCCAACTGTATGGTGAATCCTGTCATGTAGGTATGAAAGAAGTTCATCCAGTTTTTTGTGGCACCCAACCTCTGCAGAATGAAAGCCACCAGGCTGTGCCCAATAGACAAGCCCATTTCCCGCACATCAGACATCACAATGCCAAGACGAGAAGGAAAGACCTCCTGAAATCGGCACAAAGAACTCAACGCTACAACCAAGCTCTCGGGGCTCTTTGTACCACACAACTTCTCAGAGTCATAGTCCCGGGCACGTGTGGAGAGGTCATCCGGGTCAGGCAGTGAGGTGAAGAAGAACCGGTTCTGCTGCTCACGCCACCACAAATCCAAGACCTCCGCACTGTCGCTGGAGCCAAAGCGTGGGCAACCATTAGGTCCACAGGCCTGCTCGTGCCACCGGCACAAGGCCGTCTTGACATGCCGGACCCATCTGTGGCCAACAACTTCCAAGAATAAAGCCGTGACCATGTCCTCCTCGGCCAACAAGCGAAATTTGCCCTGACCTGGAACATACTGCAAACGGCCCTTCAACGGCTGCTTCCACTTCCACTCATCTATGTTGCGGAGCATGATGGTGAGCACAGAGGCATATTCTTTCGCAAGCTTGCTGTCCTCTTCTGCCACTTTGGCAACCAACTGGGCGCTGTCTCTGTCTTTGATTCTTTCTTTCAGGAAACTGGCTGCCTGCCGCACCTCTCCAACGCTGATCGCCTCACATATCGTGTGGCAGAAGCGCTCGGTCTCGGCTTGAACTTGCTGCAGCTGTGGCCCGCTGAGCATCTCAGCCACGAACTCTCGATCAAAGACTGGAGGCTCTGCATCCTCTGTCAAAGGAGCCACGCTCTCTTTCATGAAGCGCTCCTGCTTGCTCCTCATCTCTTCAGGCTGGCTCTCCCGAGGCTTCGGGGCATTCTCAGCATTCAGCCATTCGTCCAACAAGCGCACGTAGAGCTGGGCGATGGACTTTTTGTTGCCGATTTGTACCTCCTCGCGACTGAGCTGGGAGGTAATTTCTGTCAGCTTCATGCGAGCAGCCTCAACGAAGAACTTGTCTTCGAGCGACATGGCAGCACGCAGCCCTTCTCCGCTGTGGAGCACTTGGCTGGTGCTTGGTCCAATTGGAAGGGTGAATGGGCCTTCCAGCATGAGTCGGCCAAAAGACAACGGAAGAAAACGTCACGCAACCAAAGACAACTTCTGTCAGCAACAGTAGTGGAATCATTTTTGTCCATCACGGAACCAACACAAAAGAAGATTCATTGGTCAGGGGTCCCGTTCCGCAGGTTCTAATATGTGGGTTGTCGATTGCTTGCACCGGGGTTTGGCTTTTCTTTGGAGGGTACCCTCTTTTGGTTGGCTTTAAAGGGACACAAGGAAACCGGTTCGCCACTTTGGAGGTCCCCTAAAAGCAGTCATACCCAAATGAATGAAACGTCACCAAGCCCAATTTGAGGATGGGTTTTGTGGGCTACCCTAGATGGCCTACCCCTGCATAAACCTTTCATAACCACTCATTTTAGGGGTGTGTTGTTTGGATAAACGTGAGTGGGACCTTGGACAATCCCAGGCAACATGATCAAGAACCCGTGAATGTTGATCAAAGTCCCCCACCGAAGTCCGCAAAACGGCCCAAATTCGTTACGGCCCAGCTGGTGTCAATAGAATCTTCACCTTTCCTCCAAGAAGCAAGTCTGGATCAGGCCCAACTGGCATCCAACAAACGACTCGCCGTCTTGCTTCCAGCCGGGTGCATTTTGTGCCGGGCGTCTTTGTTGTCGTGCGGCACCGCGGGCAAGATGTGGCCCCAGAGCGGCAGGTCCCGGCACGAAAGCCAATGCGCGCCCGCGCAGACGCCCATGACCCCACCACCGTTCAGCAGATGGCGCCGGATGGCTGCACGGCCAAGCACGCCCAAGCGCTCGGCGTGCTCGTTGGCCATACCGCCGTGCAAAAAGATCACATCGCCTACATGACGCTTGCTTCCTTTAAAAGGACATGGGACATTTGTGGGTTTGTCTCGAAATGGGGACCCCCTCAAGATGGGTGGGTTGGTTTCCTTTTGGTTTCCCTTTACAACCCCAAACAGGGGGGCGACCCCCTGATGGAAATGTGCTTGTTTAGAAGGTTGAATGTAAAAACCGCCTGCCCCCGTGCCGATTTTTTCGACACTGGCCTGGGCTTACGATGTCCGGCAGTTCGGTGGGCGAAACCACCACCCGTTGATCATCGGACGGCACCAAAGGGGAGAAGATCTCCTGGAGCCTTGGATCTCGCAAGAAACTGGTCTTTGGGTGTGTTGTTGTTGCTTTTTTGTTATGAAAGGTTTAGGGGTGAAAAGGCCCTAATAAAAAATAACCGCAAAAACACCATCCTCATATTGGGCTTGGCGATGTGTCATTCATTCGAGTATGGTCCTTTTCGGGGAAACTGGCTCACCCGTTTTTTGTGTCCCTTTAACAGGAAACAAAAAGGGTTGCCCTCCAAAAAAAATAAGCCACACCCCTCAATGGAGCGAGCGATCGGAACCCGCGATTCGAACCTATGGATCGTGTTTGCCTCTTGGTTGGTGCGATGGCAAAAAACGGCTTCCACTTCTGTTGCTGACAGGAAGTTGGATCTTTTCGTGGTGCGCTTCATGGATTTCGCAACCATCCACAGTAGTATGCCCTTCCGTGTAGCGTTTTAGTGGCTGTCCCATTGCAGCCCGTGGATTCGAGGTGATCCATCTGACGCGCCAGGCCGCTGGTCTGAACCTTTACCCAAGTCCACGATCACCAAGCGGCACCTGGCCATCGGATGCGCGTGGCAAAAAAAAAAAACATCCTTCTTTCTTGGGGTTGATTCCCTCATGGGTGTTCTGGAAAGAAGCATCCCTGGAAAGAACCAAGAGTTCTAAGACACCCTCCTGCTGCGTCTGTTCGATAAGGATAAAAAAAAAAAAACGAAAAAATGTTCCAGTCCCAAAGCCCTCCCCCGCATCATCTGCATCATGGTGATGATGCTGGCAATGCTGGGGATGCTGCCAGGTACCGTGTACCCTGCAGCCCCTCGCCCACGAAGCTAATTTCAAATCAATATCCCACCCTGAAGCCAGCCTGAACCAACCCGAAGCCAACCCTAAACCAGCATAACCCCTAAACCAGGCCACCCTACCACCCTAACCCTCAACCCTAACCCTAACCCTAAATCAACCCTAAACCAACCCTAAGCCAACTTTAACTTGCCCTCTACCCACCGTAAACCAACCCTAAACCAACCCTAAACCAACCCTAAACCAACCCTAAACCAACCCTAAACCAACCCTAAACCAACCCTAAGCCAACCCTAAGCCAACTTTAACTTGCCCTCTACCCACCGTAAACCAACCCTAAACCAACCCTAACCCTAACCCTAAATCAACCCTAAACCAACCCTAAGCCAACTTTAACTTGCCCTCTACCCACCGTAAACCAACCCTAAACCAACCCTAAACCAACCCTAAACCAACCCTAAACCAACCCGAAACCAACCCTAAACCAACTCCAAACCACACCCCAACCCCCCAACCACCCCACCCCACCCCACAGGGGGGGGGGGTTCACGGACTGGAACATATATATATATATATATATCTATGTATATATATATATACTCATGAGTCGAATCTTCATAACTCATAACAAATTGGTTTGCAAATGACACCTGGGCCATGAATATGGCCCAAGCAACCCTTCTACCGTTGGGTGTCCATAACGCCAAAAAAACACCCACTGCTTCAAGGGCACTCGCCCGGCAGACTGAAGTCTTTGCCAGTCACGGACTGGGCCTCCTCGCTCAAGGCAGGGTAGGCAGAGGGATGGTCAATCCTACAGGCGTCGAGCTCGCGGCACCCGATCTTTCGGTGCAAAAACGTCGGCGAACATTCCTCACCCGCCGAAACCCGAAACCGAGGCCGCTCCCGGCTTGGGATTGACATTTGGTCCTTGGCTTTGGGGTTCGTGAGCTTTCGGAAGTCGTGATCAGGTCGTTTCTTGAAAAGTGGGCCTTCCCGTATGCATTGTTTTGGAGGCAACCCCCCCAAAAAAAATGTGGTTGAACTTTGGGCTCCAAAAATGGCTGGCGTCCTTTGGGTTGCCCTTTACTGGGCTGTTCCCTACCCTGCCACAAGTCGAAAACTGTTAGTGCCTCAATGGAAACTACCGCTAAACCCAAAAAACAACTTAAAAGCCTAAGGAACCTGATACCAAGGAACCAGCAAGGCTTCAATACCATCTGCATGTTGCGGTCACCAAGGGTGGACACGTGTCCACGAGGTGTGATCCGATCGACCCAAGCGACTTCGGGGCTGGTCATTGGCTCTGGTCACAAATGGCGTCCTGACTATGGTATGATATGGCCATGGGTCAAAATCCCGTACCCCCAGTCAACATCCCAATCCCGACTAAAATAGACTAACATGGGTGGTGCTACCCCAAAAAAGGTACCATTGGGTTTGACCCACAGCCATATGTTTTTTGCTGAGAAAACGGAAGATAGCCTCCATACCACCCTGGTGATGCTGAAGATTCAGCCCTCAGAGCAGTCAGAATGGTCTGTAAGCATTGCCTTGGACGCGTATAAATCTCAATCATAACATTAGAAGTAAGCCTCAATGGACAAGAGGCTTAAATCCAGTGGGACCATTTCAATTGGATGATTTGCAGTTCTCAAAGGAAAGATCAAACGGCAGCACTCAGTTGCTTTGATCCTGGAAGGTACCAAAAAATCACCAAACAAACCCGAAACATCCCAAAACCAACCAAACCACGAATTCGAACCACCAAGACTGGGTTCTTCAAAGTTTTAGGATGCCGAATCCACAATCCGGGGTGGCACACCACAGCAACTAATCCTTAGCGGCACACCAACAAAGAAAACCACTACCATCTGGCAAATGGTGTAAGGCGAAACATCGAACAACCCAGTTTTACACCAGTTCAGATTTGGCTGGGGATTTGAACATCTGACAAGCTTCAGATGACGGGAAATGAAAGCCCATGGCCATGCACAACGAGCGAAGGACGACGCATTTTGACACCCCCGACCTGTACAGCGCGCCCCCGTCGCGGTCCGTGCCCGCCACAAACGCCTCGTCGGCGAAAGGCCCCTCGAGCGCGAGCGCTGGCGCCAGGGTGCCCGCGGCAGCGCGGAGCTGGTCGCTGGCAGAGGCCCAGCAGGCCAACTGCTGAAAGAGAAGCAGCGCAGAATCCTGAAAAACCAGTTGGGTCTGTTTTAAGGTTGGACCCCCCCAAATGGCTTCGGTTTGCCTGTTGATTTCGATAAGCCCCCCCAAAAAAGGTATCGTCGAAAGAAGACACGCCCAGTTGGATTTAGTCAAAAAAGCTTCTAGCGAATCTTCTGCCTACTTTAAGGCCCACCCGAAAGCGGCATAGGGAGGAACCCTTGATAGACGGGCACTACGCGTTGGAACGCGCGCCCTTGTTGGAATGGATAAAACCCCGGGTTGGATTCATTGGACCATGCCCTTTGATATCGCAAAAAAAAATACGCTTGGAGTCCAGTCACGCATTGCCGGAAAGAAGTTGCACGGTGCCTGGTTCAAGCCTTGATTGGATAGAAGTTCCAGCCAACCACGGACAGGGAGCAACCCATTTGAGACAAAGTCCGACACTTTTGAAAACAAAAAGGCAACCGTTCAGCCGCAAGGTTGTTTTAGTTCGCGGTCGACGCTACAGTACATGAGTTGACCACTGATGTGACGAAGTTGGTAGAAGTTTGTCAAAGCCAAGCTTATTTCAATACAAATGAATGCAATGTAGATGACAAGCACGCCTTGGCCTACTAAAACTTACAATAGAATCCCGGCAACACCCCAGTCTCAGACAGAAACTCAAGAATTTCTCCCCAGAATATATGGAACTGATGCAGCACATGAATCTTCACTTAGGATCTTCAATATAGTGGGTTCCATGTGGGTGGGTCTGTGCTTTCGTCTTGGTTTCCTTTTAAAACCAACGTTAATGTCCAGGGCAGTCGTGTTACATTCGTTCTTTCGAAACCCTCCGATCGCCGGGTCACTTTGGGCGCCACCTCCAAGTTTGGGGAAATCGCCACGAAGCGTCCCCGGCTCGGTTGGAACTCACCCACAAGCACCGCCGGCATGCCAACCAAGGATCTCGCAGCCTCCCATTCGGTGCGAGGTTTGGATTGCCAGTGGCAGTAAATGGGTCTTGCAGATCGTTTTTTCGGGGTTTCCAAGGGAAACCAAAAGGACACCCACCCATTTTGTGGGTCTGTTTTGACATCCAACATGCGGTCAGGGGGTGAAACACCCCAAGAAACCTGGGCTTGGGGCACTTCTTGAATCAAAAACGCCAAGGGGACAAGCGCCAAGTGAGTGGTCAAAACTCCGACAAGATTTGGCCCACTGGGTCGTGTCTCCCTTGAAAATCAAGGAACCGTTTGTTTGACCACGGCACATGAGCGTTGCGGCAATACACGCCGCTTTTACTGTATCCCTCAGATAGGCCGACAGCAAAGTAGAACAACTCCCGAAACAAGTTATGTGGCTGTACCGGTTCAGGTACGCGACAAACGTGGCCGGCTTCACATACCGTACTAAATTTGTGTTGATCTACCCTCCCATCCAACGACGTAAAACCTGACGGGTGGGGACTCGTTCATTGTTTTGCCCTGTCTGAGAGTTGCATCTGGCCTGGCATTCGTTCATCTCAGTCTGGTATGTGAGAACCGGCACCACGGGCTGCGCAAGCTCCAGCTGGGAACACCCTGCCTGTCCGTCTGTGGCAATGGGCAGCAGCAGTGGAGAGTTGTAGTACTTCGATTCGATCTCCACACCTGGCACCAAAGCCAAAAAAACAAAAAATATACACCCAGTGAAAGTGGATGGCACAGTTCCCCTTGCGTGGATCAGAAAAGGGGATGACCAAACCGAATTAAATGCCCTTCAATTGCGCCATCTACCAGTTCACTCAGCTGCAAAGTTGCTTTTTCCCCTTCGGATTTAACACGGGATTGCGGGCAGAATCGCAATCCAAATGGCACAAGATCGCGAGAAATAACAAGGTTTGTGTGGCTGGAATTAACACCAAATGGAAACAACACCCATGGGCACCATGGGTTCCCATCGAGATGTTGGGCAAAATGTCAGCAGTAGGGGCACTTTTGGTATCCCTTTGAAACTGGGCTGTCCTCTCACCCCCTGCTAAAAGTTTAACCTTAGTGGGTTAAATGAACACTCCCACTAAACCTCAAACACAACTAAAAACCTAAGGAACCAGATGCTGGGGAACCAATCGGATGGCTGGTTGAACCAAGCCAAAAAAGGGGGCCATGTGTTTGACGACCCCTCCGTGCCTTTGAAACCCGGCAAGAGATCTTCACCGTAGGCGGTCAACTTCAGTTTCACCTCCCCAGTGCCCCGCTGCCAATGCTGACGGTCGTGCGCTGCTACGGGCAGAAGCGACCAAGATCCACGGTTGCAGCCTACGGTCGGGGATTCATTTGTGCATGTGTCAAAATAGGGGGACCCCCAAGTGGTTGGCTTCCCCTTAGCGGCCTCCTTCTGTTCACGTTTGGAAGCAGGCTGCGAGTGAAACCCGGTGAAGAAAGCCCACGAAAACGGCCGCATGCCAGGTAGCCCGCCTCCTTTTCTCTCTCAAGGACCCGTTCGGCTAAACCCTTTCCGCCCCAGGTGTGGCGAAAGCGAACAACAGGCGCTAGGTCTTGGAAGGCTAGAAAGACCTCTTTGTCATCATCCAAACACCTAGTCTTTATCATTATCCAACAAGGGTATGGTAGGACCACACCCTTTTGTGGCATTTGGTGTGCACAGACCCGTAGGACCTTACCCTGCTTTGGAGAAGGTTAGATTTGCTTTGTCATTCTCCAACAAGGGTATTCTCCTACGCCTTGGCGATGGGAGCTGACAATGGCCAGAACGTCGACGCTGTCGGAGCTTTCCCCGGGAATCCCGCCAAAAGCCGGCCAACGGCCATCCTCTTTCCAACGGAAGCTGACAGAACATGGAAAGAGAACCAAAGAAAGAGAGGGCCACGTTTTCATTTCTCCGACCCCCCCGGAAACCCCGGAACAAAAAGGCTCCAGCCAGCCGTGAAAAAAGTGCCGGCTGAGTGGCCGCAGAAAGTGCCAGCAGCTGAGATCGTCATCAGAGATCCACCTCAGGTTGCTGTCCAGCGAAGGACGAGGAGACAAGCATAAACTTGACATGTTCAAAACTGAGGACGAGCAGCTGGAAAAGAAAATCTGGAATCTAAGTCCCGTTTAAGAATCCCCCCAAAAGAAAAAACAAGCCAGCAAAGAAACAGACAAACAAAAACGGTCACTTGATCATAAATCTGCACCCACCACCCTCCCAAACACACCACCAGTCTTGGTCTATGTTTCGTGTTTCGCCAAGAAGGCTTGTTCAAGGGTGCATTTTTGGGGGACCAATAGACGATGCTTTAACCACCCAGAGAGGAGTATAAACGGACTCTCCTGTTTTATACATAATATAGAGAGAATTGTAGATCACTGTTTTTTACGCACAACATGACAGACGTCGTGCATATGCGTAAACATTCATTCACGCGACACACGCGCGTATGACACAAGCGCGCGCGCAACATTACCCTCCCTCCAACTAACATAACACCTGTGGCAGGCGGCAGGGTACCTGGAAGATCAAACTCCTCTTGGAGGGACCCCCTTTCAGGTGCCATATTACATGGGAGAGAGGGTGCTGTAAATTGCATTGCGTGGTTTTACACTCACGCTTGTTTTAATACCACCCGCGACCACGCGCAACTGCACGTGTAAAGTAGACTCCCTTGGCCTTGGCGCAGGTGTTCGATAAGCTTCTCCTTCTCTGTCTCCCCAAGGTAGTCCTTGAGATGGTGGACTTTTGGGCGCGTTTCTCGAGGGGTACCTTTGTGGAATTACAGGGAACTATTTGAGACAAACGCGTTTGATGCTTTGTCCTTCCTGTTTTCAGGGGAAACGAGCGCCTTTGGATCACTCGACTTGCTACTTGGTAAAGGCGAACTGAGTCCCGTGAGGTTTTCCCCTCCTTTCTCAAGCTCGTAAAGCCCAACCCCCCGCCTTGTGATTGCCGCCCCCATGAAGCAACACAATGCAGTGGCCCAGCAAATGCCTCTCTGAGAAGAACTGCGAGACACTCAAGAACTTGCCGCGAGGGAAGAGCCGGAAGAAGGCAGCCTACAAGTCAGTAATTCCCATTCCCCCCCCAAAGCAGAAAAAATGAAACCAAGAGGACGCCATCTTCATAGCCACCCCATTGTGAGCGGGGCGGGGGAGGCGTGTGTTGATGATGCCCCACTCAAACGTGTCCGCCCTCTGGTCACGAACCGGAGCAGGAGGGCATACAGTTGAGCAAGACATTGGAGTCCCTGACCAGAACTAATTGACAGTGGCAAGCCCAAAGCCTATCTGCCGGGCTAGAATGGCAGCCTGAGGGGCCGGAGCCTACGCAGCTCCTTGTCCGGGTCTGTGTGGTCTGCTTGCCGCTGGCCGCCGGAATTGCCGTTCAGCGCATGCTGCGCGCGGCTGCGCTCCCGTCTGCTATACAAGAAGTCGGGCGAACCTGTGTGCTGGGCTTGCCGTTGACGTCAGATGCAGGCTTGATGTGGCCCTCCTGCTCCGGTTCGTGACCACGGAGAGGGCGGACGCGTTTGAGTGGGGCATGCTCAGCGTCAGCATGCACCTCCCCCGCTCACAATGGAGGTGAAGCCAGGAACTTGCTGCAAGGAATTGCCCTCTGCATAAAAAAGTTCATTCTAAAGTTTTGCAGGAGTGGTAGCTTTCGTCAGGGCCGGGTGAGTTTCCCGAAATCCGCCCCTCCTGAAACCTTGGAGCAACCCTCTTCTAAAACGGGGTGGGGGGGGTTGGGTGGGGGGGGTTTGCTTGAGGGGCTATCTATTCAAAAGCCCACTCCCGCCTTGATGCCCTGCAGCCCTTTGCCCACGTCCAAAATCACCACCGGCGCATGCGACAGCGCATGCGACGCCTCCTCTCCGGGCTGAGCTTGTGCCGGCCCGTCCCGCTTCTCCAGCGTGTCATCTTGGTGGACCACCCAAATCTGCTCAGGCTGCGTGACAGGCTTCTCATCCAACGCCTGTGTCTGGTGCACAGGCTCTGTGCGCTGCGACGTCAAGCAGCCCGCGCCCATGGACGTTTTCACGGTTTTCTTTGAACCGCCAGCTCGATGTCAGGGGACTGGTGCCAAGAAGTGGAAACTGGTTCCGACCATGCGTGCTGCAACTAGCCATGAAAACACACACAGAGAGAATCTTCAGTATTTGGTTACTGGTTTACTGGTGACTGGCCCACTTCTACAATGCAGTCCCAAGTTGTCATCAAAGATTGACGGGAACCAGGATTCATAAACCTTGGTTGATTCATAGGGATGTCCCACTTTCGGGGAAACTCCCAAAACACCGCCGCCCACAAAAAGCCTCCGCGGGACTGCGGCAAGGTGTGGGATGAGCGAGAAATCGGCGTCGGATCGCAACCTGCGCCAAAGAGGCCGAGACATCATACGCCGTGGTCAAACCGATTCTCAGGTGGAATCTCTAGTGCTACCTTCCATGTCCATTCCTTCCAAGGATCCTTCTTTCTGGAAAACCTCCGGAAACCATGGTTGGAAAGAATGGGGGATCAACCCTTAGCGAATGGTCCAAAATCCCAATTCAGGACACCCGATGACAGCGACAACTATGGGAACCAAAAAGGGGGGGGGGAACTATCATGGACGGCCCGGCCCATACCTGCTATAGTGCGTAACTGGACAAAGCTGCGTCAACCATGGGGACGGTGCATTTGTGCCGACAAGAACAGGGCGTATCTTTGGCACCAGCCTTAAACGCAGCCTCCAAGCAGCCCTTTTCAAGGGAGCAGTCAGGTGTTCCTTTCTACGTCTTGTACCGCTCGACTTGGCCTGAAAAGGGTGGTCAAGCTCCTCTTTCATGCTGTGGAATTGGTCAGCTTCCTCTTGTGTGTGTCTTCATGGACATGTTCCTTGTCATCGTTTCCAACATGTTGATGCAGGCTTCTGGAGTTGTTGGTACATAAGATCACGTTGATCAAGCCGAAGCATTTCAGGGCTGGCTGTGAACCATTGACACCTCCAAGTCACAATAGAAGAAAAAGACAAAGAGAGAGAGAGAGAGAAAGAAAGAAAGAAAGAACCAAAAAAGGCAAATGCGAGATAGAGCGAAACAGAGAAGGAGAGAAAGAGAGAAAGAGAAAAGGAGAGAAGGAGAGAAGGAGAGAAGGAGAGAAGGAGAGAAGGAGAGAAGGAGAGCACGAGAGAAGGAGAGAAAGAGAGAAAGAGAAAAGGAGAGAAGGAGAGAAGGAGAGAAGGAGAGAAGGAGAGAAGGAGAGAAGGAGAGAAGGAGAGAAGGAGAGAAGGAGAGAAGGAGAGAAGGAGAGAAGGAGAGAAGGAGAGAGGGAGAGAAGGACAGAAGGAGAGAAGGAGAGAAGGAGAGAAGGAGAGAAGGAGAGAAGGAGACAAGGAGAGAAGGAGAGAAGGAGAGAAGGAGAGAAGGAGAGAAGGAGAGAAGGAGAGAGGGAGAGAAGGAGAAGGACAGAAGGAGAGAAGGAGAAAGAGAGAAAGAGAGCAAAAAATAGAGAAGGAGGGAAAGACTGTCCTTCACACGGACCAAACGAGCATCCAAAGTGCGCTAAATAGATCGACGCTGCAGTGAAAGAGGAGGCCTTCTAGTACATGGCAGCTAGCCATCCTGTCTCCTTCTTTCACTCCCAAGACTTCACCTGAACAAAACCAACCTCCTCTCACCCCATCCCACCTCTCCCTCAGCCGCGCTGGTCGGATCCCTGAGCCCGGGGCAAGCAAACGAATATACAGATCCGAGGCCGACCGGGCAACGGGATACGCATACGAGGCCTCCTTGCCCCCCCCATAGGTGGCCTGTTGGGAAAATAGATGGCTTTCCCTGGCAAGTGCAATAAGATCAATAGGAATAGACGGCCCCATGGAACAGATGCAAATTAGATGGCAAATGTAATAAGCTCCATCCAAACCAGTGGAAACCAGAGTAACATAAAGGACACCTAATGTCCCCCCCTTCTCCGCAAACCGCGCGGCGAAGCTCAGATTCCCGATGTTGCCGCTCTGGCAACCCGGGCACCTTTGCTTGACCCCCGCCCGGTTTGCCCCCGCGCCCCCGAAAGGCTGAAGACCCCTGGGTTGAAAGCTTGTCCGCGTCAATTCGCACGGGGCCGGGCCGTACAGCACCTTGGCCTGGTCCCTAAGACTCGCATCCTCATCTCATGGATTCCAATTTTCGGGTCGAATTTTGAGGCTCAAGGAGCCCGAAACAGACATCATCGACGTTTGGGGATCATATTTCCCAACCACACATGAGAAAAGTCCGACTCTTCAAATCTCCAATCCCCCTCTGTTGCATGAGACCATCCCTACCCACAAGCAAAGCTAGGTCCAGTAGAGAGGTTAGAGCAAGGGTACCAACTTTTTCTGTAGTCTATTTTAGTAGGGAAACCCTCCCAACCAAAAAAGGGGTGAGACCGGGCACCTAGCTGGGGGCCAAGCTCCCACGTCTTTCCCCGGGCGCCTCCAGCGCGCGGCGCCAGCGCAGCGCCAGGCTGCGCGCGCGCAAGGCCTCGGAGTGCCGTCCCTCGCTCAAACGCCCCGAGCGTGAAGCTTTCGTGGGCGAAATGCGCGAGGTTCCAACCAAAAGCCAACGGGGGGGGGACGGGGGGGGCGGGGTGAATAACTTTTAGTGGGTGAAATACAGAGATTCCAAGCAAACCAACTACAAAGATCTAAAAAACGCAAGGGGAGTGAATAAATTTGAGTGGATGAAATACGGAAGCCACGACACGAACGATAAAGATCTAAACACCTAAGGGACCGGATGGCTGAGAACCGCCAAGTTGGGACAATGAAATCTCCTGGCCGCCATTTGTTTATCCTTCCAACAAACATTGCATTTGTGAGAGGGTGCCTAGAATATGAATGTCCGTCTGGCCTTTGCAAGGATGGAAAAGAACAGAAAAGCAATCAACCCCATCAAACGTGGGCAAATCAGCATTCGCTTTTACGGAAAACTGCCAAACAATGGGGTTGACAATTGATCTGCGGGGCACCAGCGGAACCATTTCGATGGCCTCGGCAGTCCTCCCCTGAGAAAAAAGAGTCAAACGAGGACTCATTGTGATGCTAATCTTCAAGGGTTACAAGTGGCCTACTTACTCAAATGCGAAAATAAAAATGATCTTTTTATGGGTTCCGAAAAAAATGTGAAAAAACAAATCCGAACAAAAATGGGCTCCGACCTCACATGCGAAAACAAAAAATGATCGTCCTGTGCAAGCTGCACCCGACCAAGCAATGGAAGGCACCCCCCGGCATCCAAAAGAACGACCCGAGCGCCCCATCCCCTGATCGCCAAGATGCCAGTTGACCCACCTGCTCCATGGAGCCTCCCGGCGTCCTAAGCCGGCTGTGTCTCTCAAAAGCGACAAGTGCCCAACAGGGATTGGTTCCCATTATGCTTTTTCTATTTCAAAATACATGCTACAGGGGAGTGTCTGTCCAATAGAATTGCCCTTGCAAATCAGTAAGCATCTAAACAACATGCATTAAACATTCTCGGTATCTCTGGTGTCTTTCCTGTGATTTCTACTTGATATGTTTATCAAGTTCCACTTGATACCTATCTCACGTTAAATAGAATTTAATCAGGAAAGAATCCAAACATTCTTGAAGTTTAAAGTGTGATTTGAATAATGAGTATTCTATTTCAAAATGCATGTTACACAAGATCTCCTTTCCAACCGAAGCGTTTTTGCAAATCAAAAGACATTTAAACATCATGTTTCTAACAATTTTGGGACCTCTACTTTCTTTCTTACGAACTCTACTTAATGTATTTGTCAAGTGATACGTGTACTATTCTAACTAAAATTAAGAAGAATGTAATAAGGAACAGGTTCAACCAGAGCAAACCATTTCTAGCTTGCTGTACTAGAGCTTGGAGGTGAAGTACACTAGCACACTTGATCACAAAAGCTCTTGCAAACTGGCCAGAAACGGTACAATGCCAACAACGAAAACAAACTGGACAGCCGATAGAGTCTTTTTTGTTTGTTTTTCCCAACAGCTGAAAGCTTTGGGGTCTCAGCCCAGATAGGCTCTGGGGTGGTCCGGGGCGGCCCTGAGGTAAGGTTCCACGAGGGTTCCACCAGGATTCCACCAGGATTCCACCAAGGTTCCACCAGGGTTCCACCAGGGTTCCACCAGGGTTCCACGAGGGTTCCACGAGGTTCTGGGAGGGCTGCGGGGTAGTGTGAGCACTAAAAACAGCACCGCATGCTGTTGGGGATATCACCTGAGCTTATTTAGTTTTTGGACTTTGTTTGTTTCTGTCTTTCTTTTTCTCAAGGTGTTTCACACTTTCTCAAAGAAATGCCAAAAACTATGTGTTTCCTGAAAGAATCTATATAGCCACAAAGAAGCGCACGCTCAGGGTGACGTGTTCTGCAAAAAAAATGGGGGAGCCACACCCAGCCCCGACTTGAGCCCTGCCTGGCGCGCCAGGCGTGCAACGCCAAGCTCAGGGACAGCAGATCCCGAGCCTCACACAGCGCCTGGCGTCGTGCACTGCCAGGCGCGGCCACGCTTTTGGGTCGACCCCTTGGGCAACTTTTTGTTGACCCTTGGGCAGTTGTTTGGTTGACTCCAAGTTCGGGCGCCTGTTGTGCGTCGCAGGGTCTCTAAATCCCCAAAGCACCCATCCAAATCGCCGATGTAGGGGAACCAGCTCCAAGGAGAAAACAAACACCCAACAAGCATCTCCCTCAAATTGGGTGCTGCCAAACTCAGGTTCAGCACCCTGTTCAACCCCTGTTTAAAATAGATCTTGTGCAGACCACCTCCCCCTAGGGTTGCCAACACAAAAGTGTGTCACCAGACTGCTCCCCCCCGAACACCGCGCCGAGTGGTGCCGCCAGGCCGACGCGGAAGCCAGGCTACCTCAGTTTCTGAATGATTTGGCGACCTGAACTCCCGTGTTCCACTTGGGATGCCTTTAGAAAAAGAAAGAAATAAGCGAACTCATGAAAACCCCAAGAAAACCCACCTGGAGGCACCTGTGTGGTCACTTGCATGGGGCCGTGGGATGCCTTTGGACGATTCTTTGTGGCTCGTGAGAAGCAAACAAAAACACCTGGAAGCACCTATTTGCTGGTATGGAGAAAGCTTGGCCGCACGCCCTCGAGTTGAAGCCGGCAGGAACACACCCAGCTGCATGGATTTGAAGAAACATCAGATGTGGTTCCCCCACCCCACAACCCCACATGGGTCTGTTTTTCACTGAGAGGAGGCGGGACGCCTCTTTTGGAAAGGGCCCTCGGGCCTTTCCGGCGCAAAGGCGATCCACACCACCCCCCAAAAAAATTGGGTGGCTTTCCTTTCGGCTTCCTGATAAACCAACGAGCAAAGGGTAGTTTTGAAGTGTTTCTAAGATGGGTTCCACAGCCCCCAAACCACTACCCCCAGGCGAAATTGGGATATATACCCTCTATATAGTGGCTACATAGTGGCTGTATATCCCATTAAATTCCCGAGGGGAGTGGTTTGGGGATAGCGGAAAGCATCTTAGTGTTGCGCAATTGTACAGCTGCCAGAAGCTATGAGGAGAGTGCTGAACTGACTGACTCTCCTTTGGCACGTTGCCGGACTGGTTGGCCTACGGTGAAAAAGAGCACGGTTACGGCACTTTTCCACCCAAATGGTGGCTCTCCTTGGTGTTCCTTCAAAAACCACAACAAGGTTCAAACTCAAAAAGCACACACCGGTGTACATATCGTTAACAAGATGTAAAGCGAAGTTCGATGCTCAGAGCGCCGCATAAGAAGTCGCTGGGTGCGCTTTCGCTGCTGCGATTTCGGACTTGATAGTTCGTGGGCAAATACAACCTTCTCATACATCGACATCGTAAATAACCAACCAACCAACCAACCAACCAAGCAACCAACCAGCCAGCCAGCCAACCAGCCAGCCAGCCAGCCAGCCAGCCGGCCGGCCAACCAGCCAGCCAGCCAACCAAACAAAGAACCGACATCTAAACATCCAAACTAACAAACAACCAAGAACGAAAACAACAAAATAACAAATCTGACAAACCAACAAACATATAACCAACCAACCAACCAACCAACCAACCAACCAACCAAACAAACAAACAAACAAACAAAACAAACAAACAACCAAACAGATAGGAGGATACCGAGCACCACCAAGTTGGACATGGTCCGCGGCAAACCATTTCTGCGGGCATTGTTATTCGCTTGGAGTCGCTTGAGAATCCTAAAGGAAGGCCGTGACCGTACCAACATAACCTGAAATCCCCACAAAGGGGGAGAATATTGTTTGGGTCCAATAAATCTGCTCTGTGTAGGTTCGCGGCTTCAAGAAACTGCGGCGCAGGATTAGGGACCATTCAGGGAGTTGACCCTCCATGGCTGCTTTTGAGGGCACTGAATCATCTGAATCATTATTGGACTATCGGCCCCAACCACTTAAAATACATACCCAAGTGGGTGTGTCATTTTGGGAAACTCTCGCCAAAAGCAAATCCACCATTTTGGGGGGGTCCCCGTTCGTGGCAGGGACGTGTGCTTGATGACAGGAAGCTTAGCTGTTATTTCCCAAGCCGACCATGGCAAAATTGGGGCAAGAGTGGCTTGGGAGTACTAAAGCATAAGCTTGTTGCTCTGACTCCTATATTGACGGACCCCCCCCCAAAAAAAAAAAGGACTAGTGGTGTCCTGCTGGTTTCCCTTAAATCTCACAAAAACAGGGTACCCGCAAAAAATGGACACACCCATATGTGTATGCATATATATATATATATATATGATTTGGTGGGCAGCATTTGGTTGGATGTATCTCCAAGCATCTTTCAGGGTCCACGAAAAAAATCGGCCGCTTGCAGCTCGGGCCGCTGTCGCTCCGGAAGCTGATGTCCTGGTTGCGAAATCCCATCAAACGCAGCACCGAACTCAGAAGCCCTGGAATGATTCGATTCCCCAGTAATGTTAACCCCGGATTCATACACCCCTGGTTGATTAATAAGGGTGTCCCCTTTTAGTGAGGATTCATCACTTTTGGAGGGAACACCCCCCCTAATAATGGGACGGGTTTATTAATCCTGGGTCAACATTACCAACAAATAATGGTTTCAGCTTCAATGGTTTCACAGTGGTGCGCAAGTTCGTCCATCCACAGTAGGGGACTCCTTGGAGACATCATTTCGGGGAGAGAAATGTCCGCCAAGCATTTGAGAGAATTCTCCAACCATTAAAAACCATAGCCAGAAGGGACCCTTGGTGGACATGAAATTTGGGGGATGTATGTCCAACCATTTGAGAGGGTGTTCCAACCATTCAAATGTACAAGCACCAGTGATACCTCAGCGAAATGCAGAGAAGAAACACCACCCTGTGGCAAAGGGCTTCGCTGGTTCACCAAACTAAAGGCCTAGCTACTTGACTGGTGAGTTGAAGGAAGGCGGAACCAGAAGTAGTCAAAATCTGAGTGCGGGGGTGTATACAGCCCCAATCAGGTTTTGACTGTGGTGTCCCTTTAAACCGACCCCAAAATGCATGGCCCCAAACCGCACAAACGCCACGCCAAGATTCACATTGACAAGCGCCAGATCGTCTCTGAACCACCCAGCAAGGTTCCTTGAAGATCCCCAAACGGCTTATTCCCAAAACGCCTCTTGATTCCCTATCGAACCAGACCCTTGAAATCAAACAAAACTGCTGGCAGCCCATCATCCTCTCAGAAGAGAGAAAAACCGCACTTTGTGACAAGCCCTCAACTCGCTCTCGACTCGACTCGCTCCCGTCCAGCCAAAGCGCGTCAGGGCTGTGCCTGAAAGCATCCGACGGACAGGCAAAAGCCAAGCAGGGGCTTCAAAGAACATCACCCCCAATTGCCTTTGTTTGACCCCCCGACAGCCGTCAAAAGCAAAACTGCTGGTGTCAACTTTGGTTGGACAATCAACAGGTTCTTTGGTCTCCATTGCACCATAGGATTTGCACTTTTCAAAAAACACACACACAGGGCGGTCCAAATAATCAGAGTTTATCTGGGACTGACCCAAAATCAGGCAATTTCGCCAGTAACTCCAAGGTCCGAGAGAAAAACCCCTGGCAAAAAACTATCAATGGGGTTCCCCGTCTTGCTTCACTCGGCTTCCCGGCCTCAACTGGGTATCTTCCGAAGGGTACTGAAGCCTTGCTTCGGTCTGCTGGTGGCAAACGTCGCAAACGTTCAGCGCGGCATTCATCAAACGCTGCTCCAAGAGTTCGTGCTCGCGCTTCCCGCCATCTACTTCGCTCTCAAGCCTGCTTGTAGCCTCTCTGCTTACCTGAAGCTTTCTCTTCAACTCACTTTGGCTCTGTTTCAGAGTCAGGCATTCACTCCGTGCTGCTTGACAAGCTGCTTCGCATCGAGAAATCTCCTCCAACTGTGCCAACTGCTTCTGCTCTGCCCAACCAGCTTGCTCAGCCTCACGACCTGCACTTGCTAGGCCGGCTTCCCTTTCTGCCAGCACAGCTGACTCCTGGCAAAGGCGGCTTTGCAGCGTCTTTGCCTCGCCTTCAAGTTTCAGCTTCTGCTGCTGGAAATCGCTCAATCTAAGTTCTTGCTCCCCAATGCTCCGCTGTGCACCCATCAACTCCTCCCTGCTCTCACACAGTGCCAAAGACTCGCTCAGCATTTCGGACTCGCACCGTCGCAACTGCAGCTCTTTCCCATCCACAGCCTCCTTGCAGCTTACAGTGGTCTCTTGGTACACTTCTGCTTTCAGCTCGGCATTCATCAAACGCTGCTCCAAGAGTTCGTGCTTGCGCTTCCCGCCATCTACTTCGCTCTCAAGCCTGCTTGTAGCCTCTCTGCTTACCTGAAGCTTTCTCTTCAAATCACTTCGGCTCTGTTTCAGAGTCAGGCATTCACTCCGTGCTGCTTGACAAGCTGCTTCGCATCGAGAAATCTCCTCCAACTGTGCCAACTGCTTCTGCTCTGCCCAACCAGCTTGCTCAGCCTCTCGACGACCTGCACTTGCTAGGCCAGCTTCCTTTTCTGCCAGCACTGCTGACTCCTGGCAAAGGCGGCTTTGCAGCGTCGTTGCCTCGCCTTCAAGTTGCAGCTTCTGCTGCTGGAAATCGCTCAATCTAAGTTCTTGCTCCCCAATGCTCCGCTGTGCACCCATCAACTCCTCCCTGCTCTCACCCAGTGCCAAAGACTCGCTCAGCATTTCGGACTCGCACCGTCGCAACTGTAGCTCTTTCCCATCCACAGCCTCCTTGCAGCTTACAGTGGTCTCTTGGTACACTTCTGCTTTCAGCGCGGCATTCATCAAACGCTGCTCCAAGAGTTCGTGCTCGCGCTTCCCGCCATCTACTTCGCTCTCAAGCCTGCTTGTAGCCTCTCTGCTTACCTGAAGCTTTCTCTTCAAATCACTCCGGCTCTGTTTCAGAGTCAGGCAGTCACTCCGTACTGCTTGACAAGCCGCTTCGCATCGAGAAATCTCCTCCAACTGTGCCAACTGCTTCTGCTCTGCCCAACCAGCTTGCTCAGCCTCTCGACGACCAGCACTTGCTAGGCCAGCTTCCTTTTCTGCCAGCACAGCTGACTCATGGCAAAGGCGGCTTTGCAGCGTCTTTGCCTCGCCTTCAAGTTGCAGCTTCTCCTGCTGGAAATCGCTCAATCTAAGTTCTTGCTCCCCAATGCTCCGCTGTGCACCCATCAACTCCTCCCTGCTCTCACCCAGTGCCAAAGACTCGCTCAGCATTTCGGACTCGCACCGTCGCAACTGCAGCTCTTTCCCATCCACAGCCTCCTTGCAGCTTACAGTGGTCTCTTGGTACACTTCTGCTTTCAGCGCGGCATTCATCAAGCGCTGCTCCAAGAGTTCGTGCTCGCGCTTCCCGCCATCTACTTCGCTCTCAAGCCTGCTTGTAGCCTCTCTGCTTACCTGAAGCTTTCTCTTCAAATCACTCCGGCTCTGTTTCAGAGTCAGGCATTCACTCCGTACTGCTTGACAAGCTGCTTCGCATCGAGAAATCTCCTCCAACTGTGCCAACTGCTTCTGCTCTGCCCAACCAGCTTGCTCAGCCTCTCGACGACCAGCACTTGCTAGGCCAGCTTCCTTTTCTGCCAGCACAGCTGACTCATGGCAAAGGCGGCTTTGCAGTGTCTTTGCCTCGCCTTCAAGCTGCAGCTTCTCCTGCTGGAAATCGCTCAATCTAAGTTCTTGCTCCCCAATGCTCCGCTGTGCACCCATCAACTCCTCCCTGCTCTCACCCAGTGCCAAAGACTCGCTCAGCATTTCGGACTCGCACCGTCGCAACTGTAGCTCTTTCCCATCCACAGCCTCCTTGCAGCTTACAGTGGTCTCTTGGTACACTTCTGCTTTCAGCGCGGCATTCATCAAACGCTGCTCCAAGAGTTCGTGCTCGCGCTTCCCGCCATCTACTTCGCTCTCAAGCCTGCTTGTAGCCTCTCTGCTTACCTGAAGCTTTCTCTTCAAATCACTCCGGCTCTGTTTCAGAGTCAGGCATTCACTCCGTGCTGCTTGACAAGCCGCTTCGCATCGAGAAATCTCCTCCAACTGTGCCAACTGCTTCTGCTCTGCCCAACCAGCTTGCTCAGCCTCTCGACGACCAGCACTTGCTAGGCCAGCTTCCTTTTCTGCCAGCACAGCTGACTCATGGCAAAGGCGGCTTTGCAGCGTCGTTGCCTCGCCTTCAAGTTGCAGCTTCTGCTGCTGGAAATCGCTCAATCTAAGTTCTTGCTCCCCAATGCTCCGCTGTGCACCCATCAACTCCTCCCTGCTCTCACCCAGTGCCAAAGACTCGCTCAGCATTTCGGACTCGCACAATCGCAACTGCCGCTCTGTCTCGCATTTGGCATGTACGCACCGGCTTTCCTGCAGACGCTCAGAGGTGAGCGCGCTCTCCGCTCCGTCCAAGCGATCTTGCAACAAAGCCATCCGATTCGTCGCCGACTCGACGAGTTGGCAACTCAAACTCTGCGCCTCGAGATCTTGCCGAACCTGCCAGGGTTGAACACGGTGTGTTGCAAGCAGACACTAGTTTGGCCCGGCAAACCCCCGATTGATTTTCAAAGGAGGCGTGCCACTTTGCAGGGGGTCCCTCATTTTGGGACGCAGACCTAGTCTGCCAGGTGGATTACTCAGCGGGTCACAAAGCCACAAGGAGCCAGAACCCATCCCAGCCTCCCGTGCGAGTGACACTTGGGAGTCCACCGACTGCATCCAGCTCGACGCGAGGCTGCGTGCCTTCGAGGAAACCTTGGCCATGCGAAGGTCGCACAGCTCTTTTTCCAGGACCGCCCGCGCTTCGGAAGATCTTTGCTGCAGGGCCAAGGTGGCCACCTGGCCGTGGGTCAAAATCCAAATCGTACCCCTAGTGAACATCCCCATCCAACCACTAAAATGGGTTCCAAAATTGGTGAATTAAATCACCCCAAAATGGGATCCCATTTGTTTTGACCCACCTCTTCCTGAAGTTGATGAAGTTCTTCCTCTCCTTGGGCCATTTCTCTGGATTGAAGGGTTTCCTTCACCAAGTTCTGCGCCTCCACTGCAGCCAAATTCGTCTCCGATGTCATTTCCAAGTTCAACATCCGGCACTGCGTTTCCTGCATCAAATCAGAGTCACTGACAAAACCCGGTACTAAATTGGCTTGCCTACAAACAAATATCTTAAGAATCGGGCAACCACACCTAATTATGGCTGGGTTGACTGTAGCTCCTCACGTTGCTGCAGTTCCTCGGATTGAAGCTCTTCCTTCACCTCCCACATGACTGCGTTCTGCTCCTCCATGCCAATCAAATTCATCTCCGAGGTCGCCACGAGCCTTTCCAAGCTCAACATCCTGCACTGCGCCTCCTGTGCCAAATCAAAGCCTCTCATTATCCGCCGACAACAGACGGCGTGCCGGACATAACTTACCTCTGTACCTGTTGCCCCCCTCAAAGCAGGGTTCCAGACTATTGCAGGGGGTGGGCACCCTTTCTTCTGGGGGCTGTGCGGGCAAAAAGCATTGGGGTGGCCGATTCCCCGGGTCCGATGTTGCATCCTTGGCATCTCCTGGGCAACATCGCCAGCATCACCTGCATCATCCGTATCAGCGCCTGCCAAGGATGCGGATGATGCAAGGGGTGCTGGGGATGTTGTCCATGCTGGAGCAGGAAAATCTGGAAATGAAGGCAAATGCATGGAAATGAATGACATGAAGTGAAATGAAGGAAAAAGCATAAAGGGACATGAAGGGAGATCTTAAAGGGGGGGGGAAACATCTTTGGGGGGGAAACGATCTTGGAGGGAAACGGGGGGCAAAGATCTTAGGAAGGAAAAGGGTGAAGATCTGAGGTGGAAAAGGCCTTAGGGGGGAAAGGGGGGAACGGATTTTAACAGGCAAAGGGTGCAAAAGATCTCAGCGAGGAAAAGGGAGAAGATCTCAGGGGGCGAGAAGCCTTGGGGGGGGAAAGGGGGGAAAGGATCTCAACAGGGAAAGGGGGGAAAAGATCTTAGAAAGGACAAGCAAGAAGATCTCAGCAAAAAGGCCTTAGAGGAAAAAGGCGGGAAAGGATCTCAACAGAGAAAGGGGGGACAAGATCTTAGGCAGGAAAAGGGAGAAGATCTCAGGGTGGGAAAAGGCCTTAGGGTGGAAAGGGGGGAAAGGATCTCAACAGGGAAAGGGGGGAAAAGATCTTAGGAAAAACAAGGCAGAAGATCTCAGGGAAGGAAAAGGCTTTAGAGGGGGCAAAGGATCTCAACAGGGAAAGGGGGGAAAAGACCTTAGGGAGGAAAAGGGGAAAGATCTCAGGGAAAAGGTCTTAGGGGGGAAAGGGTCTCAACAGGGAAAGGGTGCAAAAGATCTTAGGGGGGAAAAGGAAGACAGGGGGTGAAAAGGCCTTCGGGGGGAAAGGGGGGAAAGGATCTCAACAGGGAAAGGGGGGGAAAGATCTTAGCAAGGAAAAGAGAAAAGATCTCAGCGAGGGAAAAGGCCTTAGGGGGGAAAGGGGGGAAAGGATGTCACCAGGGAAAGCGGGGAAAAGATCTTAGGGAGGGGGGGGAAGTCCTTAGGGGGAAAGGGGGGAAAGGATCAGGAGGACAAGGGAGAAGATCTCAGGGACGAAAAGGCCTCAGGGGGGAAAGGGGGGAAAGGATTTCAACAGGGAAAGGGGGGAAAAGATCTTAGGAAAAACAAGGCAGAAGATCTCAGGGAAGGAAAAGGCTTTAGAGGGGGCAAAGGATCTCAACAGGGAAAGGGGGGAAAAGATCTTAGGGAGGAAAAGGGGAGCTCGCCGAGAGAACCTTGCGTCGATAACGTTCCTGAAGCAACTGGCAAGGAGGAACTTGCACAGGCAGCTTGCGCAGCGAAACTTGCACACTCGCAGCTACGACTCAGAAATTCGCAGCATGATTAAGACATACAAAAGCATGACATGCACATGAACCTGTCCTTCTAGTGTGGGTAGGGCCAGTTTATTACCAGGTTCTGATGGCTCAGGCCGCCGACCTTACAGGCCTGCCTTCTTATTTGCGTCCCTTTGGAATTGTCCCTTGCCCCCCTTCCCCTGTAAGATCTTTCCCCCCCGTCCCCCCTGAGATCTTCTCCCTTTTCCTCCCTAAGATCTTGTCCCCCCCTTCCCTGCTGAGATCCTTTGCCCCCTTTCCCCCGTAAGGCCTTTTCACCCCCTGTCTTCCTTTTCCCCCCTAAGATCTTTTGCACCCTTTCCCCCCTAAGACCTTTTCCCTGAGATCTTCCTCGGCACATGTTTCTCTGCGCAACTGCTCTGTGAGCTGCAGTTTTCGTGCGTGTCGTTCTCAACGAAGGGGGCCGCTCTCAATGCACGTGTGCCACACAAAGTTGCCCGTCGACCACGCCAATTCTCGCAAAGGGCCGCGCGTCAAAGCAAAGCCTCGAAAGTCGTCAGTTTTTGCGCATCAACCACGCCGATGGCAAAAAATCCTCCGCTTGTGCACCTCAACCCGCGCAAAGGTCGCCGCGCGGGGTCTCCAAAAATTCGCAGAGCCCTCAGCGTTTAAAAGGTAGCAAGAGTTGTGCGTTTGCACCGCCGACCCACCACGCCGACAAAGTCTCGAAAGCCTTTGGGTTTAAAGTCGGACCTGCCACAATCCCTCCAAAATGCTTCACGAGCTTTCTTGTACCAGATTGCTCGCGTGCAACTTGCTGCACGTGGTCTCTCGTGCAGTTTGCTGGACATGTTCTCTCATGTAAGTTGCTGTGCGCTTTCTCTCTGGATACTTGCTCTGCATGTGCGCCAGCGCAAATTGCTCTGATTGTACTCTCGCGCTACTTACACTTCTCGTGCTGCTTACACTGCTCGAGCTACTTGCTCTGCATGTGCCTGCATGTGCTCTCGTGCTCTTGCTCTGCATGTCCTCTTGTCCATCTTGCTCTGCATGGACTCGTGCGCGCTGCGCTTTTTGGCTGCGCCACAAGGCTGGCGATCAAACCCGACCAACCTTTCACAATGCTTTGGGTTAAAGCATGAGCCGCTGCAGATCTGTTTATGGTTGGGAATGCCCCCCCCCACGAATTAAACTTGATCTACCCCTGCCAATATTTTGACTGTGGCTCCTCACGTTGCTGCAGTTCCTCGCATTGAAGCTCTTCCTTCACCTCCCACATGACTGCGTTCTGCTCCTCCATGCCAATCAAATTCATCTCCGAGGTCGCCACGAGCCTTTCCAAGCTCAACATCCTGCGCTGCGCCTCCTGCGCCAAAGAGACGACCTGCCACACCCCACTCGGCGAGCCGAGCTTTCGGGACTCCCAGCTGCCCGAGTAGCCCACTTGGCGCGCTCGAGCGTGCCGCGCTCCGGCAGAGAAGGCCCGCCAAAGCTCAAACCTGAGGCAACTCGCAAGCATCATGGATACCCTCCTGTCCACTAACATGGAACTTGACTCAGGGGCTATTTTCCTTCAAAAGGGACCCTCTGGTGTTCCATGCTAGTGGACCTCAAACTCCACTCCATCTCACCTGAGCCCCAGGACGCAACAAACCCTGGATTCCAGACAAAGTTTTAGCAAGTCATCTTGTCCGTTGCTCATGTCTGGCAGCACACAGCAAATGATGAAGCACCTGCACGAAAACAGCTTTGCCCTGCTGCTTCCTTCCTGCGTGCTTGCCTTGCTGGATGACCAGATGCTCTTGCATCGCCTGCCTCTGCATCTTCAGCATCACCAGCATCACCAGCATCACCGACACCAGCAATTCAAAGAGCTGGACTCCAAAACCTGCCCGGTTCCATTTTTTTATTTCCCTCCAGACTTGGTGCCCAAAAAAATGACACCGCTTGGAAGTCCAACCCAAAAACCCACGCGGCAACTCCCTGCGTGTTTCGGTGCACAGCCGCAGCGGCAACTGGGGGTCCACGCGGCCGTGAAAGGAAATCCCGGCCTTGGCTGCGAGAAGTCTCTCTCGCAACCCCAGTGCGGGTGTTGGTTTGAGAGGGAAACCAAAAGGGAAACACTCCGCACGGCCGGGCCGAATCATCCCGGGGAATTCGGTCGAATGTGTTTCCTTCCTGTGGAGGCGAGTCATTTTTTTCTGGTCTGGGGCGGTGCGGGCTCGTCAAATTCCATGACTTACTGGGGGGCGGGGGAAGAAAACACATGACACGCATGATCTTATGATAGTGACTTAGTCTCTTTTTTGAATCCCGCAACTCCAGTCTAGCTAGTTACCCTCCTCCTCACAAACGTGGCACCTGACAGAGGGTCCCTTAAAGAGGAAATTGACCTTCCGGGTACCCTCCCACAAACGCTATGTTTCACCTTACCCCTAGTTGGTGGTTTCCTCACTCGGTTTCAAAAGGTACTTGGGTTCAAATCCAAATCCAAACCACCAAATCCAAACCACCAATTAAGGGGTACCTGAATGTTACTGGGAGAAAGGGTAGCTTACCCTCTGACTGGAAAGTCTCGCTCGCTTGGGGCCGTGGCATATCAACGCCTGCAAGCGGAAAGCGGAAAGGCGAACTGGAGCCCGGAGGTCGGACCCCCTCCCTACTTTTGGGTAGTCTGTAAACCACCAAACTATAAGGGCACCCTCAAAAGAAGACTGTTTTTGTGGGAAATTGCAGAATATTGAGAGGCTTTTCCCACATGCCCCTGCCGAATGGACCATCGCATGTTAGACGCACAAAAGCACGAAAACTGTTTGCGGCAAGTGGATGCAAGTCACAATTGATCCTGCAAAGCAGCCTCACATGCATGTCGTATCGGGCTGGCTAGCGGCAACTTGCAATCTCTCTGCGCTCGTAAACTTGAAGAAACAAGCGGGGTTGCCCATGCGAAAGCCGAAGAAGCCATATACACTACTGGATATTCTAAGCTTCACGTGGCTCGATCAGTGCTGTCCAGCGGCTCCAGAAGAAAAAGAGTTGGCCACAAACGTCAGCAAACCAAATGACGGGATCTGTGCCGCAGATGCGCGCTCAGATTGATGAAGCGAAAAGAAGCGAACTTTGACACCTAGAGTCCCCCCTCGAACATGCGACAAACGAAAGCCCCCCCCCACTCAAAGCCCAAGAGCAGAGCTCCTCTTGACCCGCCAACGGACACGCAAAAACCGAAGCGCGCCTGCTTCACCTGCGCCAAGACCACGCGAGGCCGCGGCAGCAGGGCCCAGGCCAGAAAGCCTTGGGCCGGGTCTCGAGGGACCGGCGCGGCCGGTCTCGGCCGGTGCTGAAGGTAAGCTCTTTCCAACATAGGATCAGCTTCCTTCTGATTGGTGGTTTAGATTGGTGGTTTGGATTGGTGGTTTGGATTGATGGTTTGGATTGCTGGTTTGGATTGGTGGTTTGGATTGCTGGTTTGGATTGGTGGTTTGGATTGGTGGTTTGGATTGGTGGTTTGGATTGGTGGTTTGGATTGCTGGTTTGGATTGGTGGTTTGGATTGCTGGTTTGGATTGGTGGTTTGGATTGGTGGTTTGGATTGCTGGTTTGGATTGGTGGTTTGGATTGGTGGTTTGGATTGGTGGTTTGGATTGGTGGTTTGGATTAGTGGTTTGGATTGGTGGTTTGGATTGGTGGTTTGGATTGCTGGTTTGGATTGGTGGTTTGGATTGCTGGTTTGGATTGCTGGTTTGGATTGCTGGTTTGGATTGGTGGTTTGGATTGGTGGTTTGGATTGGTGGTTTGGATTGCTGGTTTGGATTGGTGGTTTGGATTGCTGGTTTGGATTGGAGGTTTGGATTGGTGGTTTGGATTGGTGGTTTGGATTGGAGGTTTGGATTGGTGGATTGGTGGTTTGGCTGAGGGTAGTTTCCCTACCTTTTCAGCCCCTGAAGTTGTACAAGGGCAACGTTTCGCTGAAGGGTGTGATATGTATAGCTATGGTGCTATGGTGTGGGAAGCCATGGCTTGGAGTGAACCTTGTCCAGACATGAGTGCAGGGTTGAATTGGTGGTTTGGAGCCCGGTAGTTTGGCGGCTGAGGGCAGTTTCCCGTTTACCCTCTACAAGAACCGGTGTTCGAATACAAAAACCGCCGCTCCAAACCACCAATCACTGAATCCTTGCAACAATGGAAGTGGACAGCCCAGTTTGAGATGATTCTGGTCTTCTAAAGCCCTCCTGTGCGCGACGCGTTTGGCAAAATGTCAAAATGGGACACACACACACACACACACACACCAAAAAGAAGCATCCTCCGCGGGTTTACCAAACTGGTACTGTGGGGCTACGCCTTATCACCTGGCCTGATGTAAACTCGAAAAACAAGCAGCGAAGAGAGCTCTCTCTCTCTTAGCGCGAACATGCCCCACAAAACCCCCACAGCAAAATCCTGACCGCGAATGCGTGTAGCACATCCCCCCGCAGCTTTTCTATACCTGGCATAAACCCTTCAGGGGTAGGGGTGACATCCCGCAGGGGTGCCCCCCCCTTTTGATTTGCTCCAAAGGCCACCCTCCTTCCGCTTCCCTTTGGGATCAAACACGGCAGACTCATCTTGCCAAGCGGAATCATGCCCCCCGGTAGGGTTGACTGCATTGGGGCAACTTCTTTAGACTTTTGGCTTTAAGGCCCGGGCAAGTGGCAAAATCACGACTCTCGCCCCTCAAAATCGGTGGTTTCCAAGTGGCTTCCCTTTTCCAAGAAACCAAAACGACACGCCTTCGACCAAACCGGAAGTCGCGCAAGTTCCCCAACTTTGCGTGGGGATTGGCCATTTCCCCTCACCCCGCAAGCAACGGAAACTCAATTGTAAAAATAAAATGCCCAAACGGTGATGTTGGGTGGGGTGGCTTGGTCTCTCGTTTGGTTTGTTGGGTAATGTTAACTACATATGAATACACCCCTGGTTGATGGTCGGGGCGTGTCCAAATCCTTTTAGTGGGGATGCAGATCACTTTTGGATCGCCCACCCCTCTTAGGACTTAGATCCGAGGTCAACATTCACTGTTTTGGTCCTTGGGGCGACCTCCTTTGGCTTCGGCTGTCCTTTTGGGTTTTCCTTGAACCCATTTAAAAAAAAAAGGAAAGGAATACCCTCCCACCAATTCACAGAAGGCACCTGACGTTCGTCCTGGTTTGGACCATTTTCCTTTTAAAGGGACCAAGGCCCGAACGTCAGGTTCCAGCCGTAAAAAAGGGTGGGAGGGTACCAAAAGCTTCCATTTTAAGAATATAATATGGCCATGGGTCAAAAGGCACTGTTGATAACTTTTGCATACGGGAAATATGGGGGACCTGCCCTGGCTGAGGGGGTGCACGCCGAGCACGCGGACCCTTTAGAGCAGTGGCCCCAGTGAACATCCCAATCCCCACTAAAATAGACTAAAATGGGTGGTGCACCTACCCCAAAATGGTACCATTGGCGATGAGACAACCAACTCAAACCCGCTGGAAACCGGCCAACCATAGGGCACATCTGGGTCTGTGGTTGTTTTTGAGTTGGTACCCCTTTTCTGTTGTTGCTTTGTTTATTTAAATGAAAAGAACAAGAAGAAGAAGAAGAAAAAAAACGGACACCCCGCCCCGGGGCCCCGTGACACATCCGCCGCCGCGCCAGCTCCGCCCCTCGCAGCGCCACTAGAAGCTCGGCGCGCCTCGGCGGCGCCGGGGGTGGCCGAAACGGGAAGTGGTCAATCCCCTTGGCCGTGGTGGTCAAAAATCGTTTGTAACCCCAAAATGGCTCGGGAAACTCTAGGGGTGGATTCCTTGTCCATTCTTTTCAACCATCGTTCGCCTCAAAAACCGGATCTGTTTCCCCAGGGTTTTTGGTGTTGTTTTAGAAAGAAGGATCCCTGGAAAGAATGGGGAAGGTACCCCTAGAGAAATGGACACGTGGTCTCAAATCTGCGGTCCAATTCCTGGTGGTTGAATTTTGACCCATACCCACATGGGTGTCCCTGGGAAATGAATGACACAAAACCAATCTAAACCAGTGAATCGAACCCATCTATGCATAACCAAACTAAGCAATCAAAAGAACCTATGAATGCGGCCCCAGGTTTGACCCGGGTTGCGTCCAAAAAGGATGCATCCGCTTTTTGAGGATCGGGAAATCCTGAAATGGAAAATGGACCCTTTGGCTCCATGTCGTAATGAGGGGATGTCAAAACAGGCCTTCCCCCTCCCCGCCTCGATGGTTTTGTTGTTTTTCTATGGGTCGGTTTTTGTATTTGGAGACTCCAAATGCCGGTCCTCCCCACATCTCACTCCCAGCCTGTCTGCCAGATCCATCGCGGAAAGCACAAGCGCCGGGCAGTATCAGGACAAGCATCTGGAAGCAGTACACATGTCAGACAGGGGGAAAAATATTTGCTTTGGGATTCCAGAGGTGCCTAAAAGAGAGAATATAAAATGGTGCTTCCTTCCAACACGTGACCCGTAAGCCAGAAGAACTCATATCTCAAAGCCTCCCTCATGGTGAAGCTTCCAGCGACAGCCAACAGTCTGTCCTGCAGACTTCGGGCTTAATCTGTCCGAACACGTGCCCAAGAGCTGCCGTTTGGGCGTGTCGACATCGGCACTGAGGGGGTGCAAAAAGGGTTTGGACCTCAACGCGAAAAACTTGGACCTCCCAAACGAAAAATGCCAAAATTTTGGGGTGCCTCCTTTTTTAGGGGACTGCAGAAATTGTGTTTTTCCCTTGGGTTTCCCCTCCAAAAGTCACAAAAGGGGTACCCTTCAAAACGACACACCCAGCCCTTTCGGGTGCGGGTGGGGGGACGGGGGCAAACAAAGGCCGTTGTGGGTAAAAACCCTTTGGGTTCTTGAGTATTGGCAACCGCTTTCACGGCTGCTCACCATTCCAAAACAGGTCTCCCTATATTTCCCCCAGCATCACCCAAGAGGAACTCATGTGGCCCAAAAGGTGATGTTTGAATGGGCTGAAATTTGGGTATTCCATGGCACAAATTCCACATTGGGGTTCCCAAAAATGTTGGAGATTCCCACGGTTTAGGGTTTCTGAAAACTTGAGGTTCCCACAATCTAGGGTTTAAAAACATATGAGGGTCCCCACAGTTTAGGGTTCAAAACCAAATGGGTTCCGAAATGTGGAGATACACCCCCCATTTAAAGGGAACCCGGCCTTTGTTAAAGACATCCGAATTTTGAGACCACCACATAGCCCCATTTGGCTTGCTCCCTGACAGAAAGTTGGGTGCCGTCCAGGGCATGCATTTACTCATCCACTAGACAATTCTTCACTCAAAACCAGCCTTGCTAGTACACGAGGGTAGCATCCTCGCAAGGCACTTGTGTTTGGGCACCTCTTTGAGTCATAATCAACACTGATCGGTATTCCCATGGTCTACCCAGAACCATGCAAAGAACTAAAAAGGCGGCCGCACCCAGTTCTGGTCGGGATAATCCCTTACTAGCCTTCACTACCCCGTGTTCAGCAAGTGGCTCAACTATTTTGAAAGGTTTGTGGAACTTTCTTAGGGTTCGTAGAAGGGCTCTGAGTTTTGAGAACCTGTCTAGAGCACAGGGCAAGCCCTAGTGCTTCCCTGGGTGTTAGTTTGGCCCAAGCGAGATTAAAGAAATCTGCGACCTTTTCTATTGACTACCTGCACGCGGCGGGCATGTTGCCCAACCCTCTATTGGAATGCGATTAGGTGAAACAGGAGGACTGATGCCTCACACTTGCACTGGAGCCACAGTCAAAACCCACCATGGATGTTGGGCGGAGACTCCTTCAGGGATCGTTCTAAGGGCTCCCTGTTGGGGGGTTGCTGTAGAACGAACCAATCCAAAACCACGTATTTCGGAAAGCAACCATTTTGAGGCAAACCGTTCTCACGCCCAAAACCCGGCTCACCGGGTGACAGTCGTATGTGACAAGAGGGCCAGCTTTTGACCGTGGCGCCCTGGGTGAAAAGCATCTGCATTCAGGAAGGTGGAGGGGGAGGAGGTGGAGGCGGAGGAGAAGGCGCGGTGCCTACATGGGTCTTTTGAAAACCGGTTGGGCCTGTTGGTGGACCACATTCCAATGAGGGGCTTTATCCACAAAATGTTGTGGAGGGTCATACCCAACGTTCGTGGCCAAATAGCCGCAAACACGTCCACCACTGGAAAAGTTTGCTCCGCCTGGCACCGCAAGTTGCTAAGATGGTGTCCACATCCCCCCAAACCAATCATTCAACCACCAGCCACCATTCCTGAAGTATGTGCTACGTTTTCTCTTGGGGTACCGACAGGTGCCTTGCTAGTGGGAGGGAGGGTAGTAGTTTTGGGGGTAGCGGAAGTCATCTAGAAAGTATCCCACATCAAACATCAGCTTGCATCAAAATATGAGGTTCAGACCCCTTCGCAGCAATGTACCAGCTTTGTGGGTGTATCTTTTTTGGAGGGGACTGTGTGGCTTTTTGAGGCGAAGGGTAGCTTTGAGAGGGAAGGCAAAATCACACCCAAAGGAGTTCTCTATTTCGAGGCAAAACCATTATAGTACTTAAACCATGTCCTCCATTGTCCGAAATATGTTTGATCCGATTTGCTGACTTTGTCCAAAATAGTAGACGTAGGGAAACCAAAGGGCCAACGGGTTACATTTGTCTTCAGAATTGTCATTCTGAGATCCCGGGCCCCTGCTTCAGTGTCAACATAGAGTCATTAAAGTCAAGGAACGCATGGCAGCGGTCAGCCCTGTTTACTTGACCACTGCAGCGCTCAGTTTTGAGCTGTTCGCGCTTGCGGTCGCTTGGGCTCTTAGCCCATGGGACCCCACGCGGAGCACTGCCGATTATCGAGGGTCAATCTCAATCCACGATATCAGAAGAGAGATGATAACTTTTCCAACAATGGAAACGCACGTTTGGGTCTTTCTTTCAAGGGCACCCCTTGTTTGGTGGTTTTAAATGGAAACCAAAAGGACAACAGCCATCTTGGGGGTTCCCTAAAACAAAAGACAGACGGGACGTGGGGAAATGAGGGTTGCGTCCCCCTGTGTGTAGCGTAGTGAATTCAATGTGTCCGCATCTTCACCGAGCCTCGTGTGGTGTCCTTAAATCGGGACCACCCTCTCAAGGACACGGAGTCTAAAAAAAAAGCCTCATGATCCTTGACAGCCTGTTCGTGTCCTACACATATTCTGTATTTGGAGTTCATGGTGTCTCCCTCACAACTTTCTTGCCAAGCATCTCCTTTACGCAACAAAATATGTTATGGCTGTTCTTCTATATGTCCAAGTCTTTATTGTGCTTACGACAAAGGAATGGTAATATAGAAAAGCAATGATATATGAAATGAATTCTAAAAGACTTCCTTGAATACTGATTCACAAGCTTCTTTATTCAACATGGAAAACTGTGAATCTTGATTGTACAGCAGGTGATAGGAAAGACATCCCACGCCTTCCTCATCTCTACTTCCCTCGGATAGGCGCCTTTGTCTCCTTTGTCGCGGCCCTTCTCGCCCATTAGCTTGTCGGAGATGAAGGACATCTGCGCAGTCAGCTACTGAGTTAGACAGATCCAGGTGGCTGTGGCTCAAAATTCAACAGGAGGGGCAAACCGCAGGTTTTGGTCCATGTTTCCACTTGCCAGGGCAAGCCATTTTGGAATTCCGGTCTTCTGAGCCACAGCCAGGGGTCCTCCGGAGATTTTGCCCAAACCATTCACCGCGGGTTCGGAACCCATCTGAGCCGCGGTGAAAACCTCCGTATGTAGTGACCATAGTCATGAGTTCCATTCACAGTCTGTCCAAACTCCCTATGAAGAAGTTGATGAGCTGATGACCGTCCCTTCCAACCTCAAGGACAAGAGAACCCCCCAGACCAACATGGAAGCTGCCAGGACCCCTTTTTTCTTTTGGCAGCTCCAGTTGCAGAGGCCTTCTGGGAGCTTCCACGTTAGTCTGAGGGAGTGCACTTTTGAGACTTTTGAGACATCTGCGTATCGCGAATCAAACGCAAGGGGTGGTCGCCCGTGTTTAGACTTGGCACAAGTTTCGGGCCAAGGGAAGTCACTCCCCCGCAGATGAAACGAAACCCATCACTTACAGAAAACGTGTTTCTTTGGGGCAACCCACCCGAAAAGACTGATGGGGAGGTGGACGTTCTGGGACTCACAAACCATGCGGTTTAGGGACATGGGCGAATGTTTTTTTGGTTTGAACTCAACACCACAGAACATGGAAATGGGTCTCCGGTTCTTTGAGGGACTCTTTTCAGGTTGGCAAGCAAGCCTCTAGTGCCAATCCTGGCTTCAAGCAAACTGGATGACGAAATACAAGAGCCTTCTTTGACTAGAACGGGGCTGTGGGGGACTACTTGACCTCATCATAGGAGAGTCATGCGCATAGGTGACCTTTTGGGAAAATAGATGGCCCTGGCAAATGGAATAAAATCCATCTAAACCAGTGCCATCTATGTCTAACCACTAACCTAAAAAGGACACCTATGATCATGTGGGTCATTATTTTGCGATCTAATCCCTAATGATTCGCAAACTGGAAAATGCATATCCAAGGGATATCCAAGGGACATCCAAGCGAACTTGTTGGTGCTCAGTAGGGAATGTGGGAATGAACCCAAGCTTTGGTCCCCTTAAAGGCAACGAAACACCCGTTTGATATGTTTTTTCTCGGGGTCAGACTCCAGGCCTCAGTCCCTGCATCTCTCGCAGCGATCGCAAGATCTACTCACTCAAGGTTCCCCACTTTTTTTGCTTAGACTTAAACCCAGTGGTTGTTTTAATTTCCCCAAAAGGGAACCCTCTCATAGGTGTCCTTTTTAGGTGAGGGTTAAAAATAGATAGGTCCCTGCACCTCTCGCACCCCTCGCCGACGATTTGACTCTGCCTCCGACTTCTGCTGCTCGGAGAGCCGGAAGGGGAGCCGAAAGACGCGCACGCGTCCGCCGTCGTCACCTGGGCGTGGTTCCTTTTGGGGGGAACTCCAAGTGTGTTTCGTGGGTTTGAAGGGAAACCAAAAGGGAATCCACCATTCTGGAGATTCCAACCTTAAAAAAGACACAACCATCCTAAGATTCTCAAGGCGAAAGCCCCACATAAAAGAGATTGAATGAGCTTCCACATGGCCTTTTGTGGTTGAAACTTACTGAGTTATCCCCCAAATGAAGCATCGGCTCTCGGCGTTGACCGATGCCTCACGTGGATGCCCGACAATCGTTCCCACCGGACACCGATAGACTACCTTAAAACCAGACCTAAAAAACGTGTTTCAGGACATCTGCGGCTCATGGTTCATGGTTCTTGGCAGGAACGTTTGACCATCCCTGCCAGTCTTCAGCAAAAGGTGCTAACTTCCGACCACTCCATATGTGAGGATTGGTCTTCATGCGGAACTACTTTCCGGTGGCATGGCCATGCGTGTGTGTTCGGGACAATGTTGAAGGGTCAGAAAAGCAAATGCATACCAAATTCCCTTTTGGGACTTGGCTTGAAATCTTGAGGCTACCGTTTTCGGGTTGCTTGAAGAACCAAAACAAAACCGCAACCGGTTCTGGGGGACCAAATGCCACTTTAAGACACCATGTAAGTTTAAACTCCGAAAATAGAGAGAATCAGAGAAGGCCTTCTTGCCGCGCCTATGCTTGGGCAAAAGTCCCCTAAACAAAACATCAGCCAGGGTTCGATTGTGGCTAAGATCAGCAAGCAAAAGGAACTGATCAACCTCCGCCCCACCCCTTGCAGCCTTTGAAGGGCCCTCCTTTTATGGGCCACACGCTTCAAAAAGATAGACTTTTGCTTTCCCCTTTGGTACAACCTCATTGCGTCCAGGTTTGAAACTTCAGGAACCGCCAATTAACCCGACCAAAAACAAAAAGGCCGTCCGAGTTGGAAACTTCGGACGCAGCCCAGCAACCCAACGAAGAAAAAATATAACCCGTCGAAGCCGACTCGAAACCGACTCGAACCCGACTCGCAGCGGCGCTTAACGAGGCCGCGGCCGCAGGCCAACATCCCCCGCTGCTTAGGGTTGAAGGCCACGCAGTTCACCCGCCCGGAGCCCAACGGCAGCTCCAGCACCGGCTCCTGCCGGCTCCTCGGCAAGTGGCGCGAGATGGGTCGGAAGTGAGCCGCAAAGAAAACACCTGGAACTTGAAACAAGTAGAGTTGGTACCAGTTTAAGATACTCATACAAACAAAGACAACAATGAGTCTGGGTGTGTGTACTCAGACCGTTTGTACCCTACTCTAGTCTAGAGGCTAGGCTCAAAGATTCCAAACCGGGCGACTTCGGTGCCCAAAATTGGCACAAGGGTCTGCCTCAAACGACCAGCCAGGGGTCTGATTGCTACAAACTGTGCCAGCCCGGGCACAGAGGTCATGTGCCGGAAAACTGCAATGAAACTAAACGGGGGACCCATTCATAGACATCATTTGCATGGTCGGATTCATGTGCACCAACATGTTTTTTACGGCTTGCGGGCGTTTGCCGTAAAAAGTGAAGATATATTGTGTGAGTCACCGAAAGAATAAAGAATGCTGTTAACTGGCAGCCAAGAATCTGCAGCAAGTCGTAGATGAAGACACCTGCTTACAGGCAGGAGAGCAAGGAGATGGTGCCATGTAATTGTGGCACTCTCAACAACCCTCCTGTAGATGCAACCCACAGAGCCCCTTGCGGAAAATCGTCCCACGCACCGCCGAAACCACGGCGGTTCCAAATTCGTTGTTTTGTTCGCAAGACACCAACCACTTCAACCCTCGCTGAGCAACCTTTTTTTTTTCCGACGAGAGTTGCTCCCATTCGACCCCAAAAGGATCCTTCTTTGGTCTGGCTGTCAAAACCAGCCCTCCAAACGGGGAATCTGATTCCGGCTGAAGGAAAATGGTCCTACAGAATCCCGAAAACAGATTCCACGCTTCTTTCAGGGGTGGCTTGGATTGGTGGCTTGGATCGGTGGCTTGGATTGGTGGCTTGGATTGGTGGCTTGGAGGTTGGGGGCCGCGTTCCTGGCTGGCTTCAGAGTGCAAGTTTCCCCAACCAATCTAGACCACCGGGGTGAAAGTAGACGGCACGACTCTCTTTCCATGGGTGAGTAAAGGGGACGGCTAAACCAAAAGAGGGAATTGTGCTATCTTTCACTGGGGTAAGATGAGTGCTGATGACGAATCCCTGCGTTAAAGTCCAAGTTCAATTGAGCAGCCAAAACCCCGAGCTGATTTGTGTTTCTACCAACACGGCTACAAAGGCCAAAAAAGCCCTTTACAATAAACCCATGCAATCAGTAGAACCTCCTCCTATCATGGCTAACGGGGGTTGTGGACGCTAATTAAAGTCTGGCAAAAAACATGTGGGGTGTCTCAAAATTGGAGATCCCAAAAAAGGTGCCCTTTCGGTTCCCCTTTAAACCAACCCCAAAAGGGCTCCCCTAAAGACACCCTCCAAGGGACCCCTGAGAACGGCCTCCCATCTCCATGGCGACTGCGAAGACGCAGGGCCTGGCGAGATTGGTGTCCTTCCGTTGAGTCCCTTGGAAACATTACATATGTCCAGTTGTGATAGACTCCCTTTGATAGACTCCCTTTAAAACTTGGAGGGGAAAAGTGTCGGTCTTCGCTTCTTTCCTAAGGTCTATAATGTCCATGTAGATGTGCATACATATATATATATATATACTGGGCTGTTCAATCTCGCGGGATCCCCAATCCGATGTTGGGTTATTTGTGGTGGGACACCACTACAGCAAGGGAAACCACTTCCATCTAGCGCAAGGATTGAGGATTGATTTTGAACCCAGTTTTCCGGGCTAATTTGGCTGGGAATGTGATGTAGAAAGCATTCACAAGATGATGAGAAAGCCCTGGGGCTATGGCTCTTGTATTATTGATGGAAAGAAGAATTAGCCCCCTGCCAAGACATTGAGGGATATTTGGGCTTGTCGTTTGGTTGAGGAACGTGTTGGCACGCATAGTGTCAAAGGAATCGACCTGGACGCATCCATATTTGAGACCCATCCTGATAGCTGATCAACATCAGCAGGTAGCAGGCAAATCAGAAGCTTGACTTTTGGGAGAATTGAAAGTGATTGGTTCAATTTGTTGACTCACTTGCCCAAGGGAGCTAGAAATAAAAGGTTGGCCTTTTGGGGCATGACTAAAACTGGACCAAACTGGGAAAACCAAAAGGTCAAAACGTTAGCTTTGGACAACTGAGTTGAGCAAGAACTTCGCCAAGGACGCCTTTGCGCCGAGTTGAAGCGAGCGTAACCAGCGGCTGACAAACCAGCTGGGCTGCTCCCATTTGACCCAACAAGGGTCGCAAGGGCCCCTGGAAATGGAAAACAGAAGGACAAGACTCTAGGGGTTGATTCCCCTTGGGTTTTTGATGGTTTCCTGAAAAGAAGGATCCCTGCAAAGAATGGGGAAGATACCCCTAGAAAGACACCAATTTCATATGGTCATCGTTTTTTCATTTTGGACCAGTCGGTGCAAAGGTCGCGAGGTGAGAACAGCAGGAAGCGATTGTCCACATCAAAACATGAAAGCTCACTCAAAACAATTCTCAAACATCCGTGTCCTGAAGTGAACCACCACAAAACATTGAGCCCGTGCATTCTGGATCCAATGTTCGCGCGATGGACCAAAGGCGTGCTAGTGACTAGCTGACACATCGACATGGATCCAAGCAACCAAGGACTTTGTTGGATTGGTTCTTGAACAAGAGTTGCGGAACTGCCAGAACTTTGGATGACCCGAAGAGCCGAAAACGAAGCCTAGGACCCTTTTGATTGCTCTGAAACGGAAATGGTGGTGAGCTCGTTTGCCCCCAAATTGGCGAGCTCCCCATAGGGCAAAAACTACCATCGCGCGGTTCAACAGGAAGTTGTGCCAGGTATCTGTACCTGGCGTAATTTGTGTTTTTGGTTGGGTGGGGATTTGAACCCCGGTTTCTTGTCTACATTGTTGAAATCAGATATCAGGTAGCCCTGTGTCGGTTTGGATTCGTTTGGAGATTTGAACCCCTTCTTGTGGAGTAAATGGGAAACGCCCCAACCAAGCCACAAGTCCAAACCGCCCAATTCGACTAGTAGAGGGAATCTGCTAAGGCCAAGCTGTGTTCGGAATCGGCGTCAAACCACCATGTCCTTAACCCCAAGCACTCCGATCGGCTCCCCAGGCTCCCTCTTTAAAAGCCACAGTTGGAAACCGGGTCGCTCCGGAACGGCTCCCTTCCAAGCGAGTACCAAAAACTTTGCAGGTCCAAAGGAGAGAAGGTGCTCAGCCACTCAGCCACTCAGCCACTCAGCCACTCAGCCACCTTCCTGATCCGACAGTAAATGGTCCTGCCTCAAAGGACCCTTTTGTTCCCCCCACCGAACTTCGACCAAAACGCACCTCAAGGAGTCTTGCGCCCTCCACTCCAAAAAAGAGAAGCTTTTTTGGCCTTCCGCTGGCCCCCCCCCCCCGAAAAAAGAAGAAAAAAACTGGTCCAAAAAAAACGAAGCTTGTCCAGCTCTTTAATGAGGGCAAAAAACAAACTGGGCCGGCACATTCCAAGCCCAAAGCCTCAGATTCGGCCCCTCGATTCGATCGGAGGCCATGGCCTGGCGGAGGACCACGCGCCCGCGGACACGGCGCAGGCGGAGAGGTACCTCGCGAGTCCGGGCCCCGATGTCTCCGGCAACTGAGATGCAGAGGCGCGCCTGTATAAACAAAAACCTATATATATATATACATATATATATATATGTACATATACATATATATATGTAGATATATATATATATATATATTGCATCTCGGGATATACATATAGATTTAGATAGGAATGTACATACATATATACAGATATACGTGTTGGTTCTTGGATGGGGGGTCAAGCCGGAAAAGTAGACTTGTTCCATATGTGCACACACACACACCACACACACACACACACCCGGCTGGGCCTGCCTAAGCACTTTCATCGGTCTGAGGCACTCCACATGAGTAGGCGGTGCTGCATGCAACTGACCCAATTCCTTACGTTGCCAAAACGCAACATTGCAGTACTGCCAGTAGCTGCAGGAGTTTGAATCCGTGCCAACAAATGCATTGTTTCCAAGTTTCAAGGACATGGTGCTGCTGAAATGTGGGTCAGGTGGTTGGGAAAGGGAGTCCCCAAACAAATACCAACACACAAGTGCATTTGTGTGCGCATGCATGCATATACATGTGTGTACATATATATGTATATATGTGTGTATGTAATCGTTACAACCCAGTATATGCTTTGATACATGCGTAATCGTATCATTACATATCTTCATGGTGGGTGTGTACTCGTTTAGTTTGTATTTGTTTGTAACTATGATTCACGGCTGTTGATTAATGAGTTTGTTTGTTGTGTGGTTATATATTTACGGCCAGCCCCTGAGGTTTGCCTGCGCCTCGAACCAACGCCCCGACACAAAAACCCTAAAAACCCTACACCTAAACCCTAAAAACCCTAAACCTCAACACTAAAAACCAGAAACCTAAACCCTAAAAACCCTAAACCTCAACCTTAAAACCCTAAACCTAACCCTAAACCTACACCCTAAAAACCCTAAAAACCCTAAACCTAAACCCTAAAGCGCTAAACCTAAACCTTAAAAAAACCCAGACCTGCCGCCCTCGTGGTACTACGGCCCCACGTTCTGAAGAGAACGCAGGTCACCACGTGTCAGGTATGGCTGCGCGAGTTCTGCTACTTGACTAGTAAAGCGAGTCACCTTGGGCATGGGCAGGACAAGGGATTAGGGGGTGCCGGCAAACCACGGGGGCTGTGGGTATATTTACCGACTCTGTTGTGTGACGTGTTGGTCTAGTGATGAACTGTTTTTTGTTTCTGTTATGCAATGATGAGCATCAGCGTTGCTTTGTTTATGGATTGTGCATCTATCGCACCCCGCAATTCTCCAATTGAACTGCATTCCTTCCTTCACTTCGTCCCTTCTTTTTCCATCTATTTTGAGAGACGGCCTCGGCTTTTTGAGCGAAAGACGCGCCTCGTCTTCTTGAAAATAACGGCTCCTCGTTCGTTTTCCGCGCCAGGAACCCGGGGAAAACGAAAGCGACCGAGGCGGTGACTTGCAGGGCGGGTAGAAGGTGTGGATCGCCCGCTGCTGCAACACGTCGAAGATCTTCACAGAGCCTGCGGCGGGAGCGAGCGAAGAGAAGTCCCGTGCGGGCGGAAGGCTGCGGCTTCCTTTTGGGTGATAGATTACATTAGATTATACTAGACTGGACTAGATTAGAGTAGACTAGAAAGATAGATGCATAGAAAAAAAAGAAGAAAAAAAAACGAAATAGATAGCTAGACAGACAGACAGACAGACAGACAGACAGACAGACAGACAGACAGACAGACAGACAGACAGACAGACAGACAGACAGACAGACAGACAGACAAGGGAAGCAAAACTATGTTTGAAATTTCCGCCAACCGGCTTCGACGGCTCTACTGGTGTTGTGCTGGTACTCTTTCAGTATTGCACTAGTATTGCCTAGTGCCAGTGCGCGGGCCCCTCAAAATCTTGCTGCAGGAGCTGTCCTGTGTCAATAGTATAAAAACATTGTTGGGGATTGGCTGTTTCAGTGGAGGGGGTCATTCAGAATCTGGCTGTTTGAAGCCTGAGTCAGGTTTGCTGCCTAAAAAGTGGCCCAGCACTTGAAAATTGTTGTAGTATTGACAGGTATTTGTTTAGAGCTGCTCTCAAACTAACCTTTAAAAACGGATGTGAAATATGCTTGGGCAATATCCTTTTTGCCTTTTGGGTTGTGTGAGTCTCCTGGTAGTCTGCTCTAGTATTGCTCAGTGACCTTTCGTTGTGGCATCGGACGGGCCATGTCCACTTGTTCGCCAAATCATGTATCCCTTGCCCTTTCTTTCTCAGATCACGGAAGAACTTCACAACATTTGTGCATCTCACTTGAGCACGCCTAGAAATGATAAAGGAGGAGGAACATCCCCGTAGGTCTTCAAACATCATGCCAGAGAGCAGCTCAACTGTACTTGACCCGAAAGTTGAAATTGAAACCACCCAATATTGGGCGTGTCTCAGACTTCGGGGCACAAATGGTCGGCTCCTCTTGGTGTTCCTTGACATCGACCTAGACAACGATAGCCCTCCAAAAAGCAATGCCCAACATGCTTGGGGTGGGATTAAAGTCAGGGGTCCGCTTGAAGGAAACCCACCAGTTGGATGGGTTTTTGTAAGGGTCAATTCCATCCTCCTTCCCTGCATCTCTCGCACCAGCCCAGTGAAAACCAACGGGACGTCCCAAGAATCCGAGAGATGGTTTGTGGTTCTTTGAACACCGTTTTGGCATCCCATTTTTTCGGCGTCCCGATTTGAGTGGGTGGATTGGCTGATGTTCACCGCTACGGGCTTCGGATTCTCGCCAGATCGGCCAACTCGGGGCCGGCGGCTTCGGCAACGCCGCGGCTCCGCGCCGTCCGCGGCGCCGGTGAGGAGCAGCTTCCGGTGGAAGGGGGAGAACCTGGCATCGGTTCGCGGGTTCACGGTGAGGCCATTGGTTTAAACATGTTTGAACCACTGGTTATGATGAATCTTCCCTTGTACAGGTGGTGTTTAAACCATATTTTGCCCACCCAGCCAGTTGTTCACAGCAACGAAAGCGGGCTCCCTAGGCTTCTGGGCTGTCCGATTTCAGATCCCCTGCTCAAAGTTTCACTTTTAGTGGGTTCAATGGACACCTAACCACGAAAACAACTGAAAAACAACTAAAAAGCAAAGAGAGAAGGATTCGGACGGCTGGGAAACAAGATTCAAACCAAAGGGCTCTCCCTGAGACATCGGCAGCCCTTTGGGAGCCCCGACGCCCCGTGACAAATTTCTCGGCACTGAAAGCACCGGGCATGAAAAATCTGAGCTGGGCGCAATACCCGTTGACTTGTCCAAGAAAATGGTCATAAAGGTTCATAGCCTTACTGTAAACCCCCATGAAACCAGGTAGTAGAACCGGGACGCATTGCTCACCGATTCTCACTCGTGGGCCTTTCGTCGTGTGTTGTGTTCAATTTTCGGCTCAGCTCCCGCTCAAGTCACTTGTCCATTTGCGGCCGGTCTGCAATTAGAGGAAATACTGGGTGGCAGATGTGAAGCAAAATGGCAGACAAGACATTTGCCCTTTTCGGGGTCGTGCTTTCTCTTGACTGCACTTTTGAGCGGTCCAAGCAAGTGGTTGCGCCCCCCTTTTGATGTAACCACCTTGCGGTGCATTTTGTAGTGAAACCAATATGCAACCCCATGTCCTATTTTGAAACACCCCTCAGCTGGACAACCGCCCATGACTCATGTCGGTGTCTTGCTTGCAAGCAATTCTCACCTTCAGATTAAAATGTGAGCGGATGTGGGGGGGAAGACCCGGGGCTGAGTCTGTCTCTCCTCAGCATTATAACTCGAAAAAGGAGAAGAAGAAACAAAGCTTGCAAAACAAGCTAAAGGCCATCAAACTCCAAACCCACCCCCCCAACCCAGGATTGGCGGATTGACCCTGTGCCGTTGGAGAAATGTGCTCCGTATCTCTAAAGGGGGTTCCTGCATTCACCAACCCAAAAAAGAGCTTGGAACGGTGGTTTGGGGTATTGAACCCAGCTCTTCGAAAGTCCACCAAATCACCAATGAGGGGTAAGGTGAGTTGCGTGGGTGTGTCCCACCCGTGTTTTTGTGTTTGCTTTCCAAAAGAAGGGCTACGCTAGGATTCGACCCCCATGAAAAGAATGGCAAGGACCCAATCTAGATGATGCCAATCCCTGGACAAACAGGGTTAACCCAACCGTTGTTTGATGGTAGCTGAATCCAAGGGGCCAGTTTTGAAGAAAAAGACATACACAACCCATCTCTGTGTTCCCTTCGGGCTCCTTCCCTAAGAACAACAAGCCGAAGCGTGCGCCCAAACGTGGCGGCCCTGCGCTGCCACGGTGACGGGGCCGTAGTGCGGCTCAAGGTCAGTCCTGGCGAGGGAGGAATATTCACCCCCCGCGGTTTGAAGAGAGGCGGACCCCTAAAACGAGTTGGTGTCCCAAATATCCCATGACATGGTGGTGTCCTTTGTGCTCGCCTGAAAACCAATCCCAGAAATGGGTCCCTCAAGGTTGGTGTCCGTGGCTTTGCGCCTTAAACCGGGTCCCTCAAGAAAGACAGTTTTGCCAAAAAACATGTTTCTCATTCACGGCTATTCCCTGCCACTGGTCGGGGGGAACAACCCAAGGTTGAACCACCTAATTCGATACAAGATACACCTGAAAGTGTGCAGTGCGCAAGGGACCAATTTCCATTTTAAGAGACATTGGCCATCACAGCGCCGAGGAGCTTTGACAACCTCTGTTGGAATTACCAAAAGCTGGCAAGCTCGCAAAGCGGGCCCCCTTTTCTTGACAGATCCTCCACTGTCTCCACACCAAGGGTGGTTGATTGGTCCAAGTTCCCTCCCAAAAAATGCGATCCGGACACCATCCGCTCTTTTCCACCCGATGAGTGAAAAAAGAGAAAAAAAAACGACGCCGGGCGGGCGTCTTGGGCGCCGGGAACAGGATGGCCGGGTCAGGCTTGGACTGGAAGATCACCTGCCCGGAAAACCGAGGAACTCCCCAAGGAAACCCCCGCGCTTTGCGCGGTCGGGTTGCAGGTCAGGCGGGGTGCCCTGTTTCCAGGGCGAATCACATGTGGGTCAACACCAATGGTACCATTTTGGGGGAGGTGAATTCACCACCCGTTTTAGAACTTGTTTTAGTGGGGATTGGGATGTTCACTGGGGGTACGGGCTTTTGACCCATGACCACATGGATACAAAACTTGCTGGTTCGCAAGGCAGAATGAGGGAATGACCCCCATAAACAATCCCTTGTGGTTGCTTTAAGCGAATCCCTAGCTTCATTCCCAACACGCGGAAGGTCATTCCCTACTGGGCACCAGCAGGAAAAAGCTGTCGGGGCGAAACCATAGAAACCCTCGACCTTTTCCTTCCCAATCCTCAAGGCAAAACCTGCGATCACCACAACCTGAGGTTTGTTGTCAAACGAGTCGTGGTCAAATATGTTGTTCCCCGTAAAGGGAAAACATGTTTTTCTGGCATATTTGGTGAGACCCCAAAACAAGTCCCTCCCAAGCTCATCAACCCTTGTTCGAGGGCAAGGCGAGACCCCATTTCTGCTCGGCGCACAATGCTGGAGCGTTGAGTTTGATTCTTCAGGCCTGACCAAACCCGGTGTTTGTCTTTCACACCACGAAGGGAAAGCAGCTGACCGGCCTGGATTTGAATTGCAAGCTTTTAGTCCTTGTTATCATTTGCCACAACCCATCTTCCTTGCCATCCGGCCTCCGCGCTCACTTCCTTCAAGCCCGCCGTCCGGCAGTAATTCTCGACCTCGGAAGAACTGCGAGAGATCCTCTCGGAAAAATCCGCCCAGCGGCTTGGAGCATGGCCAACACCCCCCAGAAGTTGAAGGTTCTGATTGGGTCTGAGAGAACCTTTCCCCGGCCACTCCCTCGGCTTTCAGCTGGAAAATGTAAACGTTGGATTCATCCGAGCCCTGGTTTTCCCAAAAAACAAAAACGTCATTTTACCTGGGGAACGATCCCCTGAACATCGTATGTTGGCAGTGACACATGTGTAGCTGCCCGATGCTTGAGTCTCGTCCAGTCAGTCCTCGAGCACTGCCATGCAAGTGCCAGCTCTCTAGGCTCTGACAAAGGCGCCACAGACTGCGACCACTCCTCAAAACTGAGCTGTGATCAAAACCTGGAAACTAGCACTCAAAAAAAGGCGGACTTTGAAAGGAACCTTCTTTATGACTATTTGGTTCCATTGGCTCAAAGTACAGGGGGGTCAATGATTCCCAAGCCAGAAGTTAAATGTACTGAAATTTGTTCCAACGGTTCAAGGCCACGAATGCAGGGATCTTCACTGCCCTTAGCAAAACTCATCAACCAGAATTACGGACTCCCTAAGTAGGGGACCTCCTTCATAGAACCGCTCGTTTTACCCATCGCTGCGGTGATCTCGCGGTGGCGGCTGGGGCGGCAACGTGGTGCTGCAGTTGTAGCCTGGCTCAAAGTTGACATCTCAATAACCCCGGGCGAAACACACCCTGCTTTCCCTGCAAATAACATGATTTTCTCAACATGTTGAAATGACATTTTTGCGCGGCAGTTACAGTGGGGAACGAAGTTCACATTGGTATTTGCAGGTTAAACTGCACGGTTGGCTCCTGTAAAACTACTTTAGTCTTCTGCAAAAGCACTACCTGCTTACCTTTTGGGACCAGGTCTTGCAAAACCTGTGTAGGGCTCCTTGGCCCGAGGGTTTGTCTCCAGTTCCACTGGAAAAGTTGCTGTTTCACAGCAGGGTGGAAGGCGCTGTGACCATCCACTCGAAGCTTGCAATTCAACCTGCAAGGGAGCCAAGTGAGCGGGTGTGCTTAGCATTTGGCAGGCGTGTGTGTGTGCGTGTGTGCGCTGCGAACATGCTGCGCGTGAGCGAGCCTGCTCACCATTTGGCAGGCGTGCACATGCTGCACGTCAGCGGGTGTGCTTCGCATTTGGCAGGCGTGTGTGTGTGTGTGTGCGCTGCGAATTTGCTGTGCGTGGCAAAATACAGGGCCACGTGGTGCTAGTGTGTCACCGCCCAGTAAAACATGGCGTTTGACCCACGGCAGAATATGCGCCGTGGGCCAACTACTGTGGATGGACGAAACCCTGCACCACCTAAATACCAACAAACAATCGTTTCCCATGGTTGCAAAGTTGTGCAGGATTCCGCCCATCCACAGTACCATCCGAAACTGAAGTAGACCCACTGGCCAAAACAGAGGGTCACCCCGAAACTTGTGGCTGATCCTTGGGTTTTCCTTTACGCCCACAAAAAAAATGACGGGTATGCTCAAAAACACACACGGGTCAATTCTAGAAATCCGCAACACCCGAGCCAAATGGCGGTTGAAGTGAGAACTGGCGCCCAGCTTGTCTCTCACACAGCCCTCTGTGACTCACAAACCTCACCCTGCGCATGGGTTCCCGAGGCGAAGGTGCATCCCGTCTAAACTCTTTGATCTTTCGCTTGATTGAGACAAAGTCTTAGCTGGAGAATGCCCTGAATCGAAAAATCGTCTCCACGAGCTCACCATGTTCCGTGACTTCATACTTGAAATCGTCCTGCTGAACATGGTGAAAACCATTTCCCTTGGTAGGTCTCATGCTTGGTTATTCCTTCTTAAAGTCTGGGCTTGGACAGTGCTTCCGTATTTGCCGTGGAGAAAAAAACGTCTGCGTTCCCCAAGATGGCCTACTTTTGCATCCCGGTGAGAAGAAGCAGGAAACCGGCAGGAAACCAGCAGGAAACACCGGGAAACCACCAAAAAAAACACCCGGAAACCAGCAGGAAACCAGAAAACCAGCAGGAAACCACCAGGAAACCCCAAAAAAACAAAAAAAACACCCTGAAGCCAAAGGAAACCACCAGGAACCAAAAAAGCGCAAAAGATTACTTCTCTTTGAGCAATTCCCACCCTCCGCACTCACGAGCTTACGACTGTTACAACTAATTCCTCCGCATCCTAGAGACTTCGACTCCAAATTCCCATCTGCTCTGGCGGGATACTGGCGGGATCCCCTGACGAATGTTGGCGAGCCGCTTCGGCTTGGTACTGGCCGGACACTCGGCAGGATCCACCGGCAAGGGATACTCAGCGGGATGCTCGGCACTTGCGAGCTACTCTGAGATACTCAACGGGATACTCCGCGGGATCCACTGGCGAGCTACTCTGGCGGGATACTCGGCGGGGTCCGCTGTCGAGCTACTGAGACACTCAGCGGGATACTCGGCGGGATCCACTGGCGGGCTGCTCTGGTGGGATACTCGGCGGCTCGGGCGGGATACTCGGCGGGATCCACTGGCGAGCCGCTCTGGTGGGATACTCGGCGGGGCTCTGGCGGGATACTGGGCGGGATCCGCTGGCGAGCAGCTCTGGCGGGATACTCGGCGGGATGCACTGGCGAGCTGCTCATACTTGGCGGAATCCACTGGCGAGCTGCTCTGGCGGGATACTGGGTGGGGGCGTGGTGTAGAAGCATCGCAAGCGCGGATTCCAAGATAAAGTCCAACAACCCCTTCCTGTCGGGTGGGGAAAAAGAAAGAAACGGAAGCCAAAAGGAAACCATCAGGAAACCGCCACAAAACAAAACACCACCAGACCCAAGGAAGCCGCCAGGAAATCTGCGGACTTTTGCCAGGACACCCACCAGGACTCCCGCGACTCGTGGCAACGGCTCAAAGCACCCGTCGACCGATTTGTTCCACTCGCCTCGCATTGGCTGCCAGCTGATCCAGCAGCTGCACCGCCGAGGAGCGCCAGGTGTAGCTACCTGCCAGCGACATGCGCGCATGCCGGGCGCGGCTGAAACGCAGGGAGTCGGGGATCGGATCTTCTTTGGGTGCCGAAGCGATGGTCCGAAAGGGCGGTTGGCTTTTTGGATGGCTGTGGATCTTGAGTTGACCGCGAGGCCTGGCGCGAAGTTGGGGTTCAGAAGAACCATGAGACAAAATGAGTGGTAGATCCACCTTTTGATGAGTGGGGTTTCCCCCGCCCCCCCGAGCCAGAAAAAATGAACGCCTTTTGGATGGCTCTGACACGGAAAAAGTGACAAGTCCAAGGGTTCTGTTCAACTCTTCTTTGCCGCGGAGAGCAGTGAAGTGACCGGATTGCTTTTTGTTGGCTGGCTTGAACGGGAAACCGTTCAAGAAACCCAATGAGGATTCCCAACCCCAACCCCTGTCACCTGAACCTCGCTCGTTCAACAACATCCAAGAAGCAAAGACGACCGACTTCACCAATCGGAGGGGTCTAACGACCCCAGCCGAGGATGAAAAAAAAGACGAATGCGAAGCCGGGGAGAAAACCGACGAATGGGCGCGTCTCAAAACAGAAGAAAAAACCAACCTGGGTGGTTCTCCTTTGATTCCCCTCATGAAACACCACAAAGCAGGTTCCCTCCAAAAAAGACACACCCGGATGAAAACTCAACCCGAGAACATGTGGATGCAACACCTGCGTGAGTGCTTCAGGGACCGAAAGGGTGAGCCAGGACCCCATATCGCACGCTCGGGCTTTGCAGTGCTCGTATGTTGTGTTTTGCGGTGGCGGGGCGGGTGTGTCATCCATTTCCGAGGCCTTTCAATTAAAAACAAAGCTTTGGTTCTTGGCGCAGAAAAAAGTCCCCACCCTCTCGGGCTGAGGATCGCTCGATATGAATCTCAACATGGCGCATCGCCAATGTGTGGAGGGCTTCTGGCTTCTCTTTGTATCCAACCCCTCATGGGTATCCAGTCTACCTGGGGGTAGTCAAAGAATGGAACCCTGAGAAAGGGTGGCTGATCATTGGTCTTGTCTTGGGGGGTACCCTGTGGGGGTTGTTCAAGGCCAAAGAAACACGACGCCATTTTGGAACGGGACCCATTTTGAGACAAGATGGTCAACAGAAAATAATAATCCACCCCTGGATTGAACAGGGATCCTTACATTATACACCTGAACATTGCCTTGTAAATGGTGGCTTCCCTTTGTTTGGGTGGAAAAAGCCATGTTTCAAATGGGCAAGATGTATCTTTTAAGGAGCCCTGTTGAAGTCTATGGTTTAGGCAAAAAAGACTGGGACCCTGCCCATTCTCCATGCAGAAGACACTGGATCCCGCGCGCACGCGCGTCACGCCTGTGGGCTTTCCCATGGATGCCCCAGGTGGTGGCCGGAACGCTCGGATCACGTTTCCTCGGCTCAGTTTCGGCCGTGGGGCGGGGAGCCAATGGGAAAAACGCGGCTTTTTTTGGACAGGCCCACCAAGCCCTTGAAACAAGGTGTTGGACAGGCAACGTGCTTTTGCACAAGGCAAGAACTCACCCCAAATGAGAATGTTGTGCATTCAATGTAATCCTGCACAGCAGACGGACTGGACCTCGATTGCGGCTTGTCATGCAGAAAGGGCAGAAGGATTGTTGGGTGATTTTTCGACGGGGACCAATGGGACAAGCCCCATGCAACTCATGTCCAGCAACCAATTCAAGGGTTCCAACTTTCAAACTTCATAGGGAGGAGCCATCCCTCGATTCTTGCCTGATTTTCCAAGCATTTGGCATGCGTCTGCCAGATTTGTAGGGAGCAAATCCTGTCTTGACGCGCGCAACAATGTCGCCGCCGAGCAAGCATAGTCACGTCGGGGCCTGGTTTCACGTGGGCTTCGGGCTCTGAGCTTCAAACCTCCCTAAAATTTGGTCCAGTTTGGCATCCTTTGAAAAGCGGCACCCTGGGCATCACCAGACATCTTGTCCGAAAAAGGAATCTGACGTCTTTTTGCGCACGCCCCCCCCCCCCCGCTGCCCCCCATCAGAGCAAGGTATTGGGTCCGATAACAACGACTCCAAATGATTCTTTCAAGGAAAACCACCAGCTTCCCAAGCTACCATGTGCTCACCGAACTCCTGGCTCCGAAAGGCTCCATCTCACAGGAATTTGGATACCGAGCCCAACTTCCGGCTCATCCCATCGCTTCAGATCCGCCCAAAAGAAGCCGGCCGACCGCCCAGGGTTGCAACCGAAGGGAAATGTTAAAATAAAAAAAGGCAAAAGCTTGGTGCCTTTCCTCTGGTTTGAAAGGGGCTCACACCCTCCGTTCCCACAAAAAACAATCAGGGCCAAGTGAGTCTGTCTTTTTTGCGGGTACCCCTTTTTGGATGGTTTCGTCCAGGGAAACCACAAGGAAAACCAACGCCATGTTGGGGGTCCAACCTTGAAAAAAGAACACCCGAGTTGAAGACGTGGCCAAGGAACAACTTCACTCGGCAACCGAGGTGCCGGTCTCGGTGCCAACCACGAAGAGCCAAGGGTCCACCGGGGAGAAGCTCAGAGACCTACATCGCTCGAGAAACTTTTGGTCAGCCCACCCCATAAAACCCCGGAATTTCGATCACTGGGATGTCCGGACATTGGTCAGCTCCATCAGGCTTGCACCCCCCCAAAAAAACTCTGGGATTTCGACAGCTGGGATTTCCGGACATCATGGTACTTGTGCATCACTTCGGAAGGGCGATTGGAAGTCCTGAAACCTCCCAGGAAAGGCTCTCAGAACCATTCCTGGTGAAAGCGAGCTCTCCTTCCAGTGCCACGGCTGAAAAATGTGTTGCTTGCGCAGACTACCAAGTCTGAGCGCCCAATGCTGCATGAATTGTCAAAAGCCTTTCTTGAGAGAAAACTGATTGAGAAAATGAAACGCCCAGTGCAAGCAAATTACAAATCAGTTGCTATCCTATTGCAGGTGCAAGTTGAAAGCAGCCAAGCAAACTAAGAAGGGACATGTTCAGAGAATCGTTCGGATACTCATTCAGAGTAACGTTCTGGTGTGCGAATTGTTTGGCCACACTAGGAAAGACTTCGCCTTACCAGCTACGTTGCACAACATAAACCTCGAAACTCAACTTGAGCTCAGCTTCCACCTGGTCACCAAACAGGTAACTACTGATACGGCTGTGGGTCAAAAATAGGTACCCAAAATGGAACCCTGGTAAATGGAAACATTGACTAAAACCTGCGGTCCCCTGGTGGTTTAATTTTGACTCATACCCATATACACCCTCGTTCCCTCAAAATCAACATGCGGCCAATGTAGCGTTTCGCTTACGGCCCTCCACATGAGCTCCACCTTCTCCGCAACCAACGCCCGAGGCCGGAGCCTCCCACCGAGGATCCTCTTCTTGGATCCTTGCAGCATGAAACCTGGACAGACCGGCGAGGTTTAGGGAACAGCAAAGGTTTGGAGGTGACGGAGGGACAAGTAGAGAGGGACGGCGCGAAAAAGAGAGAGAGAGAGAGAGAGAGAGAGAGAGAGAGAGAGAGAGAGAGAGTGAGAGAGCGAGCAGGAGAAACATAAAGGAAGGACGGAGTAAAGGAAGAAGTAAAGAGAAACAAAAGAATGAAAGAGAAACAAAAGAAAGAGGCAAGCAAGACAGACAGACAGACAGACAGACAGATAGACAGACAGACAGACAGACAGACAGAAAGAAAGAAAGAAAGAAAGAAAGAAAGAAAAACTGGAAGGAAAGAAGAAAGAAAAAAAGAAAGAAAGAAAGAAAGGAAAGAAAGGAAGGAAAGAAAGGACAGCAAGGACAGCAAGGACAGCAAGGAAAGAAAGGAAAGAAAGGAAAGAAAGGAAAGAAAGGAAAGAAAGGAAAGAAAGAAAAGAAAGGAAAGAAAGGAAAGAAAGGAAAGAAAGGAAAGAAAGGAAAGAAAGGCAAGAAAGGCAAGAAAGGAAAGGAAAGAAAGCAAAGAAAGGAAGGAAAAAGAAAAAAAGGAAGAAACAAAAAGGAAAGGAAAGGAAAGGAAAGGAAAGGAAAGAAAGGAAAGAAAGAAAGAAAGAAAGAAAGGAAAGGAAAGGAAAGAAAGGAAAGAATACAGCAGCTCGCATCAAACTGCGCTGCCGCGCAACCGTACCCAACCCTACCACCCATTCCCGTGTGCAAAACAACTATCAGAACTATGACTATGAACCACCAACCTGTTTGAACTTAAAACTAAAAAAAAAACAAAAAGGAAAAAAGGAAAAAAGGAAAAAAGGAAAAAAAGATGAAAAAAAAGCTCTTCTTCAAGCATCCTCTTCCTCGAAGTATCCCTTTGACTAAAAGCATAAAATCCTTTCTTCCAACCATTGTTTCGCCCAACCCTACCCATCACCTGTTCCTACGTCAGAACCTATCGCTTGCCTCGCGAAGGCTGAGACAGGTCGTTGTCTCGGGCGTCCCAGAGCAAGACCTTTCCGTCCCCGCTGACCTCAGCACCGCCCCTTGAACCATCTCACCGGAAGAACTTGCTAGTGCTCAGCAGGGAATGAGGGAACAACTCAGGGATTACCCTGAAAGGAAACCACAAGGGATGGTTTAGAAGGGTCATTCCCTCATTCCCTGCTGAGCACCAGCAAGAAAAAGAGGGGCCCGACCATGTCTTTGCATTCTGTTCGAGCAAATGGCAAATGGAAGTCAGAAGACAGGTCTGGAGAGTGCGGGCCCCCATGGGAACCCAGGATTTATCCACCCCTGGGTGTGCAATAAGTAATAGATCGGGGGAAGCAACCCATTTTAGCGGAAACCCTTCATTTCTGGGCGAACCAACCGGGAAATCGCAAGGTTGATTCTGCGGTCGGCATTCAATCAAACATTCCTATGCGTATCATGTTCCTGGCATAGGCGTCCTTTGGGAAAAAAAGATGTCACTATTTTCAACCAAACCAACCTAAGAACATGAATGGTTCCTGGATTTGGTTTCCCCCGACAAGCTTGGGGAGCGGATAGAACACAACGGTGCAAGCTTTCGGACCAGCACAAAAGATCCAAACACCGGACAAGAACCGCCAATGGCCAGGAATATGGGGGCTGTGTTTTTGAGGCTGCCTTCTTTGGGTTGGTTGTTGAAGAGAGATCAAAAGAGAAGCCCACGCCACTTAGGGGCTGCCCCTGTTCACATTCTGATAACAACGAGCTTCAAATCCCCAAACCATCAATCCAAACCAGTGAAGGAGTACTTTAATCAGAAAAAATGAAGAATGGGCCAAGGACAAATCAGAGGATGAACAGCTGCGTACTCGCCAGGCCAGTTTTTTTTGGGTCATTTGACTCCAGTGGGTATGGCTCCCGTACCAATCGCTGCTGAGGCATGCAACCGGGGTCCTATTTGACTTTATTTCAAAACTTATTCCCAGTTGGGGTCAGCTTTAAGGGGAAAAGGAAACCACCAGATTTTGGCAGCCAGACCGTCCACCCCAAGTAGTGGCGCCTCTGTGGTTTCCATTAGAATCATCTCCAAGGGTACCCTCAAGACAAACGCCCACTAACTCTGTCATTCTGAATCAGACTTGTCAATGTGCTTGCCGGTGGCTGATGTGTGCCGCTTACAAACCTGAAACGAGAGTTGGGTCCCCAATAAAGCACCCAGCCCATGAATTGTCGCCCGTGTCATATCTCCGGATCAGTGGAAGCCATCCGAAAACTCGGTGGAGCGATGGCGCCATGGTCTTGAGGCCATGACCGTTGCAATGAGCCAAGCGTCGTGGCTGCCACTCCTCAGACGAGAGCTCATCAGAGAGATCGATGTAGGTGCGACAGACCCTCTGAAGCATGAGGCTTTTAACAAAGCCTATGAAAGTGTTTTCCATTAAAACACAGTTGGTCATAACACGGTTTGTCATTTGTCCACGTATGATTCATGTTCTCGAGGTTTACATAATTGTTGATTTGTCAGACAAAAAGCTCTTGGAAAAAAAAACTAGGGCCACTTGCTAATTAACTGCGAAGCACGGAAGACTCACAAGCCATGACAGCTCTTTTCAACAAATGGAAGTCCGAAGAGCACTGACAGACTGAAACAAAGAACACTCCTCCTCTGTCAGAAGATGCTGCCATTGGGATGAATGCGAATGCCAGAATTAGAGCAGGAAAGAAAACTGATCTATCCAGTTGCATCCAAGCAGCAAATCAGCCGGAATCCACTCCACCACCTGAATAGCCTGCAGGCTTGCGAGTCCAGTGAGCGACTCTGCGAGTCGCCGATCTGAGACTTGGGTGCCAGAAGAGCACAAGTGTGTCCTACCGAAAGAGCCTGGGATCCAAAAGGCTCAGAGAAGAAAAACACCAAACGGATACTCGGTTGAAGATACCTTGAGAGGAAGGGAAACCAACGGCAAATCTGCTCTGTCTTCATTGATCATTGATCTCATCACATCTGCTATAGAACTCTGCATTCAAACAACTAAACCCCCTTCTTTTCTGCGGGGGGCTCCAGACCCAGAAACATTCGAGCAACTAACCCTTTCTCTGTTTTGTTCTCTTCTTCTTCTTCTTTTTTTTGGGGTGGGGGCTGCCAGACCCAGAAACATTCGTACGCCCGGCGCCGGCATCTTTTCTGAATCCTCTCTGCGGCCGCGGCTTCCTAGACGCATTGGAAACCAAAGGCCCCGGGAAAGGTTCCGGCGGAACCTTCTGATCGAAAACGGGATGTCTCTTTTGAAGGGTACCCTTTTTTTGGGGGTGTGGCTTTACAAGCACTTTTTTTTTGGGGGTGGAGGGGTCCCCTATTTAAAAGTGGATCGATCTCCTGGGACCTTTCTGGGGATTGGGTCAGGTGGGTCGGGGCGCAACCGATTCGATTTGCCTCTCACGGCCGCGAATCCTTCCAATCGGCGCCCTGGTGTGGGCTTTTGGCCGTGCTCAGGCTCCTCCTCCTTCGCTAGTTGAGCCTGTCAGGAACATCATTGCGAGGCAAGAACTTCAAGCTCAAAGTACAACGGCGCACCCCAATAAGTGTCTTAGTCGACCATGCATATCTTCAGCCAAGCAGCGGAGTCGGTTCAGTCATCCTGACGCGATTGACACGCCAAAAGCATGGATCCACTAGGCACTCAACGACTTCACATTCGCAGAGACCCAAGCTCCAAGGCTCTATTCCTTTTCCATTCTCATTATTCTCCACATGTTTAATTTACACCAAAGAAATCCAACTCAAATGTTTCAGCACCTGCAACTCCGCCGCCTGCAGACCCATCACCGAGTACGGCCAAAAGGAGCTGAAGCGCGGTGCTTCCCCGCCCTCCAGCGCTTTGCCTCGGCGAGGAAAACCCGACGAAAGCCAAACATGGAAGTAGATTTCTAGGGGTTGATTCCTTGTCCATTCTTTTCAACCATCGTTCTTTTCAAAAACCGATCGCTGCTTTCCCAGGGTTCTTGGTGGTTTTCTAGAAAGAAGGATCCCTGGAAAGAATGGGGAAGCAACCCGTAGAAGATTGGCACATTCTCCCTTGTTGGTTGGATGAAAACAAAACGGGGCCAACGTGGGGTTGATCTATATTCCGGTCGGGCCCAAAATGACCATGGGCAACTTTTCCCGGTTAGTGCGGAACATCGTTCTTCTTTTTGGTGGTTCTCCCGTGGCAAGGACCTTTTGATCAACCCCCATGTGCCATCCACCTTCACCCAACTGTAATGACGTGCAATGCGAAGCAGCTTCCACAGGGCACAGGATGGGGATGAGACAATTCACGCGGGATCCAAAGCAGTGACCTGGCCTCCATCTGCTTAACAAATCTACACGCAAGGCGGTTTTCCGTGTCGGCAATGGCCAGCTGGTCGCGCGGTTTGTAGCTGGGCGGAGGCAGCATTCACTCTCTTTCGATCAAGTTCATGTCATAGTGTCTGAAGGAATGTCTGCTGCATTGGAATCTGGAGGGGGGGGGCAGTTTCGTTTTCAAGATCCCTTGCTCATCCACGCTTTCTGTCACCCTGCGAAATACGAGTTGGCCGCGTTCCGGCTGCATCTGAAAAGGGATGCTTAGAAGGGGTCCATTTTCTTAGCTAGAATGACCCCATCCAACCTATGGTGTCCTTTCAGGAATCCACAAAGCCGGTTCATTCAACCACCACCCGCACTGGTTGTCCTTCCCTACCTGAGCCCCAGCCAAGTCGTTTCGAGTCACCCCCCTTCTTTCAGGCGCAGGCGCTGGATCCGCGGAACTGAGTGTGGCAAAGGCTCTTGAAGGCTCGCACACCGTCCACGGTGTTCGCGGCCTCCCAGAGGCGCTCGGCCTAGGCGAAGCCGCGCAAGCCGCGCAAGGCGCGCAAAGTCGCGTTGGCGTTTGCGGCGCGCGATCTCCACCCAAAAAACGGAAAATGAGGTAAGGCAGCTTGAGGGACTTCTCAAAACCGCCATGACAATGTTGAGGATGTCACTGTCGACCGCGATTAACACTGAGGAAATCCAGCTGTATGGAGGCTTCTACATTTGGCTAAGCCCCTCAACAGTGGTTGGTGGACATAACATACATTTCCACCAAAAGGCCCCCTATTAGATTCCCACCCTGTCAACCAGCACGTCCGACTTTTTCAAACGACCAGGCCTCCTTGGCCAAGGAAGGCGACTGCAAACGGCTCGAAAAAGCGGATCGTTCTAACCAGCTGCAAATGAACCGAAGGGACCCAGTCGCTCCAATCCCCCAAAGTGCCAAATGAATCATGCATCGCCGCTCTGCTCTCTTTCTCGACAGTTCAACAGTGGATGCCTTCCTTCGCAATCTTCAACATATTTTGGCACTTGACCAAATTGGTGTGTCGTGTCCTTTCAACGCCCGATGTCTGAACACGAAAGCCGTGAATGCACGTGTTCTGGGCGGACCATGCATGACCTTGGCCTTTTGAGGACCCCCGAATCACCTTCCCCGGAATCTCTTGTGGTTTGAATTGGTTTGAAGGGGTAAAAGATACCTTAACCAGGGGTTCAACAGTTCAACCCCCCAAACCCCATCTCGGGAGGAGGGGTTCAAGCCCCAAACCTGTTCAAACCACTAAGGGATACCTGATTGAAGGACCCGGGCCAAAAAAAAAGGATCACCCAACAGTCTATCGTTGGCAACCCCCTGAATTCGCGTCTCAGTAGCTTCTCCTTCTTGATCGCATCTTTCCAAGCGGTATCCAGGCACCCGAATGTCGAAGTGGTGGATCTGATGGTACTCAATGCCGAAAGAAAACACCTCAGGCCCGAATCTGAGCAGACAATCCACATTACGCCAGCAAAGTGACCCGAAATGGTCCGAAATACCCAGAAATTGCCCATCGAGGCAATGTCTCCAAACTGGCCAAAATATGTTGGTTTCCAAGTGGGGAGGACTCCAAACCAACAAAAGTCCGCGGGCGGTTTCCTCCTTTAAAAAGAGGACTAGAGTGAGCCACACCCATATGTACCGCAACTCCGGCTGCAACGTGTCCGCACAATCCACACGGCCGTTGTCCCTTGTGTAACATGGTTTCCACCCCCCAGCGCCGGGACCAGGAGAACGGGATTATGATACAACTGTATGGTCCTATCCCCAGCTTCTCCAGGAAAGTACTGGTAGTTCAAGTAGTGGGAAAACCAGCTTAGGCTGAACCACTTTCTGCCCCGAGCTGCTGAGAAGGGCCAGGGCAGCGGAATCCTGGCATCTCGTGAGAAGACCGCATGGGTTTGTCTCAAAGGCGCCCAAAAAACGGGGCTTCCCCTTCAAAACAGCCCCAAAACAAAGGACACGGCATGGGCCCGCATGGGTGTGAAACTTACAGGAACCTTTTGGGACTCGTGGAAATAATCTTATTCTCATGGAAGGATCCTTTTGAAACTCAAACGAACCTTTGGTGGACATCATTTGCACGGTTGCTTTGCCACCAACCATTCTTGGCAGCGTTGCCCGTTGGCGTTCGGATCACAGCCTTCCTGGAATCTAACGCTGAAAAGTTTAAAAGTCAGCTGAAAGCAGCCGCTTCCCTAGCCCCAATAAAATTCGCCTCGGGCCCAGCCCCTCGCCTCCTCAGACCCAACGCAATTCAAGCCAGCCGAAGCCAGCCACTCTCGCCGGTAGCCTCTACTGCTTAGCCCCGCCTTCCGATCTGCAGCCGCATGTGACCCAACGCAATTCCGGCCAGCCGAAGCCAGCCACTCTGGCCAGTAGCCTCTACCGCTCAACCCCGCTTTCCTCTACCGCCCAGCCCCGCTTTCCGATCTTCAGCCGAATCTGACCCAACGCAATTCAGGCCAGCCGAAGCCAGCCACTCTCGCCAGTAGCCTCTACCGCAGCTCAGCCTGCTTTCCCATCTTCAGCCGAAATTGAACCAACGCAATTCAGGCCAGCCGAAGCCAGCCGAATTTGACCCAACGCAATTCCGTGCCATGGCCGGGTGTGAACGCTTTCCGTAGCCCAGCCCAGCTCCCGCCGTTTGGTTCAAGTTCCTGGCAATCACTTTGTGCTGCGGCCCACTAGTCAGCCCAGCCCCGGCATCATTTGCTCAAGCCCGCATTGCTGACCGAGGCAGGCAGCGCGCAGCGGTTGCACATAAATGAAAGAATCACGTCAAAATAGACAAAGATAAACAAGACTTATTCAAAAGAAAGGTCATACAGATTCAATACGCAGCGTCTTTTTAATCTTTGTTCTTCACATCACTACACAACAGATGAGAAGAGTTGGAAGAAGAAGACCAGTAGATAGACCAAAGAAATGAACAATGGCAAAAAAAAAACAGGAATGAAAGTAAATCATGAATTGAAAACGAGCATGCGAAATTATTCCATTTGCAAACCAATCAAAGGAGAAAACAGTGGGAATGACCACAAAGTGAAGGATATATATATATATATATTCATGTATCCTATAATGATATTATTCAAAGACATCATATCGTAGACATATAGCAGCATTTGATACAAGAAGTAAATTAGCAGAAGTTAAATGATCTGGAAGATAAAAGCTTCTCCTGGCCACATCCCTAAAGATGGAGAAGATAATGAATGAACAGAAATTTGGCAAGGGAAACTAAGGAAACCCAACCAACTTTCTACTGTATGTTGACAGTCTCTTAGGAACAAGTGAACCATAGATTACTGGACAACTTCACCCTTGTGGGAGCCAGGCCTTATAATATATATATATATATATATAAATATATATATATATATACCATTGAGAATTTACCTTGCACCCTGCCCAGT